AACACTTAAGGTATTGTTATACTATCCGCACCCCATGTTTGAGTGTGTTTTAGGATTTAATATATGAAATTTTTAAAGGATCGAAAGTCGGACGAAAATGATCCATAATGAGATAAAGTGGTGAAAACTGTCCAACTTCACGGATCATGGCAAATCTTCACGGTCTCAGGGTGTGAAGAATCCATCAAAATCGTGAACATCGCAGGATCCCAGGAGGACAAGGACGTCTCACGGGCAAGCGCATGGTTCACTACCCCAGGGCGTGAAAATTTCAAGCAGCTCGTAAGGTGTGTTAATGAAACGGCATGTTGTTGGTCAACATCACGGTTTCGCTGCGCAGTTCACGGACGTGACGGGCGACCGTGAACTCACTGCTGGGAATAAAAGAGAAGAGAAATCAAATTTGAAGGGGTTGGCTTTTTAGATAAAATTTTGAGATCTTCTTCTGCCCTAGAGAGAGAAGTGACGAGTAAGGAGAGATCAGAGGAGAATTAAAGTTATCCATCACCCAATGAAGCTTGATTCCTCTCCAAGAACATCCTAACCAGGCAAAGAGGAGGAGCTTCTCATCATGATGATTGGTTCCTTCTATTTGGTCGTGTTTCTCACTCTAGCCATGGAGTAGTCTTCCAATTCACTTGAAGTAAGGATAGATAAACGTCATATGTTTATATTTTGAAATACTTGCTCTATACTACACTTAGTTGAATGTGGCACTTGGCCTTTCATCGAGATAGGTGTAACTATTGTTAATCTAGCTTTCATTTTCTTGCAATTTTGTATTAGAACTTGCTTTTGCTCTCCACGTTTGTGTTGTTTGAAGTGATTTTAGGTGGTTTACAACCCAGAGCAACCTGGATCATTGAAGCTACTAGATAACAACGGTATCCGACTCTCTGGAATCTTACTCGTGAGAGGAAGTTAAGGGAAAGAAGGGAGCTAGAGACTTGTGATTCGAGCTTAATCCAAAAACGAGGAGTCTGAAGAAGAAGAAGAAGAAGAAGTTGGAGATGAGGAGTTTGTAGTTGACAACATGGCCAACCAAGCCGGTCAACAAGATGATGAGAAGAAGATCATGGGTTACTACATGTCCCCATGAGTGAAGAATATAAAATTGAGCATTCAACATCCACTTGTGGCGGCAAATAACTTGGAGATCAAGACTCGCCCTATCTCAATTAGCCAAAGAAACAACCATGTACATGGCCTTGACAACTAGTCACAAAGAGAGCACATCAATCATTTTTACGAGTTGGTTGGTAGAAATGGAATCAAGATGAATGGTGTGCCTCAAGAATCCTTTATATTGAGACTCTTTCCCTACTCTCTAAGTAGCAAGGCACAAAGTTGGCTCAACAAACAAACCCCTCTATCCATCGTCTCTTAGGAAGATTTGGTCAAGAAGTTCATGGCAAGCTATTTCCTACCATCCAAGACGGCGGAGATCCAAAAATCACCCACTTTGGTCAAGATGAGGATGAAACTTTAAGGGATGGTTGGGAGTGTTAGATTGTGTTTTTTTTTCATTAATGCCCTCACCATGAGTTCGATGAAGACTTCATGATTAGTAAATTATGCAATGGTTTCTTCCACGAGGACTGTATGCTCATCCATTCCTTGTGTCAAGGCAACATGCTCAACTAAGATACCCTTACAAACTATTGAACTATTTGAAGAAATAGCGGCTAAGGGGTACGATTGGGGCATGACACGAAGGAGAAGACATTCTTGTGAAAAAGGTGTCCATGCAACCAAGTCAAGCCCCTCGTTTGAAGCAAAGATGGATGGATTGATTAAGATGCTAGTGAAGGATGGAAGTTGAGGGAAGAGTCAAGTGATGGCATTTGAGTGGTGTTAAAGCCCCAACCACATGTTGGAGGAGTGCCAAATCACGATGGAAGCTACTACTCCGGAAGAGCAATTCAGTTTCATCTTGAATGCTAGGGGGACCAACAACAACCCCTATAGCTCGACTTATAACCCGGGGTGGTGAAACCATCCAAATTCTCATGGGCATCAATGGAAATTCCAAAGTCACCGAGTTTCCAAGTACCAACCGGTGGATATCAACCAATACCATAATTTCAAGCTAAAAACTTTCAATTGCAACAATATCAACCACAATGTGGGCAAGGTTATCAACATCAACAACAAAAACCCGATAAGATATCGAAGCTAAAGATCTTGTCACCACCTTTATGAGTTCAAGTTCTCAAAAGTTTGAAAAGATTGAGAAGTTCATGAAAGTATCTACAAGCAAGTTTTCTTCGGTTGAGGATATCGCTCGCTTGACCAGTAACAAGGTTAAGGTTGGTGGTCCTTCTCAGGTGAACCCCAACTATATTCCTCATGTTTGTGATGAGTTGCAGGATTCAAAGTCGAGTAGGGCATCAACAGGAAAGGCCAAGAAAGAATGGAGGCCAAACTGAAAGGTCTCTTGTTGCCGCGGTCCAAAAACAATGGCAAAGATACGATGGTGAGCTTTGAAGGCCACCCTTTTACAAAGGATGCTCGAGGAAACAAGCCTCATCCCGATAATGTAGTGGATTATTACTCGCGCTAACACTACACTTATAGGGCAAGTGCAACCTATAGAGGGTGTAGGATAGAATAATTATTTCAATATCATCCTAGGAAGTCTATCTACCCTTACTTCAATTGTTCAACATTATATTGCGATCAGATTGTGGTTAAAGGTAAAGAAAATAGTAACCCAAACAAGCAAGCACGTAAACTTTGGTGAGTTCGATTTGAGAAAGAATCACTCGAACATTGCTCCCCCTAGTCTCGTCTCAAGAATGAAACTCTAGTGTGATAGGTATGATCATACACCGTGAGGAGTTTGCAACTAGCTAGTTAACCTTAACCATCTCAATTGATTGATTAAGGATTGTCACTATTAGTTAGAAAACCTTAGACCTCTTAATCAATCAACCAAGGGTTGCAAAACAAATCCCTCGAACGTTATCCGGAACGACAAAAAGTAACCAATCAAGACGATATCATGGCACTACTTTGATGAATGAGGATTGGCCTGAATTTCCTAAGGGAAGGTTACCCAAATTTCCAAGATTGGGCTACAAGGGGATTTCCTTCTTCTCGGTCAACCATGACTATATACGACATGGCAAAATATCTTAATTTTCTCATAAGTATATGACTATATACGACATAAATATTTTTTAGATATGAACTCATACTAATAGTTGGAACACGGGTTGGGTCGGGTTCTACGGGTTGTGTAATCCAAAATCCAAACCCAACCCAAAAAAGACGGGTTGTACAAAAGAAAACTCTCACCCAACCCAAAACCTTCGTTTTAGCGATAAATACAGGTGAGTTTCGGGTTGGACGGATGGGTCGGTTTGCGGGTGTGTTGGTTCACCCTAGTTGCATTGCATGCCATCGTGGTTATTTGGAATTGCATGGGATAATTCGGATGAGTAATGAACTCTAGATTCATAACAATATAGCCACGTGATTATCCAACTATTTTGTTTTTCTTATTTTTCCTCATTTCAAAACCTAATTAATGATGCTCCAATATAGTGAAGATACCGCATGATTAAGTAAATGAGTTTTCTATGACATAGCTACTTTTTAACTTTAAGAGATTCCCTTAATGACTCTAAGATCAAATAGGTACATTTTTATGGTACCAATTTGATATTGTTATCAATTTCTTCACCTTTCAACATCTTAAACCAAGTCATTAACAATTTTTTGTATCTCTCTTTAGATGAATTAGATTACATTCGACAAATTTTAAATTGAAGAAGAAAACTAACAAACAACAAAAACATAATAATAATATATTCTCCCGGCCAAGTGTTTTCTTATGAGAATCATTTGCATAATAATTCATTTGGGTTTGAGTTGAAGAGTTGTCATTTTGCCTACATACAAATGGGTGAAGGGACGACAATGGATCAGTTTGAGTCGGTTTCTCAAAACCCAAATCTAATTCAGTAGGTACATCCGTAAGAAAAAAATAATAAATTATTCATTGGGATGTGAAAGAAAAAATTCAACATAACCTAATAATGACTTAAGATAGGGTGCATAACCATGGGCTATGCACTATTAATACACTAAATATGAACTCTTCATTTAGAAAATCCAGAATGGATAATTATATGTCATTTTTATTTTTCATAGCTTTCTTAATCGGCTCATATTTTCTTCGTTTTAACTCAAATTTTAATTTTTTTTGCACAGATGGAACGAGTTCGTTGTGCTCTACAAAATGAGATCCATTTTCAATATTTTTTTAGAAAAAAAATTATGTGCCTCTCGGTACCAACTGCATACCATATGGTATTTTCTTTCTTTTTAATTCGTTTTTGAAAACGTTTGCACAGAAGGAACGAGTTCATCATGATCTATTAGATCTACAAATTTTTGGGTGAACAAATTACATGACCAAAAAATACCACACACAATACCATACAATACCACCCTGGTACGGGGTGGTATCTTGTGGTACACAATGTTAAAAGTCGTAAATGACAGTTAATATACTTCTACTATCATGTATTCAACCATCCTACAATCTTGGTTTGTTCATACCACCATGATACGCTTTTCAAACCATAGGTATGCTCTTATTTCAATACTAGTCAATACCATATGGTATAGACTGGTAAAAAATGTCTCAATTTTTTTTGTTCGAAAAATATATCAAAGTGGATATAATTTTGAAGAACACAATTAATCTGATCTAACTGCAAAAAAAAATTAAATTTTGACTTAAAACGAGTGAGAAATTGTCCGCCAAAGATTAAAAAGGGTAAAATTAAAGGCTTTTCGAAAGAGAGAGGGATGCTGATGTGGATGAATTAGTCACCGTAAGATTACTGATCTGATCCGTTCCTAACGTAACCATAAGTGCATGGGTATCATAGGTTGACAAATATAACCGTGAATTATTCACACGAGGCCAGAGGCCCATGATGCCCAAAGGCCATAGGCCCGACTCCTGGACAAGCGGGGGCCCGAATGACCGGGACGCCGCCCGTCGGGTAACGTGAGGCTCCAGAAACTGGAAAACAAAACCCACAGGCGGCAGAAATCTAAACCCCTTGGAAAAACCCCTAAACCCACAAAATTGCATCTCTCTCCAGTCACACTCCTTACTATTCTGTTCTCCATCGCTTTGCCTCCGCCACTCTTCTGTAGTTTGCGGTTGTAGTTCTCCGACAATGGCTTCCGTAGCCCTCAGAAACCCTAATTCGAGGCGCTTGTTCCCGGTGTCTTCCCAAATCTACTTGGGCTGCCGAGGATCAGCCATTGCTCACTCTTCTATCATCGATTCTATCTGTGGGAATGACACGACTTCGTCTTCCGCTGCTCCATGGTGGAGATCCATGGCCACTTTCACCAGAACGTAAGTTGGATCTCTTTCCGCTCTCTAATTTGACCTAACTTTGTTTTTCCCACCGCTTGCTCTAGCCCTTGAATATATTGGCTTGTTTTTCCTGATGACAGTAAGCCTCACGTTAATGTGGGCACAATTGGACATGTTGATCATGGGAAGACTACCCTAACTGCGGCAATTACCAAGGTTTTGTCTCCTTGGGTTTCCTTGTTTGCTTATTAGAAATTGAACTTCGTACCCTCGCTAGATCAGTGAAACTGAAAGCAACTTAACCTACCAATGCCTCTTTGTATAGGTACTAGCTGAAGAAGGCAAGGCTAAAGCTGTTGCCTTTGACGAAATTGATAAGGCCCCAGAAGAGAAAAAAAGAGGAATTACTATTGCCACGGTATAACTATTCACTTTATGGTTATTTCTTCTGCTGCCCCAAGTCTAACCTTCAGAATGTGGATGATCAATCCATCTTCCCCCCTATTTTCAGCTGTTTCCTATCTTCCTCATTCTTTCAAAATGCAGAAAAAAGGATGTATCTTGACAAGCTGTACTTACTTCTGTTTTGGATGATAATTCAGGCTCATGTGGAGTATGAAACTGCAAAGCGTCACTATGCTCATGTTGACTGCCCTGGACACGCAGATTATGTTAAGGTAAGCCAGTAGTTTGTTGTACTATACTGGGTTTATTGTATGGAGAGTATATAATTTGCTTCAAATCAAAGAAAGTGTTTGATCACTGAACTTCGTGAGTGAGATCAACAGTTTTCTGGCAATGTATTGCCACAATTACTATCCTGGAAAACCCGGACAAGCAGAAATTGCATTTCTTTTGAATCTGCATACCCCCTTTTCATCAGCTCCCTCTCCTGATGTATGAGCAGTTTAGATTGCTAGAAATGAGGTTGTTGTTTCCTTTTGAGATGGATGAATCAACCTGCCTTCTACTGGCTGCAAGTCTTCGGAAGGCTGATCAGTGGTTTGTGATTGGTTTACAATTAATCCGCAGAACATGATTACGGGAGCTGCCCAAATGGATGGTGGGATTTTGGTTGTTTCTGCTCCTGATGGGCCCATGCCTCAGACAAAGGAACATATTTTGCTTGCTCGCCAGGTGCATGTTCTACTCTTTTATCTTTCCCGTATGGTTTTGGCCAGGTGCATATTCTTCTATTAGGCTGTGAATTACTCTGAATTTGTTCACATTGATATCTGAATGTTCCTTTTTTTATGCATATGAAAGGTTGGTGTGCCTTCACTGGTTTGTTTCCTGAATAAATGTGATGCTGTGGATGACGAAGAACTGTTAGAGCTTGTCGAAATGGAGCTCCGTGGTACGTTGCTTATATTCAAGATTGTTTTGTTTCTTCATTTGTATTGCCTTCTTTCAATATATCATTTTCTAGAAGTCCATCCATTTGTTTCTTTTTTTCCCAGAGCTTCTGAGTTTCTACAAGTTTCCTGGGGATGAAATCCCTATCGTCAGGGGTTCAGCATTGTCTGCTTTGCAAGGGACTAACGAAGAACTTGGGAAAAAAGCCATTTTAAAATTGATGGATGCTGTGGATGAGTACATTCCTGACCCAGTTCGCCAACTTGACAAGCCATTCCTCATGCCAATTGAAGATGTTTTCTCCATTCAGGTATAGATTGCATCACACACTGGCTGCAAGCTTTTTTTTCTTGGGACCCTATTCTGCTTGTTACAACTGTTATATTTTTCTAGATAATGGGGAAAACTGTGATATTTTTTTACAGCTAAAACCTAGGTGTTTCTGTAAACTGTTTGTTCTGTTTGGTGCAATTGTTTGTATTTTTAGATATGTTCTCTATGAATCGAGTTTCCGTTACATGCTACGTACATTAATCACTATACCCAATATGGAACCACTGATTTGCAAGTTCTTTAAATTTCTATTAAAAGGGGCGGGGAACTGTTGCAACTGGCCGTGTGGAACAAGGGACAATCAAAGTTGGCGAAGAAGTTGAGATTTTGGGGCTAACAGCGGTAAATCATGGTTAACCTTGAATCAAGAATTTCATACAGCTACTGAATTACAATGTTCCTCCATTATTGGCTAGTTCTAGTTACTTGGTTTTTATTTTCTTCTGCAGGGTGGTGCCCAGAAATCTACTGTTACTGGTGTCGAGATGTTTAAGAAAATTTTGGACCGAGGAGAAGTAAGTCAACTCTTGAATTCTCCTTTACCCTGCTAGGCTTCGGTCGCTGCTGCGGTGCTGTGATTAAAAATTCTTATTTCTTTCTGTGTTACTTAGGCTGGTGACAATGTGGGTCTTCTCCTGCGTGGTTTAAAACGTGAAGATATACAACGAGGACAGGTTGGTGTCAATCTGGGAAGATGCTTTCTTTTTCTGAATTACTAAACTATTCTATCACCATGGATATAGTCAAATATTGAGAAGCATAACCACAGATTCAGTCACTAACGAATCATGCCTGTTATACTTCATTAAAAAAGATAAAGATACACACTTGCTACTATTTGAAGTATGTGTTGAGTCACCTGTCTTGTACTTGATTTGTGTTAAGGTGATTGCCAAGCCGGGATCTCTGAAAACGTACAAGAAATTCGAGGCAGAGATATATGTCCTGACCAAGGATGAGGGGGGTCGCCATACTGCCTTCTTCTCCAACTACAGGCCCCAGTTTTACATGAGAACTGCTGATATAACTGGTAAGGTGGAATTGCCTGAATCGGTGAAGATGGTCATGCCGGGTGACAATGTCACTGCAAACTTCGAGCTGATTCAACCTGTTCCTATGGAAGCAGGTCTGGTTTTCTTCTCGTGGTTATTGATTCAACTTGCTTGCCAGGTCGGATTCAAGATCCTGATAACGTCTCGTGTTTTAACAGGGCAAAGATTTGCTTTGAGGGAGGGAGGCAGGACAGTTGGAGCAGGTGTTGTCTCGAAAGTAATTAGCTAGGGTTGGTTGGTCCATATATTCATATATGGACTTTTGTATCATGTTTTCCCCATACGCTTAATTTAAATCACAGACACGGGAGGTTAGAAGGACTAATGATGGTTGGAGCAGGAATGTGCCTATCTCTTAAGTCCATTTGGATATGGAGGCTGCTTAGAGTTTCCTGTTTTATTCAGGGTTGAATCTAGAAACGATTTTGGGGTCTGATACACTTCAGTGGAAAGGAATAGTTTTCATTTTAGGGTATCCCGATTCTCATTCGCATTGATTCTGAGTTGTGCAAATAATAATACACATTTGAGTTAGTACTATACTGCTCTACGTCTGTGTTTAACCTATCCTTCTCTTCCTAGTTTTATCTTTCAGGTCTTAATTTCCAGTTACAGCCATTTTATTCCTCTGATTGTTTTGGGTTATTAACAGATTCACTCCATAAAGTGATCTCCCAATTTAAGGTGGCATTGTCCCCTCGGCCTTTTAGGCCATTTTCTTCTCTTTAAACAAGTTTTTCTCTCTTTAAAATTATAGGTTTGTCTTATGATTTGTAAGTTGTAACAATTTGAGTAAAGTTTGAGAGTGTTGAATTGAAGTTCCAAGTTTGTGTTTGTGTTCTTTAGCACAACCATTGTCATTCAACGTCGTTTTCCAACTCTTAGTTCTTCAATTTATTTGTCTATATATTTTGCAACACCTGCGACTTGGCATGTACTGAACAGACCGCCGACATTGACCTGGCCCCAAGTTGTCGACCCACCCACGCCGTTATTCATGAAAAGAATTGTCCAAAGTGGCCACAAAATTAATGGCTTCTACGAGGCTGCAGAGAACCGATGACTGTGAAACAGTGCCAGAAATTATATCGTAAATGTTAGTTGGAGGATAAACCGTGATTCAATCATTTTGTACGGTTAAAATTATCTAACGTTGTGGGTCCTGTATCTGATATTTTTAGTCTCACCAAACAATACAATTTCTAAAACATTGCAGAAAACCATATTACCATCGAGATGCCATCGGCCACCTTCAAGTTGAAGACCCAACTTTGCTCAACCGCATATGTAGTTTCTTAGTAAAGACGAGAACATTAGCTAGATGCAGAGACCACAAAACTACGGTATTTTATTTGCATGTGTACAAATTGTCTGTCACGGGATAATTCATTAAACACAAAACCTACGAGGCATAAGCTAGAATCATCACAGTTCAAAACATAGAAAAGAAAACCTAGCATCAACAGAAAGCAACTATACCAAAACTGCTAACCGCAGACGGCCCCCGACACTACGTTTTGCACACAAACCATGAGTACTACGGTAAATCCATTCATGCGACCCTCAGAACAGCAACAGCAAGCAACGTCGCAGCTCGGAAGTAAACATCCTTCAAGCTCCTGTCCACACTCCTCATCACTTCTTCATCCTTGAGGCCCTTGCCAGCATTCCTGCTGACATGGATTATTGTGTCCCGCAGCTTATTCACCGCCCAAGAGAGCCAAACCAGTCCGAAAGCCAACCCTGTGCTGAGCAGCTTTGATGAGGTTAAGGGTACCCTTCCACAAGCTACCTTGCACGCCACGGAGAAAAGAACAGCAAGGCCAGTGCCAGCAATGCTAGCAGAGAACTGGGTCAGCAGCTCGGGAAGCTCAGGGCCAGATTTCTTGAGCCACAAGATTGCTGCTTTCCCGTCGTGTTTCTTGTTCATCATCAAGGATAGAAGGCTCTCGCATGCATGGAAGTAGTTCCTCTTGTAAAGATCCTGCTCTCTGCTCACCCCTCTCCTGCCACTTCTCCTCTTGCCCAATGGCTTCGCCTTAACTTTCTCTGGACTGTTAGAACCAGGAAGTAGATAGTAGTATCAGAAAAAGAGAAAACAAAAGATTAAGCTGTCTACATAATGTTCCTTACATATAAATCCTCTAGCAGAAGTTAAAACTCACATACCTATTCAATGGTGCAACAGCCACAGCTTGGACGTTTAATGAAGAAAATTCCGCTTCATATGTATCAAACCTGTTACATTAAATAACCAAAGTAAATTTCCCATTTGTTAATGAGCACCAAATAATAAAAACAACATACAACAATTTTCAGAATGAGATCAATATCCATAATACATCTCAGTTTCATTGCTTCGTTTGTAAATTAACTCCCCCATGAAAATTGCAACGCAGAGCTCCTTTACTCTTATTTCATATAAGCCTATTGCTCATAAAAAAGGTAAACTTTCTCCTGTTGAATATTTAGTAAGTTAAAAAACTAAAACGTAGTTCTACTCTGAGCAGCTATTGGCTTAATCTGAAAATGGTGCTACAAGCTTTTCCTATTGAGGGGTAGCTCCCTGAGATGCTAACATCAAACTCACAGTCAACCAATCCAACTCACTAGATCAAGGATAACAACACATCAAACTCGTAACAGGACAAAGATGAATAAAGAATGAATCATCAGTATCCTCATGCTTCAACACCATGATCATAACAAAGAAACAAGACCTCATGTGCTAACTAAAATTTAACATGTTGTACCTATTAAATTGGGGGATGAGCACCGAATGTCTTCCCCAGGTGGTGGAATCATTGTTTAGGTTAAACTCAGCAACAATGGGGAGTATGTCCTTGATCTCCGTCCCCGTGCCACTCAACAGCAGCCGACCATCGGGATGAATTGTAACCTTTGACCCACGAGCCATATCACTCATAAAGTCCACTAAAGGATTCACAAAATCAAATTCACCCTTCATGCTCATAGGTGGGTTATATGCATCTAGATCCATGGTCAAGTGCAGTGTTCGAAGCCCCATCAACTCAGAAACCTCGTACAAATCTAATTCCCCTGTTTCCAATTCATTCCACCGAGATTTGAGGAACTGCATTATTCTGTCGTGTCTAGCGCATTGCTCAGCAATCCCAACACCGGGGAGAACTTTATCTGTCCATGCATCTACATGCAAAATTAGAAAAAATTAAAACTAGCACAACTTTTTACCGAAACAATCTAGCAAAACCACTGAAAGAAGGCTTGGTATTTGGCAGGGCAAATTAGCATGCTGCAAGATGTCAAGACTACTACTAACATCAAAGCCATCACCAATCACACCAAATGAGTAATCATTCGGTGAACCACAAACCTTTCACGTCTATAAGGACAGGCTCTCCAATACTTGTATCGAAGTGGCTGGCCAGTTCAATTCCAGTGATACGTTTTCTTGTTTCATCATGCTGATGAGGCTTCAGATGAAAAGAGTCTGGTCTCATCATCTCTTGTCCTGGCAGCATGTTAGGTAGATAGGGTTGATAATCCTGTGCAAAGCAAGCGCTGATTTTGAGTTACTAACCAAAGAGCAAAGACAATACAAAAGCATAAATTAAACATGTTGGGAATGATATACCGAAGTAGCTATCAGTGGTTGGCATAAAGCAACCACATATCTGCTATGACTATCTCTCCTAAACCCCCCAAATAGCCTTATTCTTCCACACACAAACAAGATGTTGAACGAAAATATCAAATTATTAGGCAATACAAGTCAGAACATTTTAGAGACAGACCTAATATCCATGGATTGTTGACATGCCATCTTACATGCATCAATTCCTGCAACTTCTTGCTTGCAGGCAGCTCTTAAATGCTGAACGAGTTGGGGGTTGTGGGGGGTAACAATTAGTGAAAAACTCATATGCTAGTCAGCCAAAGGATTGTTGAACACATAACAAAAAGAACACAATTGCACAACCAAATTCTTAATTGAACCCAGCAAAGTCCAGACACCAAGCAGTACATTAAAAAAGCACAACTCAAGGGATTGATTACCTTGACAACCCTGTTGTGGTCTTGGTGAAAGAAGAGCCCAGAACCAGGAGGGTAGCCATGAGAAGCCGTCAAACAAAGCTTAGCCATCATTAAGGAAGAAGGAAAGAAAGAAATCCTCTTAGCTCAGACACTCCAGCAGACCTGAGGAGCACCAAAAGTTTCTTCCTTTCTCTATCTCCCAGTTTCCCCTTCACAAACCCATAGGCTTATCCACACCTCCAGAACCAGACGGTCTGAAACGCACCACAAACAATGGGGAATCAAAATTGAGTAATCGCCTCTATTTTTTCCCAGTGGCACCCACCGAGAACAGAGACGTTCAAGGAGGGATGGGGTGTTATATTGGATTTTGGTATTTGTGTGATGATGGAAATTGGATTTGGAAATGGAGAGAATCTGGAATTGCGAAGAGGGCAAGTCGGATCTGTGGCGGAGAGGGCTCCGCAGGGAAAATCCGGTTTGGCGACCCCTTTGGGGAAAGAGGGAAGCTGACAAAACTGAAGAGAAACCTGTCCGTTTGCTAGTTAAATACAGGTTGATGGCGGCTTTTCCTTGTTATTGGCGGCCGTTGATTTCCAGTAGGCCCAAGAATTTGGTGGACTCGGTGAGATGATTTCCATCGTTGGATTGGCAAGTAGGAGTTCTTTCTTAGGTCTGTCAATTGTGGATCGGCAAGTGCCTGCTATGCAAGGTTGTCCAATCAGTTTAGCAAGTCGTATGGTTAATGGTTCGATTGGTGGTGTACATTCAATTTGAGTACTTCGTACAATACATAAAACTTGTAATAATATAAAAATTATTAACATAAAATGATTTTAAGTATATATAAAATATATTTGAAAATATTTTACTTACTAACATTTAGCGTCAACAAGAAACTTTTATACTTGAATCCAAAAAATAACATCAACATTTAACTTTTAAATTCATGAAATAAATTACAAATTATTATTTTTATTAATTAAATTCGCTCAAACGACGTCACTGTGTATAGAACGAAAATCAATCATATTGAATTATTGATCATACCGGTATTCAAGCCGATTTCATGATCGGCATCGGCTGGACCTGCATTCCACCAGCGTGACAACCATGTTGCTATGGCATCTGGTGGGGTCCTAGGAATTTTATCAGGATGTCCTCTTCCAAAATTAAATTATAAATCATCTCTGAAAATTAAAATAAAAAAATTTAATACAAACATCCGGATGGTAAAAGTTACCACAAAATATCACGATGTGTTTTCATATTCTAAAAAAGAAATGTAAAATGCACTAGGTGTCTATAGTGTCAAACAAATCTCTTTCAATCTACTAGACTATCATACACGAGTCGGTTGCCTATTCGTGAAACTTGTTCTTGATGTAACCCAAAGTTTAAAAAACTATTTCAACACTTGCAGTTACAATCGATAAAATCAATGCAAGTTTGAGGGGAAAAAAATAGACTCATGAATGTGACAGATTCACTTTGGTCTCTAATATCAACAAAGCTAGTTCATGAATTCCATTTAATCCATGAAATATCTCATCATAGTTAATCTAACAGATTTTGATCACATATTTATCAACAATAAAATCCAACAATTAGCAAAAATATTGGGGATATTGTTGACCTCTAACGCTAGTAATATATAACATTTTTGTCCATTTGAAAACATTAGAAAATAATTGACAACATCTGGAGTGAGAAAGGAGAAACAGAGACCAAACTGAATAAATGTAGAACAAAGCTTCAGAATTGGGTTAGGGAGGATGGAAGTAGCAAATGAGAAAGAGAGAAACAAATCAAACTTATACGGTATGAACTAAGGGGGCCAGACCGCAATCTAGCCAAACTAGAGGAAGAGAAGAACTTAATAGATGAAATTGGGAGGATTTGGGCAGGGGAGAATGAATTTTGGGAACAAAGGTCACACTTCAAAAGGCTACAAGAAGTAGATCAAAATGCAACATTTTCCATGCAAGCATGATTAAGAGACGCCATTTAAACACAATCCCTTATCTAAGAGATATTGAAGGTAATTGGACGATTAATGAGCCAACATCGAGGGAGCATTCTGAATATTACTTCCAAGATCTGATGCCTTCCCGGGACCGTTCTACCGAAAATATTGGAGAAACCGGGAGAGATTCTTATGCAATGAAATCATATATTTTTTCAACTCGGAACAATGACTACCTGCATAAATCTCATATCACGCTCATTGCCATAGATTAACTACCTTGAATTGATTACCCATTTCGTACCCATAAGCTGCTACAACTTCACATACAAAGTAATAACCAAGATTTTGATAACTAGACTCTGACAATGACTAAAACTTAATCACAACTACCCACTCATAACTCATTTGTTTGTTTGCATATGACACTATAATCTTTGATAAAGCCTCGGCGACACTATCTAATCATATTATGAGGATTAGCGATGATTAAAGACCGAATTAGATAGGAGGTCAATAGAATAAAATCTTCAATCTTCTTCAGCAACAATGTGCCACAAGATGAATAATGAGAAATAGCTCAAGCAACCGATTTTTAAGACTCCAATTTTCATTCCAAATACTTGGGAGTTCCAACATCATGGGGAAGGTCTAATAAAGAAACATTCGCCTTCCTACTATAGAGAATTGAAAAACCGACGGAAGTTTAGAAAATCAAATTAATATCTTTAAGAGAGAAAGAACCCTGGTAAAGGCTGTGATCCAGCAATTCCTACATTTGTAATGTGCATTTTCTTACTACCGAAGACAACCACGTAAAAATGGATGCCGTGCTCAAAGTGGGGGTGAGCACTAGGCGGGTAACTCACCGAACCCACCCAAATCCACCATAGTATGGGTGGGTATAGTGGATGGATGTGGGTTATTTCCAGTCTAACCCGTCATGAATCGGTGTGGTTTGAACCCACCCATAATAGAAATTAAATCGCTAAAACTCCTCCTCCAAACACTGGGTTAAATGCATGGCGTGCCACTTAAGTATAAGATATGTTGCACACTAACCCGTTAACTTATTTTTGTGCTACGTACTCTATACTTACGTGGTACGCATGCATTTAACCCTTCTAACACTCCTTATTGGAGCAAAATTCTTTATGGTGTGGCTAGAATGCCAAATGTAGCCCCAAACATTTTAAACTTTGGCACTCTTTATTGAGATGGTTTTCGTGCAAATTGGGTTGCACGTTCATGTGCTCATAATATCCTCCTGCAGGACTGAATCAATACTCGATATCATGTCTCCCTATTGTAATTTTACGTGAAAACATGATTATGAAAATGCACAAAACTAATGTGTTGTAAGAAATAAAGATAGATTGTCGATCTAGCAATCGAGTCGGGCTGGATAATTTCGGATCGGGGATCTCGAGTTACGGGTCATCACAGGCGAATCTTGTTTGGGTTGGCTGATTTTGAATCAAATATTGACCCAATCCAAAACTTTTGGGTCGGGTTTCAAGTTACGAGCGTTCTCAGAAACAAGAATAAATATGCTTCATATTTTTTTAAAGAAATACAAATTTTCATATAATTATGTCAATAATTTGTCTAACACATGTCAATTCATATATGCTCAAATCCTCACATGTTAATTAAAGGAAATACAGGCCGCACAAATCTAAAAAAAAAATGGTCATGAGAGTAATACTAGTACAAGAAGCACGTGATATTTGATTATTCCTACACTCCAAACTTGTTTTTCATATCGTTGTGAATTTTGTTAAGCATATCACTGATTCTATCATTTTGGGAATGAGAGATGATATGGAACTCGTTAAATGGATCGATCCGGTGACGGGTGACCCATCCAATCCAACCAAAAAAATTGCGGGTCAATCCGGGTTATAAAAACCTCAACCACCAATTTTAATTTGGTTCGGGTGGGCATAATTCGCTAGGTCTAAATTTGATTGGGTAAAACCCGAACCGAAGGTGAAGAGTCAAGACCCGCCCCGAGAGATGGAATGTGGTGAGATGTGGGAGGGATATATATGTAAATTTATCGATTCCACTAGCAAAAAGCGAAGCTCTCGCTTTCGATTCGAAGACCGCCGAGCCCGAGAGAAAGGAGGAAGAAAATACTGCTGAAGCCAGAGGAGAGGCAAAATAGCTGGACGGCGAGAGCGAACAGTCAGTTTCCGGTCTCGCTTCTCTTTCTTTCACACCGCGCAAACATGGTACTGATTCTCTCTCTCTCCCTCCCTCTCTATTGTTTATGGGCTCTCCTCTCAGTTGCCGGCGACGACGAGTACACTCCCTGCTGTGAATTTCGACCTAATATTGCCTCCAATTACTCAAGATTTGTATTAGCGGGTGTTGATTATTTTTTTGCAGTTGTTCTTCTCTTACTTCAAAGACCTGGTGGGCAGAGAAGTGACGGTGGAGCTCAAGAATGATTTGGCAATAAGAGGAACCCTTCACTCTGTGGATCAATACCTCAACATCAAGCTCGAGAACACTCGCGTTGTTGACCAAGACAAGTACCCTCACATGGTACACCACCTTTCTTCTTCTTTGCTCTCATACCTACCGTCTATTGTGATTTCATATCTGAATGTGGTCGATCTGTGCATTTACGATGCCCTGTGAGCTAGGGTTTGCAGCTCAAGCTAGGGGGTTTTCTCTTTCCGTCATATGTATATATGTATATTTATGTTCGGAACAAACGCTGCGATGTACATTAGGATGCAGTTACTTCCTTTGGTGTTAACTCGTAGGCCGTATCCATGCCAGAGCCAGACTCTCTTTTGGCTTGTCCATCCTAGTGGGGTTAGGTTGTATTGGTTAATGGGTACTGCAAGGAACTGTTTTTTTGTCTGAAATTACTTTTTTCAAGGTTGTTCTCTTCCCGGCAGTTGAATGTTGATCGTAATATTTCAATCTATGTTGGAATTTTTGTTGTTACTTGTAGCTGAAATCAAATTTGTGATCCTTTGGTGGGCATTTTACTTGGCATCTGACTAAATGTCCCCCTTCTACTTCGGTTCTCCCTTGTCCAATCCCTTAGATTGTAGACTTGTAGTGTCGCTCGTTTTTAGAACCCTATAAAATGAGACTTACTGATAGAGGATCGAGTTTTAACAAACTTTAGCCTGGCCCTATGAGTATCCATTTAATAGCTTACAACAGGGTTCAGATGTTGCATTTTCAATTTTTAGCAAGAAGGAAATAAAGGATGTTTTCGTCATTTGATCAGACCTTTTCAAAGTTCATCTCTTTTACCCTCTTCAGTGAAGTATCTTATAGTTGCTCCTGCTCTATCAAAGTTCCCTAGTTGTCTGCCTGATTGAAGTATAGGTCTCCTGACAGCTTTTCAGGTACATAGACCTTCAAGTATGGTTTTTCCTTCCATTTTACTGTGTTTATATATTCGCTTCTCTATCAATCCTTCGTGATAAATGTGTCATGTTTCTAACGTGTTGAATGCTTCTCAGATGGTTGATGTGTTGAATTTTGTGAACTGATGGCATGTTGAACTTTCTTGTCTAATAGTCTTGCCTGGCTTATGATATCCTTAAGTTTATGTATATCTTTGCTAGAGTGGTCATCATAAACGTTCCTCAGTCCTTCAAACCTGTGAATGCAAATATGCTTCAGTTATTAGAATTATCCTTCCATCATATTTATATTTTTTGCTTCATCGTTTCCTTTCTGTTGATTTTAGTCAGCCTAGTTAATTAACCCACAGGCTACCCTTTTTTTTCTTTCTGTTTTGCAGCTTTCAGTGAGGAACTGTTTCATCAGGGGGTCCGTGGTTAGATATGTTCAGCTACCTCCGGATGGCGTTGATGTAGATCTGCTTCACGATGCTACCAGGAGAGAGGCTCGTGGCGGTTGAATGTTTTTTCTGTGTCAAACCATTTCCTCATGTACCATGTCGCTCAGTAGTTGATGTAACTGTTCAACCTCTATACAAAGCTCTCTTAACAATCAAAATGTTGCTTTCTATGAAAGGCAAAGTAGGAAGTTACATAAACAGAGACGAGGCATGGGAGCACCATGATTGTTTTTAACATTTCTGCTATTACATGGAACCTGTGTGATAATCTGCATTTTGTTTGGTTTTTTATTCTCTTCATCAGAGCGAAAGCCTTATTTCTTCAGTTGACGAATTTGATGAACCAGTCGAGCATGTTTTGATGTGCTTCCTCAGCACTCCTGACGGATGCCTCATCTTCATCTTTGTACTTAGTAGTCCATCCATGGACAACCCCTCCAAATATCTTCACATATCCTTCAACCTGATGATTGACATGCAATTCAAACGAGTTCCACATGACCAAACCGAAGCGCTTCAGGACGAATCAGCTTTTCCACATCTTATGGAATCATACCTCTGATTTGGTTGACAGAACTTGTTCAAATTGCCTGAGAAGCTCAGGTGGAGAAAACTTGTCGATTTCAGCACCCAGAACTGCAATTGGTTTCTTCACATCTGCAAAAGCAAAGGAGAGCCATCCAACATATGACAGCTTCTGATGGTAAAAGGTAAAGGGAAAATAGGACAAGAGTTGGATTAGAAGTGTTGATCCAATCCAATCCAATCTTGATGCAGGTTGAAATTGAATCATTTTGTCTTCCGGCTAGTTCGATTCAATTAGAACCAATTTGGCTCGACATGAATCGAATCGTTGTGCACCCCTAATGAAGATAGATTGTTACCCTCGATGTCATCCACGGTGACCTGGGATGGGTGCAGCAAAACTGCAGCTTGAATGACATCAGACTTGGCCAGTTCCACAACCACCTTACCTAAATCCAGAACATTGAATAAGGGCAAGTGTCAGCCTTTAACAAATGGGCAGAAGAATTACACACACCAGAAGGAAAGGCCAGGAGGAAGAATGATCTCTCACCACCCCAGCAAAAACCTGCAGCTCCAACTGCAGACATGCCACTGCTGCTTCTCAGTGCAGCAATCACTTGTTTAGCATCTTCAACGCCTTTCTCCTAATAAACACAAGGTATGTGTGAAAACATGACAGAAGTGTCTGTTTTATGAGCAATTGAGTCGAAAAGGGAGAGGACAAAACTGGTCTGTGTGCTTCCTTCCAGACTGAAACAGGCATTTCAGACCCTGGAACGTATGGATCCCCATGGAAGAAGTCTGGAACCACGACGTAGAACCCTGCTGCTGCAACCTTGTCAGCCAGTTTCCTTATTTTGTAGTATTCATGAACATCAAAGACAGAATCTTGGTGTCAGAAAAACCAGTTCATCAAGTTACTTGACACAGTATGATGAACATTGACGAAGAAACAAAGAGAGGCCAACGGAGAGGATCGAATGTGTACCTTAGATTTGGAGTTTCATAGCCTGCAAAAAAGCCAAAGTGACGAGCAATAAGTGAACTGAATGTGATGAAGTAGCCATTTCAGGAAAAGAGAAGAACTAAACTAGTGGGGAAGATGGATTTGTTCCGTGCATACCCAAAACGTCAGAAGCAAGGAGAAGGGAGAGGCTGGAATCAGAAGAACCAGTGGCGTAGGCTCTTAGCCCTCCAATTTCTGTCACTGACCCTGACATCTTCTCAGGACTCTGATGAACTGAAAAAGAGAAACCAACCCAATAACCAAGTGAGAAGTGCTAATTAAGGAGAGGATAAAATTCTAGCGTGGAAGTTCTTGTAATCATCGACCATTATGTGCCAAATTCGTTACATATATTTGATTATTGTGAAGGTAGCTTGAAAGAGATGTCCCTTACTGGATTTTGCTCCTGTCAAGGAATATATGTCAACCAGCATTGTTTGCGCGTTTTGTCTAGAATTGGTCATTATTTCTCTCTACAAATTTGATATTTTTTATACAAAGGGTAAATACAATATAATAGACAAACCTTTCATTTTAAACAAAATAATATCCAAACCTTTCCGAAAACAATTTAATAGTCAAATCGTCAACTTTCCATCTAGTTGACCGTTAGCTGACTCTGACATGACAGAATTTTTAATGAGATGGATAATTTTTGTTGATGTGGCAAAAATTCAAACATTTGACCATGCCACATGGATAATTGGATATTACATAATTTTATAAAATAATTTTTGTTTTCATAAAAATAAAAAATAAAAATTTTAAGATTCCCTTTTCGTTCCTCCAACTCGCTTTCGTATCCCTCCACCGATGAAACCCAGTCGTCGCTCTTCGCCCTTGTTTCTTCGTCTGATTCCGGCCTCCGTAGCTGCCGTGGTGGGGATTCGAATCTTTTGAGTGGAGAGGCTCGCCGGCGGCGGAGCTGATAGCGAGGAGCATATGGGGAGCAGAAGGGTAGATGGAGTCGGTCCTGCTCTCGGCGCGTCGCCGGTGGATTGCGGAAAAATGGATTCGCTGGAAGCGGAATTCGGAAGAGAAAATGGTATATTTCGGAAACCAAGGTGATGCGGCATCAGTTAACCGCCTATCTAAAATATATATATCTATATCTCCTATCTAATCCTCTGTATCCCTATGTCAGTTATGACAGTTACTTGTTTTAAGGGGGTGAAGGGGTGTGTCCCTTCATCTTTTCCCTCACTGTTTCGGTTATTCCTGTAACTTGTATATAAAACAAGTCAGGAATGACAGAAGGGGAGAGATATATGAATAAAGAACAAAGTTAAAGAAATATTTCTGTTTGTTTCCCTTTCTATTGAACTAACGTTCATTCGTCCGTTCGTACGATAACGAACATAATCTTTCGGTGGTCTGTCCTACATCACAAGGTCCTTTCGACCGAACCAAATTTCCGAATTTCGAACCGATTTTCCGAATTACTATAATTGCAAGTTTCTAATGGTGAATTTTTATGTTTGTACTTATTATGAGACTTAAATATTTGAATTATGTTAGTGTTTTATGAGTTATGTGTTGAAATGCTTGATTTTATCATTGATGATGCATTTAATTGCATATTTATTGTTTACATTAGGGGTGAAAAATAATTTGAAAGAGAAAAAATACAAGCTAACCTCACAATTTCGGTTTTTCATACAAACCGATACGAACCGAATTATAATTCGGTTTGAACCGACCGAACCAAATTATAATTCCGTTCGAATTCGGTTTGAGGTTTGATGGAACTCGGAAACCCGGTATACATTATTTCGGTTCGATTTGAACCGAACCGACCGAATGCCCACCCCTAACTAAGATAGATATATTAAGTTGTGATTTTTAAGTTTGTTTATGCCTAGTTGGGCTTAGGCTTGTCGGTTTTCAAGATTTTTGTGTGTGTGCTTTATGAGTTTATAGGATTCTTGCTAGAAACCTCTTGATTCGATTTTCAGATGCAATTTCTTTTACAGAGCAAAGCAATCCCTCGATTTGAGGACTATTGGAGGCATTTTGCACAATAGAACTTCAACAAAATCGAATGGCTGTTGTTGGCGGCCGGCCACACAACAGTGGATGCTTTTGTTTGGTCTCGATCCTTCCGATTTGAGTTTGTTTCTGTCTAATTGGGCTTAGGCTTGTCGGCTTTCAGATCTTTTTTGTGTGGTTTATGGGTTAGAGGGTTCTTGCTAGAAACTCTCTTGATCCGATTCTCGGGCACAATTTCTTTTACCGAGCAAAGCAATCCCTCGATTTGAGGACTATCAGAGGTATTTTGCACGATGGAACTTCAACAAAATTGAATGGCTATTGTTGGCGGCCGGCGACACAACAGTCGATGCTTTGTGTTTCGTCTCGATCCTTCCGATTGCGAATATTAGTTTATTCATTAGGCTGAATGTTAGGGCTGGTTCAAGACCCATCTAACTTAAAAGAGAGAAACTAACTTTCGAGGGGATTTTGCTCAAATATGGTTTTGCTATGGGCAATTATGAGAGAAATCTGGAGAACTCTAATGATCAACGGGCCTTTAGGCTTGTCGACTTTCAACGTTTTTTTGTGTGTGATATATGAGCTTAGAGGGTTTGTTCTAGAAACTCTCTCGATTTGATTCTCGTACGCAATTTCTTTTTCCGAGCAAAGCAATCCCTCAGCTTGAGGACTATCAAAGGCATTTTGCATGATGGATTGGAACTTCAACAAAATCGAACGACTATTGTCGGCAGCTGGCTCAAGACCCATCCAACTTAAAGAGAGAAACTAGCTTCTGAGAGGATTATGCTCAAATCTGGCATTGTTGTGGTGGACAATGATGAGAGAAATTTGGAGAACTCTAATGATCAACGCCCAATTGTTGAAATTAAAATTATTGAAGACATATTCGACGAGGAGGATAACCATCGAGTGACCAAACTTGCAATTTACTATAAAATTTGGACCGTCTAACTAAAATAAATTAATTTTAATAGCAAAAATAAACTTCTATAATAATTGGAGTAACATAACTTGCAATCTACCCCAATATAAACCGATTTGACAACCCTCTTTTAAGTTCAATTGGAAATAAAAAAAATTGACCAAACAAGGCCCTTTTGCCCTCCTTTTTCCTCTTTTGTCCCTCTCTCCGGGCCGGGATGTCATTTCCTTCCCCGTTTTCTTCCCTACGTCATAAACCCTCTTCATCCACGGCGGAGCTCAGTGGCCACTTCCCCGACTCTTTAAAGCCGGCTCCTCCGTACTCGGGAAAATTCATTCCCTTTCGCCTTAGAAATCATCACCACACCAGCCAGCAGCCGCCATTGTCAAGCTGTTTCCATGGATTCTGAGCACGACCCATCTTCAAAAACTCAACCGAAGAGGTATCTCCTCTCTTGACTACTCCGTTTACCGGAATTTCCAAATGGGTTCTGCCTCTAACTTTTTCCGATTCTGGCTAGTTACTGTTTTGAATCCTCGGTTGAGTTGCTCAGTTTGTATCCCGAACAAAGCCTTCTCTATTCCATGGTCTTCTCTTTTCCTTCTCCAAAAACTAGTATTGTACCATCGGCTTCGATGATTTACTAAATATTTCGTTTTATACAGACACAAATGCTCTGCATGCTTCAAGCAGTTCAAGAGAAAGGACCATCTTGTTGAGCACATGAAGATATCATACCACTCCCACCATCAACCAAAATGTGGCCTCTGTCGAAAGCATTGCAAGTGTTTTCAGTCTTTGAGAGAGCATCTCACTGGTACAATACCCTTCCATTTCAGTTTCTGTATGTACTTAAAGAGCCCTATCGCTGAATCATTAGTTGTATCTGGTCCTCATTATCTTCTAGGTAAACTGCCAAGCTCATCTTGCTCAAAGATTTTCGCTGACCGAGGTTGTGATCTTTGCTTGGATCTTTTTGATAATGCCGATGATCTTAGCAAGCATAGAGAAAAATGCAGCTTTTCTCCGCCTACTCCTTTGGTAAGTTTTTGTCAAAACCAGGCACGGATAGAACTAATATATGCAAGTGAGTGGGTTTAACTGATGAGTCTTGAAATCTGTTGTTGCTTTCAACTCTTGTGATTGGATTTTGCAGGCAACAAAGTTAGTGGCTTCTTCCCCTGATGTACTAATGGGATATTTTGGGGGAAAAGGCATTGGTGAAGGTGTGAAAGCCATTGCTATTGATTGTGAAATGGTTGGTGGTGGAAATGATGGGACAACTGACTTATGTGGTCAGGTATGCCTTGTTGATGAAGATGAAAATATTATTTTCCACACTTATGTTCAACCCCAATTTCCTGTCACTGACTACAGGTAATGTGTAATGCTTTTGCATCCATCACATGCAAATCTATACATGTATAATGGTAAACCTGAAGCAAATCCTACTGCATGTCTGTGTTTTATTTATCAAGATCTGAAGTAACTGGATTAACTGAAGAGCATCTGAAAGATGGCATGCCACTCAAGCAAGTGCAGGAGATAATTTCTGACATATTGTACAATGGAGAATCAGTTGGGAAAGCAAGATCGGATGGTGGGAAAGCTAGGCTGCTCGTGGGGCACAGCTTGGATCATGATCTGGATTGTCTGAGAATTAGCTACCCTCCCAATTTGTTGAGGTAACTTCGCTTATCTGTGGCTTTCTCGGTCATAGAATGAGGCCGAACAGAATTGCATCGGAAGGGATATTGATGTAATGTGTTATAAGTCTGCACTGCCTTCTATTGAGTTGGGCTGGATGCTGGAGTAGATAAATCTTGGTTTCTTAACTGTTATATGTTGACAGCAACATCAAATTCTATGATATAGCTACATCAAACTTTCTGCATCCCTCTTGATGTAAGATTTGCTCTCAAACATTTGCATTGCATCTCTTGATCTTTTTAAGTTTGCTGAACAATCCATTATGCAATGCCTAGATATGCAAGAACCAGTACTAGTTTGCATCACTTTGTTTGTGGAACTGTAGAGTCGTTAACTGTCTTGACTTTTGTTTAATTGCAGGGACACTGCCAAATATCGTCCACTGATGAAAACCAACCTGGTTAGCTACTCACTCAAGTATCTCACCCATACATACTTAGGGTTAGTCACTCTTATGCTTTTAACTGGTTATGTTGCTTGGGAGGTGCCCTATAATCAAGAAACTAAAAACTGGATAAACATGGTTTCGTTAAAACAAAAGATTGTACACCCGTATCGGAGGTTATAACGAAAAAGGTTAGGATAATGTATTTTGTGTTGAAACCATGTTTAATCGTGGTTAAGACGTTTCATACCGGTAAAAACCGCGTACCGTTTTAGTCTCCGGTAGGACTGCCGGTATGGTTTCACAAACACTGGTTAAAACACAACAATACAAGGGCGTGATTCTTGACCCGGCATACCATACTATAAATACCATTTAACAGTTTTGAATTCAGATCTTGATAGGGACATCTCTTATTTAAGTATAGTAAATGGTCTGGAGAATTGGTAGCACGATACTTTTCAGAAATCTTGGTAAGACTTGTGTGGTCATCAATTTCAATTTTGCCAACAGACGGTCGTGTCAATCAGTGGTGACATGGACATAGAACATTCTGATATTTAATTATTTTTTTAGGTAGGCAGAAATGTTTTCTCCAGTATTCCATACGTGTACTCAAACTCCCGACACCCTATCTAGACGATGTTGAAAGCTTGTGCATTTCTTTGTAGCTGCTGCATGAATGAGTTGAGACATGTTTGGTTTTGCTTGCCTAATTACAGGTACGAGATTCAGACAGGAGAGCATGATCCCTACGAAGATTGTGTGTCGGTGATGAGACTGTACAAACGTATACGTAGCCTGGATCACTATCAGGTAGAACAGCAAGTGAAGACGATGATCCAGAGAAGGCGAGATGGGTATTTTTCCTGGAAGCTCAAAGAATTGGAGGCGATGTCGCCCGAGGAGCTGTACCAAATCTCGGAATCGAGCTATAGGTGTTGGTGTCTGGATTTGGGCAGCAGCAGCAGCAGCTGACGTTAGTGTCTAAGGGCGTAGAGAGGATGGATGATGTGATCGGGGAGAAAGCAACAAGTTTTTTATTGTTTTGGTAGAGTCGTGGAGATGACTTTGCTCTTGAGATAGTGTGAATGATCGACGTTCGACGGCGACGGCGACGGCTACTCCATTGTACAGCGGCTTATCGTTATTCTAGAACTAGAATTGTATTTATTGTACGGGGAATACGGTTGAGTGGATTTGGAGCTTCAACAATATTGGAAAATTTGAAATTTAGCTATGTTATAGACCGTTGCACGCTGCTTTTAACAGGCTATGACCATCTCCGACCATCCTCAATTAGGATTTAGGAGTGAGTCGGGTCGGTCGGTTAGCAATTAATCGTTAATCAATAATGTGGTAACCTGCCAATCAAAAAATAATTACTCTTAGCTGATACGTCAAGACTTAATGGTTAATTGTTAACTATTATGCGATTACCGGTTAACCGTCTATCCGCATGAAAGAGAAAATGGTAGTATGTTTGTAGATTTGGAGAAGGTAATGGGCATAATTATATTTTTACATAATGTATTAGAATAAAGTGAAGGGTAGAAAAAAATCTAGCGACACACTCCCTTCTTTTCATCACTCTCGTCCCTCACTTTTTATTTATTTACAAATATAAATACGAATACACTCCCTCTGTGAACCAACGAACAAAAGAAAACACAACTCTTATTATTCTTCAATCTCGAACAGTTGAATCTTAGCCGACACCTCTTCTCCTCTCTTCTCTACCCAATAAAATAGAGGAGGAGGGCTGAGGGTGGCGACAACATTGATGTCAACCATTGTCGCTTCTCTCTCTCAATCATCCTCCCGTCAATTTATTGGGCAAACAGCTAGAGAGGGCCCTTAGCACGACGACAAGCGATTTGTAGTTAACGACAAACTCTTTCAACGTCCTCTGTTTTTCATTTCAGCCGAGAAGACGAGGAGATTGGCGTCGGTGACTGCAAAGTGGTCAGAAAGGAAGTTGTTTCCTTCATTGAGTGTAGCATTTTTCCTATTTTGTGTGGTTAACAATCCTTATTGGTTAACCGCAAACCGTCGATTATTAATCGTTTATGACTTGGTAATCCAATAAGAGATTTTGAGCTTACGTTATACGACCCACATTCTCCTTACTAGTGCGGTTAGCGGCTAAACCGTTAAGGTTTATCACCATTATCCACAATATGATGACCAAAATATCATCGAAAGATAATTTTCCCCACTTTTTGTTTCACAATAGAGGGGAAAATGGACTAGGTGGGTTTTAGTGGATGGGTATTAGACTCGTCCCGAATATCATAATTAAAATCTCGATCAAGACCCACGTATAAACCCTAGTCGTGTGCAATATAGGGCAAGTATGTTTTAAAAGTCAAACCCGGGCTGATCCATCTACTCCAACTTCAACGGTTTGAAAGATTATCTAACAATCGAATTTTGGTTAAAACTATTGACTATGATTGAAAGCAATTGGAAAGGTAAATGATTTTGAACACTAGTTGAGAAGGCTTCACCCGGGTGTTGCTCCCCCTAGCTAGTGATCACGATTTGTTGAATCGAATGCAAATGTGTGGTAAAAGCGGTTGTAAACCATAAGGAAGCGCAACAAGTGAACAAGCTTCACCCTTTTGGTCACTAGGCCAAGGGATATCAAATCAAGCTACCAAAGTATCTCTATTGACCAATAGACTAAGAGTTGTTTAGACTTCTCCCTCGAACTGTAGTCCGGACGACCAAAATACAACCTACCTAAGGTGCTAAAACGTAGTATGAGGTTTGCCCTAATTCGACCTAAGTAGGATACTCAATTTGGCCAAGGAATTCCAACTTTTAAAAGCCTCTTAGCAAAAAGGGGATTTCCCTCTACCTAGGTCAAATTGGCTTAAGAGTTGGGAATGGAAAAGACAACACAAGCTTCATGAAAATAACTCAATACTTGTATTAAAACACAACCACACACAAATCATTCAATCCATACAAACATTCACATAATTATAGTTAGGGTTTTCAAACAACCAAGTGAAAGAAAGAACTAATCCATGCTAAGATGTGAGAATACACAAAGGAGAAGAGAAGACACCATCATGAGAGGGTTTTCTTCTTCCTTTGGTGTAGAGATCAACCTTGGAGGATGAGATTCCCGAGTGGTAAACAATTTTTTGTCACAGAAAGCCCTAATGTGATGTGACAGATAGTTTCTGTCACATCACATTACATAAACAATTTTTTGTATTGTGTCTACTAAAGAATAAAAAAATATGCATTCTAAACAATCTCAACAAAACAATTATAATTTCCAAACAACTCTTAGTACGCAAATTTCGTATCGAAAGGTTAGTATTTTAAGTATAATTTGCCCAAAGAAAAATAAGAGTTGTAATCTCATAAGTCAAAATCATGGTCACAGTCATATTATGGATCCTAACCTCTGTTTTCAGAACCGGACCGGAGGCTGAATCGGAAAAGTTAGTGGTTTATGGGTTCACCGGTTATCCGTTACAAAACCGTTGATGAACTGTTGATAGAACCGTTAATGATATATAACATATAAGACTTGTATTTTACACTAATTTAAGAATGAAATTATCATTGACCATAAACAAGTTCAAATTCATATCATCACGAAAATATCTAATAAATCATTCCAACCATCTCACAAAAGAAACCACATTTTTTAATTCAAATTAAAAATTACGGTTCTAGTTGGTAGTAGACAATGTAAAATCGACAATAAGGTTGAGAAAGCATATATAAAATTAATAATTATGATTTGATGGTCTTAGTTTATGTTAAAATAATTTTTTTTTGTTAAAATAGTGAACCAATGGACCAGCTAAACCGTGTCGGTTCATCTGATTTTATGTTGAACCGTGAAAAACCGTTTGGTCCATCAATAAACGTTCAAACAATGAATCGGACCGCTATCCTAACAGGTTCGATGGTTCTACTGGCCCGGCCGTTAATCCGGTTCGGTTCTTATAACTATGTTGCTAATATTTTCAAAAACAACAGCACATAAATACACGGCGAGAAAACCAAATTTGTTTATTCCTTCTTTTTTTGTCTCCGACTCAATAACGTCCCACAACAGAAACTCCAACGCCGGCAGGCCCGCGCCCCACCGGTTCTCTGCCCTCGCTCCTCCGTCACTCTACCGCTTTCCCAGTAATTTCTCTTCTCTTCAATTTCTTCCGCCGCTCTCCCCACTTCGCTGATCGTTAAGCTCTGAATATTCCTACATGCATTCGTCGGCGTAGACTCTTCTACAAGAAGAAAAAGAAAAGAAAAAAGAGGAAGCAAAATTGAAATTGGAAGCGGACCTCCGCCGCCGCCGCCGGGAATTGCGATATGGCGGTGAACGTACAGCATAATTTCCCGCAGAGCCTGTGGGACTCGGTCCTCCAACTCACCAAGTCGGCCCAGGAGAAGAACGGCGACCCTCTCCTATGGGCGATTCAGCTCAGCTCCAGCCTCGGTTCCGCCGGCGTTGGTTTGCCCTCCGCCGACCTCGCCCACCTCCTCGTCTCCCATATCTGCTTTGGAAACCACGTTCCCATCGCATGGAAGCTCCTCGAGAAGGCCCTCACTGTCAAGATCGTCCCTCCCATGCTCGTGCTCGCCCTTCTCTCCACCAGGTCTCCCTCCTTTCTCCCTCTTCTACTTTCCTTTCCTCTGTTTATTGTTCTCTTCCGCTTCTTCAACTGTACTTTTTTTGTTTTGTTTTTGTCTTCACGTTAGGGTGATTCCAAATCGACAGTTGCATCCTGCCGCTTACAGACTTTACATGGAGCTAGTAAGACGACATGCCTTCGCGTTTTCATCTGAAATCACTGGCTCAAATTGTCCCAAGTAGGTCTCTTAGGGCGGAAATGATTATTTTTTTGGTCTGATCTGGGCCTGTTTCTGTTTATTTCGAGGAGTTCTGCTTGTGATTGAGGTTTGTTGTGGAATTTCAGGATAATGAAATCCATAGATGATGTTCTTCATCTCTCAGATGTGTTTGGACTTCAAGTGAACGAACCTGGGTCTCTTCTAGTTCAATTTGTGTTTTCAATGATATGGCAGTTGCTTGATGCGTCACTGGACGATGAAGGGTTGCTGGAACATACCATAGAAAAGCAATCAAGGTGGGTTGTGGTTGCGCAGGATATGGAAATTGATGGCCATGCTGGCAACACAAGAAATGAGCATAATGAAGGGTTGCTGAAAGGAAATACTACGATGGCTATTGAGCTTATTGGGGAGTTTTTGCAGAACAGATTAACTTCCAGGATTCTTCACCTGGCTTCTGCGAACATGTAAGCTGAGAATTAGAATTATTTTGATGTTTCTTTTGTTAGCCGGAGGAATGGAGAGTTCTGTTGAATGAAGAGAGTAAATTAATTCAAAGCTCTTAACGTCCTCCTTAGGCCTTCTCACTGGGGAAGCTTTGCTCAAAGACTACAAATACTCCTAGCACATTCAGCAGCTTTAAGAAGTTCAAAAATTTTCACACCAGAGGACTTTGGGCAGCTGTTATCCAAGACAACTATACCTTTCCATCGTTTTTTCAAGACAAAGCTACAGTTTGAGTGCCATGCAGCTATATCTTCCACCTCTACTAAATCATCTGCTGGCCAATGGCATGGAACGAGTCAGTCTGAACTCTGGCTTCCTATTGATCTCTTTCTAGAAGATTGCATGGATGGATGGCAATTGGCTGTCGTTAGTGCTATAGAGAACCTAGTTGGTATGAGTTGATTCATGAGTTTATATGACACCTTACTTCCTAAATAATTGTTTGTCCGTACTTCGAAAAGGGTTTACTGAAACTGATCGATTATTTCAGGTCTAGTGAAAGCTTTGCGGGCGGTTAATGGTTGTTCATGGCATGATACCTTTTTAGGACTATGGACTGCAGCTCTACGACTAGTTCAAAGGGTATGTATTCATGAGAAGTGGTAAAATAACTAATTGGTTGATCCATGTGTATTGCTGTTGTATCTTGATTCTGGAGTACAAGCAACACCTCCAGTAGCCCCATAGAACAAATTTGTGTTAATTCACTCTGGTAGCTTATCCACTTCCGGGTTAAGTTCTTCTAACAGAACTTGAACATTTTCTCATTCCCCATGACTCCTGTCATTTTTTGGACCTTTTGTTCCAGCTCCCTTATTAGCTGGCTTTTAATTGTCTTGTGATTTTCTGTGTGTCCTCAAATATTGGTGGTTTCCCCTTAGTATTTCATCACGGATTATTTGGCTCCTGTTGACATACGGGTATTTGCTTTGTCAAGACTGACTTTAATCGAATTAGAAAAGAGTGATATATACTTTTAATGGTATTGATTTCTTCTTTTTTCTTCTGAATGTTATGGTATGATTTTGCTATATCACTTTTCAGTGATCTAAAAAACTCTGTCTCTCTACATTATCGCTGGTGACTTGTATCTTAGTATCTGATTCTGTAATGACATTCCTATGGTCACTTCCCATGTCGAAGGGGCAGATGGTGGTCTAGATAGACTTGGATGGTATCTTAGTCTGGCAATGCATCCTCTACATAGTACAGATATTTTGAATAGAGTTTATACTGGATTTCTTTTCATACTTGTGCCCATGTAGCTCATCTAACCTAATAATGTCAGTTCATGTGAACAAACTTCCTGTTACGCTTTTCAAAGTCACGAAACGCAAAGCTTACTGGTATTTGATGTCCTTTCCACATTTCTCTTTTTTCCTTGTCTTGCTTGTCAATTGTCATGAAGATGAGTTTTCAACTATCTCAGTTATGTCATTTTTTCCCTGTAGTAGAGGTAGGGTAGGCTGAGAACACGTTTTTTGGGCCATTCAATGCACGTCAGTTAAGCAATCATTAACTTATAAAAAAATCTGTCAATTTAATTATGTTTGGAATTAGGATTATAAGATGCCTGATTCTTGTTTTGATTTGTTAGTTATGGTTAAAAGGGACTTATGCCACTTCATCTTCGAGTGATTGGTGGATCTGTCGAGGTTTTCTGTTCCTTAATGTTTACCTGAGTGTATGTCTTGTTGGATATTTCAGGAAAGAGATACCTATGAGGGCCCTGTTCCTCGTCTTGATACCTGCTTGTGCTTGTTATTGTCTGTTACAACAATTACGGTGGCTGAAATCATCGAGGAGGAAGAGAGTGAACAGATGGATGACACTGCATGTTACCCCACCACTCAAAAGAATGAGAAGCAGACCCCAGGCTCTTGCCGTGATGGTCTGATTGCCGCCTTACAGATATTGGGTGATCAGGAAGGCCTGTTGATTCCACCTCACCCTATTGTTTCCATAGCAAATCAAGCGGCTGCTAAGGCAACCTTCTTTGTCTCAGGCCTTGCTACTAATAATAGCTATTATGAAAATGTGAGCATGAATGACATGCCGATTGATTGTTGTAAGTAATCTCTCATGGACTTGTTTATATTGTGTTATTCTGTCATTTCAAAAGGGTGCACTTTATTTTTTTCCCTTTACTATGTTATTAAACTGAAACCTTAAGGGAAAAGAAAAAGAGGAAGGCAGCTGTCTGTAACTTTTACCCTTTTTGTCTTTGGTGTGTTTGATCTCTTTGTAATTATTACGTTGTCCCTTTGGGAACATCTGATGAAAGAACGATATAGGGAAGATTACCAGAAGAATACCAAAAACTAACATAGTTAACACTGGGTTTAATATGGTGGACCTTTTAATCTTTTCTTTTTCTTGTCTGTGCCGTAGCTTATCTATCTTGGTTTATCATTGCTTGTGTTTGATTGCTTGATGTAGCTGGTAATCTGAGGCATCTAATAGTTGAAGCTTGTATAGCGAGAAATGTGCTGGATACATCTGCATACTTGTGGCCAGGCTATGTTAGTTCATGCACCAATCAGGTTCCTAGCCAAATGCCTGGTTGGTCGTCATTTATGAAGGGATCACCATTAACTTCTTCAATGATGAGCGCTTTGGTTGCTTCGCCAGCTTCCTGGTATGCTGCAAGTTTTATGCTTCTATTTTTATTTATTTTTTGTATTTTGCTATATATGTCTTTAGCTTTTTCCTTTTCTTATTTTATTTTAGATGCTTCCTGGTATGCCTGATTCCCTGTTATCTTATTTTCTGTGTGCTGTATATGGTATTTTCCTTGTGAAAGTTCTGGTGTGCTACTTGCCTTATATACCTATTGGCCGATAAAGTGGCTGATTATTCCATAGTTTCAATGGCTGATTGAACTACTCAAATTTTCAGCAGATAATTTCCTCTACTATTCAATAGGAAATGGTCGACAATCTGTTTCATTGTTTTACTGATTAGCTAAAGTCTATATGTGAAGAAGATTTGGCTTTGTCATATGCGAATATTATGTTGAGAGAAACAATCCAGAACTGAATTCTTGTTGTATGCATGAATATAAATGAATAATGGTTGGTTGTATAAATTACTAAATTAGCTAGTTTATCTTCCGTTACCTCCTACTATGACCTGGTCTTCAGTCACACCATACTTTTTCTGAAGCTAGGTAAAATAAGATGATCTGTTTTATAAAATATTTACAAGTGGTAATGTCAACTGAATTTAAGCTCCTGGATTTAATGGAAGCTTACCAGAGATCGAGAAAATATATGAGATTGCGGTCAATGGTTCCAGTGATGAGAAGATATCAGCTGCTATCATTCTCTGTGGAGCATCTCTAGTTCGTGGTTGGAATGTGCAGGTATTCCTAGCGAAATCACTTATGCTTCTCTATCTTCTGTTTGGATTACAGTATCATTATGCTAACAGTTATGCTAACTTTTACAGGACCACACTATCCTTTTCATCATAAAATTGCTTTCTCCACCTGTTCCAGCAGATTACTCTGGAAGTGAAAGCCATTTAATTGATTATGCTCCATTATTTTATGTTCTTCTTCTTGGAATGTCTTCAGTGGACTGCGTGCAGATATTGTCCTTGCATGGCATGGTGGGTTTATGCTCATCTATTATATTCTTAAATGTTATTTTTGTCTAATAATTTAAGGCAATTAAATAAGACATTATTAAATTCTTTTGTGGGGCAGGCTCCACTGCTTGCAGGTGCACTAATGCCCATCTGTGAGGTCTTTGGATCAGTTGCTCCTGACAACTCGTGGACTCTTCCAACAGGAGAAGAGGTCTCTTGCCATGATGTGTTCTCATGTGGCTTCTCACTTCTAGTGAGACTTTGGAGATTCCACTTCCCACCTTCAGAGCAAGTCATGGGGGATGTTACATCAGTGGGCTCACAGTTAAGCCCTGAATACTTGTTAATGGTACGGAATTCTCGGCTAGCAGCCTTTGGAACTTCACCTAGAGATGAGATAAAGAAGAAAAGGTTCTCTCAAAAGCTAACTCTCTCCATTGATCCAATATTCATGGATTCTTTCCCGAAATTAAAAATTTGGTACCGGCATCACCTGGAATGTATCTCGTGTGCTTTCTCTGGTCTTGTACCCGGGACACCTGTTCACCAGATCGTTGAGGCACTGCTCACTGTTATGTTCAGAAAGATAAACAGAAATTCCCAGTCAGTGACAGCTCCTACATCTTCTGGAAGTAGTAGTTCATCAGGTCCTGCAGCTGAGGAGGCATTAGCTAGGCTCAAAATTCCTGCTTGGGAGATCTTAGAAGCTACCCCATTTGCCCTTGATGCAGCTCTCACTGCTTGTGGCCATGGAAGTCTTTCTCCCCGGGACCTTGCAACAGGTAAATGCAGTTTTACATTCTGAAAAAAGTTGGATCATATGGAGTACTAGTTTTAGTTATTTGACATGTTGGAAAAATCTAGAGGTTTCTTGGAAAGGTTGGATACTAAGATTTTGTTAGTATGTTTGGATTATTATATCTGAAGGATGACTTAGCTCTTACTTGCAGGGCTTAAAGATCTTGCTGATTTTCTGCCCGCAACTTTGGCCACTATAGCAACCTACTTTGCAGCGGAAGTCACAAGGGGCATATGGAAACCTGCTTGTATGAATGGAAGTGATTGGCCTAGCCCTGCTGCTAATCTTGCCTTTGTTGAGCAACAGATTAAGAGGATACTTGGAGCTACTGGGGTTGACGTGCCAAGCCTTTCCATAGGTATATCCTTTTGTTTATTTTGTGGCTTATTGTTCTCATTTCTTTCTTATGGTTTGGATTTTGGCTCAGAGCAAATGATATATGTTAGGGTGTGTTGGGACATCGGAAATACTAAGTAGATGTATTTGATTTAAATTCAAGTTTATGGGGTGAGTTTCAAGTATTATATATAGTACATCACTAGTGAATTTCAAAGTTCTACTGAAAGAGATTATAAACCAAAAAACAAAACCTAACATACGACAGTGAATTGAAATTCTTTATCTCATATGAATGGGTAAATTTCAAACAATCAGTCCAGTGAGTTTCAGTAGCTCCAGCACATTTTAGTGAACAGCCCAATAAACTCCACCGAGTCGGGAGTCCGGCTAATTTATAGCAAGTAGTCCAGCATAAGTTCAGTACACCGTAGAAAGCAGTCTACTTAACTTCAGTAAATTTTAGCAAGTCTCCAGTGAACTTCAGTGCATTCCGGTGAACATTGAGTGAATTTTTAGCAACTAGTCAAGTAAATTTTAGTAGACTCCAGTAATTATTCCAGTAAATTACGATAGAATCTATGAACTTTCAGATTTATGAAAGTCCCTCTCCCCCGATTCAGCGACCATCATGTGTGAAATAAGCCAAACATTTTGTTAGCATATGACGTGGCACGCCATGTTGTATCAATAACTTTACCTTCTCATCAATCCTTACTTTCCTTATACAGGAGGGAGCTCTCCAGCCACGCTTCCTTTGCCATTAGCTGCACTAGTTAGCCTCACAATCACTTACAAACTGGACGAAGCATCAGAGCGCTTCCTCACGATCATTGGCCCAGCCTTGACTGCACTAGCCGCTGGTTGCCCCTGGCCATGCATGGCTATCATATCATCTCTATGGGTCCAGAAAGCTAAGCGTTGGAGTGACTTCCTTGTTTTCCATGCTTCCCAAACCGTCTTCCACCACAACAGTGATGCTGTAGTTCAGCTTCTAAGGAGCTGTTTCACATCAACTCTGGGCATCACTCCTCTATACATCTCCGGCAGTGGTAGCGTCGGTGCCCTTCTAGGCCACGGTTTTGGGTCCCACTATTCTGGTGGGATAGCGCCGGTCTCCCCAGGGATTCTGTATGTGAAAGTGCATCGAGCAATCCGAGATGTAATGTTCATGACTGAAGAGATTCTCTCCCTCCTCATGCACTCCGTTCGAGAGATCGCAAGCAGCGGGTTGCCCAGAGATGCGGCAGAGAAATTGAGGAAGTCCAAGCACGGGTTGAAGTATGGCCAGCTCTCCACAGCCAATGCGATGAGACGTGTCAAACTAGCAGCTTCACTTGGGGCCTCGTTGGTATGGATCTCAGGGGGTCCGAACTTGGTCCACTCCCTGATTAGAGAAACCTTACCTTCTTGGTTCGTATCGCAACACGGCTGTGAGCAGCTAGTGGGTGGAGGGGGTGATGTAGTTGCCACACTGGGCGGTTATGCACTTGCTTACTTTACATTGCTGTGTGGAACGTTTGCATGGGGGGTTGATTCTGTGTCACCAACATCCGGAAGACGGGCACAAGTTCTGACCGCGCACTTGGAGTTTCTGGCTAGTGCGCTGGATGGGAAGGTGTCGCTGGGTTGTGAGTGGAAGACGGCGCAGGCTTATGTATCAGTGCTGGTGGGGTTGATGGCGGCTTGCACTCCAAAATGGGTGGAGGAGGTGAACGCGGACCTACTGAAGAGGCTGAGCAAGGGATTGAGGCGGTGTAACGATACCGAACTGGCATTGTCGTTGCTGGGACGTGGTGGGGTTGGGTCCATGGGAGCAGCTGCAGAGCTTGTTGTAGAATGTGGATTGTTTTATTAGTGAAACAGCGAGTGCGTGGTGGAAACAGTTTTGCAGCCCTTTTGTAGGGTAAGGCAATTGGTGGGTAGATGTAGGCCTGTTTCCTGAAGGAAAGATGCAGGGATGGCAGTTTGTAGGGTTTTTGTAAATTGTAGGTGTCTGTTTAGAAGCCAAAAGGAAGTTAAATAACAGGGATTAATATAGAGGTCAGTGGCTTTACTCATTTTGTTGGGTGGATCTCTAATTTTGCAGAAGTTTAATTTATGTATTCAATTCAGTTGTTAACAACTTTCACAGCCATCTTCTTTGGAGAAAGTTATCATTTGTTGCTGATCCGTATCATGGCTTTTGGTAGAGACAGTAAAGTCGGAGCAAAATTACAATTAGTAAGCTTATATTCCCCATGTATGAAAATAGTGAAGAACATATTATACTGCAAAAAAATGCATGAAGTTTGTTCTTAGCTTTTAGCTTTAACAAGATTTAACGTAATTCTTTAAGCCTACACTACACTCTTGAAGCCTTGACATGCTTGCTACTAGGCATACAATAACTGCCTAAAATGGCTGAAAAACATGAAGTTCCTAACCAAATATGAAGTAATTATCAAGTTGACTGACATTAATGGAATGTTTAATGCGCTAAACATAATGTTCTCAATTCGTAAAATAATAGAATATTTCTGTTTAATTTATACATATGAAAAATTGATGATATTATGTGTAAGATGGATCCTGAAATGAAAGATTTGATTATTACTTTCGTGAATACTGGTGCGGGGATGAGATTGATCATTATGGGATGATAGATGTGAGATATGCATTGACCAGGAAGTCAATGAGACGACATTGATTCCTAGAACGATTGTATGGACTAGGAACTTAATGAGACAACATGGATTTCTAGTCTACCGAGATGATGGGAAAATCAATATTGTTTGTTACGTGATCATGTAAAATCCAACGATTATAAAACTGTACCAGAAGTTAAGGCGGATAAGTCAATGGTAGGTTATTTTGTTGTTAAACCATGGTTTAACCATGGTTCAACCTTTTCATACTAGTAAAATTCTATACTGGCTTGGGATCTAGTAGGCCATTTTTCTAGGTCTGACCATTGGTACGATACAATTTAAATCACTTAAAAGACATAGAAATGGTCTATGCCATTGCCACCCCAAATGATTATGGGTTATGGTAGATTTAGTTGGCTAAGGCTTCCAAATTTTCCTTTTTTTTTTGTTCATCCAGAACGAGGGGCAAATTCGACCCCCTCCAGATGCCGACGATGTTCTTCTAAGGGTAGATTTTGTAAGAGAGGTTGATGAATTGCTCCAAGAAGTGAGAGCAGAGCAGAATGAAGAACCCAATGCACTAGGGCTTGATCATGAATCCATTGCCAACAAACTGAAACAGCAAGAGAAGCACAGGAAGATAAATAAGGTTGATGCTCTTCTAGAGCTGACTAATAACTTGAATATGTAGCAGCGATATATGTTGCCCCTTAGACAAGGTATAGCCTGTTTAGTTAGATTCCCAGGTTATTTTATAATTTCGTCTAGAACCAGTTTCTGTTTTGAGCTGTAGAAGTGAAGAAAATTATACTATTCTCTTATGACAACTTTGACTTCTGTACATAAAAAGTTCATTTCATTTCCCCCTGCTCTTTGCCAAGTTGAACATATGTTAGATGGAGTAAAGTGGGTTGGGTTGTGATATTTGCCACCTCTAATTTAATCTCCCTCCCCTTTTTGATTTGGGAAAAGGACAGACTCCAAGCTCTGTGCAAGATCAAATAAAAGTGCATGTGCTTATATGAGCCAGAAAAGAAAGAATATAGCAGATGAATGATCACTGCATTCGTAGCTAAGTTGCCTTTGTGGGCAATCGTTATTTTCTAATCTCACCAACTGATGCCTTATTCTAAAAGGAACCCAAAACCCATAATTACAACTGTTGCATTCTAGAAACCAAATGAGCGAGAATCTTCCCTTATTAATCATCACAACTGCTAGCTTCAAACAAAACACAGCTGTGAGATTTCATTTCATAAACAACTAATCCTTGCATCTGCTCATCAACAGGCTCACCATTACTCGAGAAAAACACTGGATAAGGGAGACCTGTATCAACCAGCCGACGCCATTCCATCCCTTCAGGTGCACAAGGTAAAAGAACACTGACCATTTTGCGCCCCGCATTAAATGCCATAAATAAATCACCCTTCTTCAAATAGCCAGATTCCGGATCAATCATGCTCTCAGACCGATCTGCCTTCAATGCCATAGCCAAGAATTTGCTTGATGGATCATCCCACTTTGGAGGAGACTGATCATTTCCATACCATTCAATGTTTTCTACATCCAAAAAGTTCCACTTCTGAAAAAGGTCACTTCTTCTTCCTCTTAATGCACTCAAGAATGAGATGAACTGCGTGGTTTGGATGCCAAACCCTGTTGAGAGTAAACTCCAATCGAGTGGTTTCCGATGTAAGTATGAAGTGGAACCTCCAGAAGATTGGCCACACTCATCACCCATGTTCAGAACAGGTACACCTAATGAAACAAAGAGAATGAATAGATAGTTCTTAATCTGTTTAAGCCGCCTTTCGAGGATCATGGTTTTGCTTGTAGGACCTTCTTCCCCACAATTCCAGCTCAGTTCAGCAGCTAGCAGCTCATCACTGCTATAACTGACCAAGTCCACAAGTGAGAGTCCAGAATTTCGGGCGACATAATTGAATGAAAAAGCAGGTCCTCGCCCATTGGAGAAAATATCTCCGCTCCCACAAAGGCGAGTTGCAAGACTACTGAGAGGACCTTCACCCTTCAAAAAGCTTCTAACATCATGGCAGAATTTTGTGTTCATTTCAGCCCACCTCTTCCAGTGCGGAAAGCACAATGTTTCTTTTGACAACATTTCTCGAGGATCCCAAAAATCTGCAATTATCTTGGTCTTTGACAGTAGAGGGTCGAAGGCAATTGCTTCGATCAAAGGGGGTCGAGATAATGATTCCCCATGAAATCCTTTAAGAAGATAGGAAGCATTTAGGAAGCAAAAACCATCAACATGAAACTGAGATACCCAGTACCTAAGACTATCCAGAATCAGGCTTGTAACAACAGGATAATTACAATTCAATGCACTGTTTGATCCTGAGCCATTTACTTTCTTCCCATGATGATAATAGGATGAGTCGTCGATACCTTGTAATGCCCCATATTCTGCGGTATGAGTGAAATTAACTTCCATGAAAACCTCTATGCCATTGGCATGTAATGTCTTCACCATCTCTTTCATTGAACTAATGGCAAATGTTGAACCACCAGAATGGCCATACAGGTTTGATGGTGAAAAGAAATGCAGAGGAGAATATGGCCCTTGTTGCTTATCATATGGAAATATTGGCTCCATCAGAACTGCAGTTACACCGAGATCTTTAAGATGCTTCACCTTCTCAATCACACCAGCAAAAGTTCCCAAGACATCGCTATAGAGTTGACTAGACTGGTTTTGTGTAAACCGAGCAACATTCAACCGGTATACCACTAGTTTCTCCATTGGCAAGTTAGGATGAACATCACCAGTCCAATCAAAATCAGGCTCCTTGCACAATCGCCCTAGATACTTGTTTTGCAGCAAACTAGTTTTACCCTTCATTAATGGATTAACAATGACTTTGGCATATGGATCCAAAAGAACATGGTCTACCTTCGATCGATCAATCCCTTTTGGAATGCATCTAAACCCGTAACTCTGAAATGTCTGACCACCTTCTATTGATGCATGCCAAACATCACCAGTTCGATTCACATAGGAATCCAGATCAATCTCCAAAGCAGGTTTGTCAACCTTAGTGTCATCATCATACAAGCATAAAACTACACTCTGTGCAGTTCTTGAAACCAATGCAAAATTCATTGAGCCGTCTGCTGAGTAGGAAAGACCCAATGGGGTCGGAGAACCAGGATGAAACCCAACTGGCACACAGAAATTAGTCTTCCTGTGGCTCCTGATTTCCAAGCCACCACTGACATCAACCCCTGACCTCATAGGCTTCAGGAGGAACGAGAGGTAAAATGGGGGTTGCCTTGCTTCGAATGCCAACTGAACAATGAACTTACCAGGAGAAATTTGCAGGAACGAGTTATCCATGGTTCCATCATCTCGTGATGGCGAATCCGGATCCGGACTATTCAAAGGGAGTAAGAACGATGAGGAATTGGATCTGTAGATACCCCAAACCATAACCAGCCGACAGTCCCTGATTTCCAATTCCAAGGATGAAACTTCAATGTACACCACATAGTTGGAGTTCTTCTTCTTCCCGACAGAAACCTTCACAAACCCGCCAAATTGGGTTCTGAAGAGGTAAGTTGACACTGTCGACGGATCCTCGACTTTAATGCCCGGAGCAACTACCTCCTGAGAAGAAGGTCGCGATTTGGCTTCCACTGCCAAGCTGGGGTTTCTTCTACATGCACCATTTGATGCAACTTGACTCAGCAACAAACTCCTCCCGGGATCAATGATTTTTGGGAATCCCTGTGAACCCTTTTTAGACTGTGTGGCGAGTGTGAGCTTAGAAGGCTTGAGAGCTCCACAATTGCGGCAGCCGCAGGTCGATATTGCAAGTGATGGAGAAAGAGTTGCCATTTTCCCTTTACAATGAAAGCAGACCAAAGTTTAAACCAGGAAATACGAACAGAATTACTTGATTTTAAGCCAGAAAAACGAGATTGGTACCTGAATTCTCTGGTGGAATCTACTTTCTGCTACAACAACAGCGTCAATCTGCAGAAGAGAGAGCCAGAGTCCGAGCAGCAAAAGGGTTGGGTTGAGCAGAAGAGAGGCATGCCATCGGGTTCGGGTATTCGGCGGCGCATCACTTGGATCACAAAATATCTTTAAAATCTTTCAGAAACCAACCGAACCGAGTCTACGTCAGCATTGAGTCTTCTCCTCAAACTTCGGAATTTCGTTAATTTTGGGATTTTGTTACGGTGACTTTTCTACCGGCTCTTGAAAACTTCTATAGGTTGGTGAGAGGAAAAAGTAACTGTAATGGGCGCCTCCAAAGAAAACCAATCTACCACTTAAAGCATTTTCTTTTTTCTCGTTAAACCGGTTTATATTTAGCAAGTGGAATGGTTCTACCAGTGGTATAATTGGTTTCTGTTGGTTTATACGGGTTTTTCAAAATATGTAAAAATGTGAAAAATCATTAACATCAACATTTAAAGACAATATTTAATGTTAATAAGTAAACGTTTATAGTTGAATCCAACTAATAACATCTATATTTAACTTTTAGGGTCGTTTGAAAGTTGCGATTGTTTTGTTGAGATTGTCATTATACATGTATTGTTTACAATGCATCATTTTTTTTGTTTTTTTAGCAGAAACAATACATGGATTGTTTCTATGATGTGACAGAAACTATCACTCATTTTGAGTGATTGTTATATCTCAACTTTTAGTTGTGATTGTTGAGATAGTTGAGTTGAGATTGTTTTGTCTCAGCTTTTAGCTGATGCGACATACACAATCACACATACCAAACGTTGTATTTTACAATGCATCAAATTCGACAATACATGTATAATATTATACATGCATTCTCAACAATACATCTATTTAACAATCGCAACTTCCAAACGACCCCTTAAATTCATAAAAATAAGTTATAATTTTTTTTCTTGATTAATTAAATTCACTTAAACAACATCATTTTACTTAAAAGTGTTAAATCGATCATGCTGGTCATATCGACGATGTTCGTGCCGATTCATGACCAGCACCGAGTTACACCTAGTGACTATAAATAGGAGAAACTAAGATTGTAAAAGGGTTCCACAAACAAACATTTGACACCAAATGCCAAACTCCATCTTTTCTCTGCAATTTAACTGTAGCTTTTAGTTTTTGGAGCTCTCACCGAACCTTCATACGAGTAAGGGTAACTTAACATAGTTTGTTCACAAAATATATCATCAAAATATCAAACACACTCGATCGAACATTGTTCGGAGAGGTGTGAATCGTATTGATTTTCGTTGTTCAAAAAATAAAAAAGTGTAAAAATGACAAAATGTCAGATTGACCTATATAAGGGTTAATGACAGAAATATTTTTTTTTTATTAATTTACCACGAATATGGCCAGTTAAAAACTATTGACAAAGATATTGTGTTTTAGAGATAAGAATCAGCAGGGACACCTGAGACTCAGGCGCTGCCGCTTTAGCTTGGTTTTTGGTCCGTTTTATTTAGTTGGCAGCAGCGGCGCTCAAGACTCAGGCGGTGGCACCCGAGACTCAGGCGGTGGCGCCCGAGACTCAGGTGAGTAGGTGGGAAATCATTGGCCACCCACCTTATAAAACCCAGACTATTTCGTTTCAGATTCACACCACAAAAAAAATCATCCAAAATAGAGGAGAGAGCTCTGGTTGCTGCTGCAAAAATGGCTAATAGGTAAGAGACACATTTATTTTTGTAATTATATTATTCAAATGCTATTATGATTGTGTTTAGTTTTTAATTAGTGAGTTTGTTTTTTTTAGTGATTTTAGAAGATTTGAACTAGTTGTTCGGTGGAAATCGGAGAAAGTAGAGGATAATTTGGGCGTCAAATTCGTTGGTGGTAGTAGTTTTCAGTTGACGGTTCCATCCAGAGTCACATATCACAAACTTTGTGAGACTCTAATTCCGAGAATACGGCGCAGAGACGAAGCAGTAAAAGATAGTGATGTGATCACAAGTTTCACTTACCGTCTTCCAGAATGGCAGAATGATGTTTTATTTCATTATGCGTTACCTATTGTGGATGATGATAGCTTGGATGTGCTTTGGAATTTTATGGCACAAAATCCTTATTGTTTGGGTGCTGAGATACATGTTGAGCTCAGTAAGGATCAGGGTGGAGAGGAAGAAGATGATACATGGAGCGTGCCATCCGATCATGACTATGATCACAGTGATGACGGAGAGGAGGAAGATGAAGAGGAGGAGGAGGAGGAGGAGGAGGAGGAGGAGGAGGAAGGAGAGCAGCTTAATTATCCTCCATATTTTTACTTGCAGGGTAATGAAGAGGACGAAGAATTTGCACTTGCTGATTCATATGACGTAATTCCAATGCCTATTGTTGATAGTTTTGAAGGAGAATTCTACAAGAGGCAGATATTTCACTCGAAACAAGCTGCACAGATGGCGATTAAACACCACGCACTACAACGCAACTTTCAATATGGCGTGGTGGAGTCGTCACCTTCAATATGGAAGGTCAGATGTTTGAGGCACAAGGATGACAATTGTCCTTGGATGGTGCGGTTTGGATGTCGAGATGTTGGGGGCGAATGGACTGTGAGAAAAGCTGAGTTGGTGCATTCTTGTAGCAGTACGACTCAACCGACGGATCATCGCCATCTTGATGTCGACATGATATCTGAGGCCGTCAAACATTTGGTACGTGCCCAACCAAATCTGAGTGTTCTAACTGTTCAAGCCGAGTTGAAAGATAAGTTTAATATGCAAGTTACTTACAAGAAGGCTTGGTATGGGAAACAAAGAGCATTGGAGAAGTTGCATGGAAATTGGGAAGAATCCTACGATTTTTTGCAAACATTCTTGCGGGTGGTCAAGAGAAAAATGCCAACATCGGTGATTGATTGGGTAAGAGTTCCTTCGGCTCAACCAGGTCATTCAATATTTCAGCGAGTATTCTGGGCTTATGGACCTTGTATAGATGGATTCAAGAATTGTCCAGGCGTCATGGTTGTGGATGGAACATTTCTTACTGGGAAGTATAAAGGAGTGCTACTCATGGCGAGCTCATTTGATGGCCGGAGGAAGATTTTTCCAATTACATTTGCCATAGTGGAGAGCGAGAATACTGAGAGTTGGCCATGGTTCATGAGGAAGGTTCAGTGTTTGACTGATCGAAATGATGTATGCATCATCTCAGATAGACATGCAGGACTCTATGAAGCCATGAATAACATCGGAAGAGGTTGGGAGTGGAGGTGGTGCATGCGACACTATGCAAGCAATTTGCAAAGGAAGACTAAAAGCAAAATTATGTATAATCAACTATTTCGAGTCGGTAAGCTTTCTTCATTTAATTTTGTTATTTGTTTTCATGTAATTTTGTCATGAATTTATCTAACACGTGTTGTGGTTTATTTTGTTAGCCGGAGAAAAACGGTTGGAGAAGTTTGATCGTCAAGTTGAGCAATTTAAGAAGGTGGCCGCTGATAGAAATATTTCATGTGATAACTGGGTGGATCAACATCAGATTCGTTGGAGTTTAGCACATGATAACTACAATGGTGGGGGTCGTTGGTCTATCCTGACATCCAACATGGCAGAAAGCGTCAATGGTATTTTCAAAGGTATTCGTGCACTTCCTATAGCTTCTCTTGTGCAGCATACCTATTGGCGATTGGTGGAGAAATTCGATAAGTATAGGTTGGAGACAGGAGCAGAAATTAGAAGTGGCGGTTCACAGTACTCCACCAAGTGCGAAAAGCTGATGAAGTACAGGTCACAAAAGGCAATTGGACATTCTGTGACAGCTCTTGATCGAGGTCAAGGCATCTATGTAGCTCAGACTCCTCCCAACAATTTCAACATGACAGGGTCAAACACACTCACAGTTCACTTTGACGATCAAAACCGGGCAGGATTTTGCACTTGTGGTAAATTTCAAGGAAATAAAATTCCTTGCTCTCATGCCATTGCAGCTTGCAACCGAATGGGGGCTAATGCGTATAGGTTTGTCAACAATGTCTACAAGCTGGAAACAGTTATGGCTTGTTATGGGACAAGTTTCGCACCTCTTGGTGAACCTAAGGGTTGGAAGAAGCATAATGGTCCTATTCTCCATCCTAATGTGCACATGATTAGGAAGCCGGGGAGGCCACGAGTTACAAGGATTCACAACGAGATGGACTGGCCAAGGGAGGGTGCATCACACCAAGTGTGCAGCAACTGTAACCAAGCGGGACATAATGCATCAACTTGCGGTGGCCAAGCTAGTGGGAGTGGGAGAAACCGAGGAGGGAGTGGTGGCCAACGAAGTACGAGAGGTGGTAGAAGAGGAAGTAGAGGTAATAGACGTGGCTGAGAGGTGGTAGAAGTTGTTGTATTTCTTTTGATTGGTATGTTGTTGTTTGGTATGTTGTTGTTATCTTTTGATTTACCATGTAAAAGTTGTTGTTTGTTTGAGATGTTGTTGTTTGTTTATAGTACATAATAATAACAATCCAAAAATAATAGTCTAAATGAAGTACATAATAATAACAATCCAAAAATAATAGTCTAAATGAAGTACATAATAATAACAATCCAAAAATAATAGTCTGAAGGAAGTACATAATAATAACAATCCAAAAATAATAGTCTGAAGGAAGTACATAATAATAACAATCCAAAAATAAGGAAGTACATAATAATAATAGTCTCACTGACGATCACCACGACGACCACCACGCCAACCACCATGCTCCACCGCTAGATGGCCGCCAGTACCACACTTAGCATGCACCCTGTTACGCACTGGTCTACCATCATACTCCTAGGGCTCATCTTCCTCAACACCACCATCATGATCCTGTGTACCGAACATCTCATCCTGCTGAGACTGAAGATGCTCATCAGGCTGACCGCCACCATGCTGCTGAGACTGAACATGCTGCTCATAATTCCACATCGTCTCCCGGAACACCTCATCACCCTCGCCCCAAAGGTCGGGAGTCGTCGCTGCTCTAGTATCACCACCTGCGGCCATGTTTCCCATCGTAGCATGCTGCGGTGTATGGAAGCTATCCTCTGGCTGATAGAAGCTCGAGGACGGATCTGACTGAAACTGCTGTCATCGCGGCGGCTGAAAGCTCGAAGACGGATCTGACTGAAACTCGTGTCGTCGCGGCGGCTGAAAGCTTGAGGAAGGATCTGACTGAAACTGCGCCCGAGGCAGATTAAACTGGAAGCTCCTCGATGTAGGCCGGATGGGCTGTGCTCGCTGTCGATCTGAAACCCGAAATGGGTTAGGTGCATCACGATGCTCACGTCACTGTCTACGTGGCCTATGCTCTTGTCTGAACTGTGGCTCTGGGACGACCCAGCCCGGTGTCGGATCAGTACGCTCTGGCCAGGCAGTCATGACGGGCCCCTCATAATGGCGTTGTACAGGTACTGTGAGATTAGGGTATCTACGCTGCTCAAACCCTAGAGTAGCAACCCCGGATGCCATAAAGTTGGCCAAGTCCTCACACTGGTCGGGGGTCAGCCCTCCAGCCCATACACCGTCACGCAAACTCACCTCAGCATGCTCGATAGTGTCGTACTAAAAAACACCAACAAAAATGTCAGATATTTCACACAATTAACAACAAATTAAGCAAATAAATCAAATAACTAACCAACGCCTCTGCTGCAGCTCCTCTCCGTGTGCCGGAACGTCTGGTGACATCTCTATACCACTCCATATGCTCCGAGTGGTAGGCTAACTCCTCATCAGTATATGGAGCCGTCGCTACAAACTCGTGTCGACGGTTCCAGAAAGCAATCGACTCTCTGGAGGCGTGTACCAACTGCTGCCCACGCGATGGCCCACGAGTAGCCTGGCGAAGAAAAAACCTAACCTCAGCCTCAGAATGTGGCGGATGAGGCTCATGCTGCCTCATGCCAAACTGCCGGAGCACGCGGTCTAGATGATGCCACATCACCGATGAAAAGCAGATAAGTGGCACTACTGCTCGAAATGTCTCAGACTGTAGCACGCTACCTCTGAGATGAAGTGCTCTCTCAAAGTAAGGTTGCCACTACATTAAATCCAAAAATTAACGTTATTATCCCTAAATCTAGAAAAATAAAACAAATGAAAACTATTCTATAAAATGAAATGTTATATACTAACCACCACGGTGTCCATCGCGTCAAACCACAACTTGTACTGGAATAGCTGGTCACCATACTGACGACTGTTGGCCGAAAGCCATCGAAGACCACGTGGGAATGCATCCTCGGTGGCCTGTGCCCTCGTCTCGGAATCTCGAGGTGCCAGATGTGGGAATCGCTCCCACGCCCAAAACTGCAGTAGGGTGACCCATCCACCAAGGTCACCGCTAAGAGAAGTGCCGGTATGCGTAATGTGCAAAGTCGACCTACCCATCTCACGGTACAGGTAGGATAAAACAGCAGCTCCCCAGGCAAACCGTCCAGCTCTCTCCCAATCCTCAATCAGAAGTAGGTACTGTAGGTGCACCGTACTTCCAGACCGATCCGAGAAAAGTACACCTCCAAGCAGAGATAGAGCATAAGCTCGTGCAAACTGCTCTATAACCTCCTGTGATGCATTCTCCGGCAGATGACTGAATTCAACCCTCAGCCAAACAATCCTAACAACAGCGACACTGCCTACAAGATCGGCCGGAACTCGTCCTAACAGTCTCAAACAGATCGCCGACCACTCCTCATCCGGTATATCAACTACGACGGCATCACCGTCGATCGCCAGACCGGACAGTGTAACAACGTCCTCTAACGTGATCGTGATCTCACCACACGGTAGATGGAAGGTCGACGTCTCGGGGCGCCACCGCTCTACGAGCGCAGTAATCAAACTCGCATCGGGGTTCATAGGGACTAGGGGCACGACACTTAACAAGCCTGCCGCTTCGAGATATGGCCGATAAAGCTCATGGTAAGGTACTAAAATGGTCGTACCTCGAACATAGTAAGATCGATCACCAGCCTATAGTGCACAAAACTTATATTAATTCATTTTCATTCGTAATAATTCTAATTTCACCTAATAAATTCTAATCTGTCTTATCTAACATAAAATTATACTAATTTGAAATTATACTAATTTCACCTAACAGTTCAGTTCACAACCTAAAATAATCTAATTAGCTAATTAACTTTACATGAATATTTATCAAATACTTACCTCGTTTGTCCAAACAGAGTCGATACGATGTTGGCCATGTCCCCAAAGAAGTGTCGGATCGATCGGACTTGGATCAATTGTCGCCGGCGGTAATCTCATCGAATAAGGATCCATAAGCCTAGGATCTGCAAAAACAAAGCAACAAAACATTAAAAAAAACACAAAACATTAAAGAAAAAATCAAGCTGCCGACGAGAGTCTCACCGCGCGAACGGCCGCCGACTCCACCACGACCTCGCTGACCTCTCCCTCTGCCTCTGCCGGCGGCGACTGGTTCTTCGTCGGAGGACATCTCGGGCGGCGGCGGTTCAGTCAAAGGCGGCGGCGCTTCTGTCAAAGGCGGCGGCGCTTTAGTCTGGGACGGCGGCGCTCGAGTCGGCAGCGGCGGCACTCGAGTCTTCGGCGACGGCGCCCGAGTCTGCGGCGGTCGGCAAGGCAAGGCTGGTCTCTGGTTCGGGGTTGGGGGGGAGGAAGAAGAAGAGAGGAGGAGGATGTCGGGGTTGGGGGGGAGGAAGAAGAAGAGAGGAGGAGGATGTGTGGTGTGGGAGGGGATAAGGTGGGGGCCCGTCTGAATTTAAAAAAAAAAAGAGTTTGGGGCGCTCCCGCCTGAGTCTCGGGCGCCAGCGCCTAGGACTATTTAAAAAAATTTGACTGAGGCGGGGCTGCTTGAGACTGGGGCGCCAGCGCCCAGGACTGGGTAAAAAATCAGTCTCGCCTGAGTCTCACGTGGTCCCGCCCCAATCCTTACTAAAAAACACAATATTTGTGTCAATAGTTTTTAATCTGTAATATTAGTGGTAAATTAAAAAAAAAATAATATTTGTGTCATTAATCCCCTATATAACTATGCACACCTCCTATGAATTGGGTACTTGGTCTACTACACCAGCATTTCGGCATCAACATTCACGTGTGGTATTAATCTTGTCCGTTATTCAGTTCATGTACACAATCAATATGTATAATAAATACAAATAATAAGGAAAAGATCATATGTTCCTTTGTTTTTTTTTTTCTTCTTCTTTTTTGTGTATATCAGGAACCAGACCCGGAACTGACGTCCGACACAAACTTACTGCTTCGCTTAGTAGCAACAAGCGGATTGTCTTCTTCATCGTAGTAGATCATTGTCTCTGTTTTATCAGATGGGTCGTGCTTGAAAACTGGATGAATGTAGGCATCGTGAAGGTACGTTCTCAGGTTCAGGTTTGGATCGGTAGCTCGCTCCAGGGTATCCCTCACCATGGCTTCCTGCAATGGGAATTTCACAAAGGCGGATTCGAAGCGCCCTTTGCAGAGCTTGTGGAACCACATTGTCAAAATAGGGAGAGGGATGAGGAAAGGTGACAGTTCCTCTGCTCCCTTCGTGTTCAGCAGACCCATTAGGAGCATCTGAGCTATCATTTGGCCGATAATCAAGCGTCGATGCACATCTGGCCAGTAGCCTGCTCCGCTCTCGTATTTTTGGTCGTACACATTGATGATCTGCCAGCAAAGTAATATTCGTACAATGTCGAAGAGTTTCTAAAAAATAACAGGCACAATATACAGAGCCAGTGCATTTGTGAGGTCAAAGCATTCAAGATAAGGGAAAAGGCATGATACCTGATGGCGGAAGATGACATAGGCGAAGGCGAAGAAGACGAGGATGAAAGGGAGCAACAAGGGGGTGACAGCGGCGTAAACGAAACCGAGCATGAAATAGAGCTGTATCCGAGGCTCTGATATGGGGAAGCTTATGCTACCTGGGTCCATGGCTTGCTCTCTATCTTGCTCGGTCTTCACCAAAAACGTGTTCTTTAAGTGAAAGATGATCAATGGCACCAACCTGAGGACCTCGGCTGCTATTCCCGACCAACCATCCACCATAATGTAAGTGATGAAGAAGGTGGCTCTCATTGGGATCGACACACCAATTGTTTGTGGGATTCTAGGAGAAAGAACGAAAGAAAAAAAGAACAATTCTAATTAGAATGTTATAGAACAACATTTCGAAAGGAGATCGGAGTTGAGTTGAACGTACTCAGAAGCAGACTGTTTCATGAATGTTTTCAGCTGCTCTAGAGCTGTCCCTGTAATGATGCTACCAAGGAAGACGTTGACAAGAAGGAACAAGTGATACTTTGAAGCTGCTCGCCTGTCCAAAGATGACAGTGAGTGAAATCCTTCGATTTTGGCCATCAACATGAGGATCGTTGGAAGTACAATGAGAAATATTTTCAGAGCAATTCCTGGAAGAAACCCTTGGACTATGGATTTGACAGAATCGCTGCGAGAAAAAAAGTGGACCATGGGAGACAGTTGAAGAAAGTGAAGTCCAATAAATTAAGCCTGATTAAGAGATCATGTTCAAGCAACTTACACTTCTATAAGATGCTTCAGGAACGGGAAAACCTTTTCAATCCCCTCGATGGTGGCCAGAGACTGGACAAATGCTATAGGAATGACAAAGAAGAAGGTCAAGAAGAAGAGAGCAACCGCCATGAGAAACTTTCGAATAGTATGCTCCACATATGGTATGGCTAGGTTGCTCCAGTATACATCGCGTGGCTCCGGAGCTCTCTCAGTCAACCACATTGTTGGGTTGCTTGATTGCTGAGTTTGTGCGCAAACTGCAGCTGCCCATCGGGATTTGAAAGATACAAATGCTGCTGGCATCACGGCATTAGCATCACTCAGAACCTTCTCCCTTTCCAACTCTTCCTGCATATATGCCAAGTTCTTATATTAGCCAAAACAGAGAACAGAATTGGTATGTTGCTGTCCTCCACTTTGTGCTCTAGAGAGGCAATATTTGGTGAAAGATCATACATACATACCTCTTTTATCAAATTCTCAATCTCAGATTCATAGTACTCGATTGCATCCACTGTGGTTCCGATAATACCCCACAGGCCTGTCTATTTTTAGGAAATGAATTACTTGCATTAGAAGCCAATATATATCAGGGAGATGCGTCTATTATGATACAGAGAACCTGCAGTGAAGACAACTTTCTTACTAAATACCTTTGTGGTTGGTCTTGTAGACGGGTTTCTATCGTATTTGTTTTGATAATAGGTTAACCAATTCCTCATCGCCTTCTTTGCCTCAACCACATCTGCAAGCTTGTTCGCATTGTATACCACCTAAATTATATAGGTTGAACTTTGAAGCATTACTCAGAGGCAGACAGACCATTAATATATGTCGAAGCAGAGAAAATTGTGGCTATAACAGGTTGGAAATAGGAACTACCAAAGTAAATCTACGATGTTGGGGAAAGCTTTGATGAGTGTTTGGTACTCTGTCTTTATCTTAGCATGCTCAGTACTGGGAACGAAACAAAACATAATCAAACGCACCTGGTGAAGGAGATAATGCTCGGGATGATTCACACGGAAAAAGTGCTCGACGTGATCTGTCACTGATTCATCTGGATCTGCAGGAACATTTCTCACAAGAACCTACTAGAGTCAACACCAAACAAATGAAGGTTCAATTTGAAGCACAGACAACTTGCTCATAGGAAAAAAAAGGTTTTTCAGCAAAGAATTATAATACGAACTTACGGTGAAGTGATCGGCGCGACGACTTTCTGCAGCCAAAAACTGCAGGCGCATGTTCGCTACCGCCTTGTACTCATGGTAGATCACGTAAAATGACCAAAACGTGAAGACATATGACATTATCGCATGGGCCCAAAACCTTCAATCATAGAAGGGAATGCTATTATAGATTGACAGTATCTTCGAATGGGAGTCATTAGAAACACCAATTTTATTTTAATGAAAGTACAAACCTACTTTGCAATACATTGTAAAGGGGAGCAGGGGTCATGCAAGGAGTCAGTTTCTTAACATTACAATTTACATGTCAGATTTTATTGATTGCAAGAACATTCCAGTGATAATATTGAAGGTCAAATCTAGACCTGATCAACTGCTATAAAATATATTTCACTTAAGAGTTTATCTATCAAGTCATGGACATTGTACCCATTACCTGAGTGATAAGCACACTACTAAGGTAGACCAAACTGTAGCAACGGATAAAAATGTGCATCCCAGTATTATAAGTCTAGTGTATGATTTCGTTTATCCGGAGTATGCATAGCGTTCAAAATACAACTTCAAAAGCATAATAACTGAGATGAGATGACATATTGCTTCCCCATATGAACATACTCTAAACAACACACTCACTCTGAAACACAAGAATAAGATCATTAAGGGAACTCACCTTACAGAGTTTTCTGCGATGTTTGATATCGACAACTTGTCGATATCACTGTATGTCAAATCTTTTATCTTATCCAGTGTTCCTCCAGTCATATTGACAGGGACAAGCACCGCCCAGGCGAGGAGCGTAATAGGAACAAATATTTTCAACCTGGAAAATCAGACATTCGATCCAAAGTGTGTTACGTTATAATGGTAAGGTGCTCCTAGCTTTAAGGAAGTACCAATGATAAACTAGAGACGATAACATTAAGTTAAAGAAATGCCAATCTACATACTGAAACTTAAAAGAGGAGGAAGAAGAAGCTACCCCATAAGGTAAATCCGTATATAGACTACAGAGTCAAGTCCAGCGTGTTCAATAAGTTCAGGTTCTGGCATCTGCAATGCTGCCGGCATCCAGTTCAGAAACCTTATGTAGGTTCTAGGATCCAGATTCACAAATTTCTTCATAAACCCCCCATGGTGCGTTGGGCTCCCTCGTATCCCTTTGAGATACCACTTAGGGAAGTACACTCTGTCGTTCACCGGCTGAAGCCTCAGCATCGCAAATGCGAACAGGAAGGCGATTGCGGATAGAAGATTGATAGCTGCCGAATAACAAATGTCTTGAAGGGTAGCCATTTCTTGTGCTCAGAGCTTAAAAAACTTCACCTGGAAGCCAAACCATTAGGAAAAGAGTTATCAGTACTCGGTAGGCTGTATGCCTGTATCCACCTAGTTTGAAACTGGCCACTTCCAATCCTTCCACGGGAATCAGATTGTTCAAGCATATCAATGTCAAGAAACAAACCAGCCACAATTCTCAAAACTAGGCAGCTTAAACTTGTGCATCTGGAAGCTAAGCACACAAAATTACTCCAAGCAGCAGATATGATCACCACCACCACTTGATCAATTTTAGGAATTGATATTCCACAAACCATTTCGAGAACTTAATTAGGGCAAGCGAATCATGCAATCGGAGGATTTGCATACAGAGAAATCTCGCGATTTCCATGATCGGCTAATCTCTAGAGCTAGAATCACACGCGAAGTTCGCAAATTTTTTCTCGGAAAATATGAACAAAAATAGGCAATGAGATTCGGAAAAGAAAGAAGACGAAGACGAAGAAAGGTACCTGGCAAAATTAGCGTATCACCGGCGGCGGACGAACCGGCGTAGAAGAGGGCAGAAAGAAAGAAAAAACGGAAAGGGATTGCAATGCCGTGAAAGTGAGAAGTCGATATTAGAAGGAGATGAGCGGAATTGTCAGGTGATTGTCCCGATCCGAGGTGTGTTCGTTTCGTTGGTGTATATACCGTCGGCGTGAAGGTGACGGAGATTCCGAAAGGAGCCCGGCTGGCGGATGATTGGTATGGCGCCAAGAAGTGCGGGGGCGGAGAGTTGGAGGGAGCCGGCACCAGCACAACGTTGTGATATTAGCTCGTGGGCTTCCTTTTGACGGTATTCAGTTAGCCGTAGACCTTTAGTTTGAATTTTTTCTTTTCCACTGCTTTTATCTGCGGTCAAGAAAATTTTTACAGCGATATAAAGCATAAAACATTGTTGTTTTAGTTTTTTTTTATTTATGATACAACTTGAAATTGTATATTTAATATTATGATGCAATATTTATATTAGCTTGTATGTACCTATACTCTTTTACAAAATCCATTTATGGACAAACTAAAGTTTGACCTTTATGTTGTGACAACTTCAAGTTGTACCACAACATAAAGGTCAAATTCTCTTATGATACAACTTTAATATGTCCTTTTAACGTTATGATAAAACTTCAAATTATATTTTGAAGCACCAATATTTTAAACCATAGTAGAAGTGCTCCTGCGTCGTTTGTGTCTCAATAAATCTTTTCTTCATGATACCTGAAATTTTAGAATAGTAAGTCAGTTACTAGAAGTTCTCAATTTCTTCCTTTACTGGCTAACTGGCTAAGCAATTTTTGTTGGATAGTTTTTTTTTATAATACTGCCAAAGCAGTTAAAATCTGGATTTTACCTAAAATAAAAAACTGGGATAAAATTCGAATCGTAGAATCGTAAGATTTTAAGTACCATATAGAAATTAACATATAATAATATTAATAAGGTAAATAATTAACAACACAAAGACTTATAACATTTAAAGTGATAATTTTCAAGATTAATGTTCCAAAATCATCATTTTAATTGTTATTTAATGCGTAACTAAAAATAATTTATGAGGAAGGGATAGAGCTCATGGGGTTTGGCTCTTGTTTTTCATGTTGTGTCTAGGTAGTTTAACTCAAAGTAGTATCCCGACGTCGTCTACTAAGCATGATTTAAAACTAAGAATAACTGAAATCCAATAAAATAATTAATGTCATTGGTTTGGTACAAATATATTCATTAATCAAATAATTTATAAATAATGATGTTAATTCTTACGCACTTACAATATTCTGAAAATTATTTTACAGATGGGTTAAACAAAGAGAAGGGAAAGGGGTTGACCGAACCCTAATTAGTTTTTTTTTCTTCTTTTCAAATGTTCTTTTAATAGGAACAATATATGAGAAAAGTCGCGTCATTGCCTTTTTCACCAAAACAGTTTTGCTTCTTTTGAATTGGCTCAAGCTCCCTATTTTGTTCACATAGGATCAAAATCCCGATTTTGATACGATTTTAACGATTTTAATCCCGATTTTGAACGATTTTAAGGTCCACCGATTTTATAGTAAAATCCGGATCGGAATCCCTAAGTAAAATCTTAAAATCCTACGATTTTACGATCAAAATCCCGATTTTACGATCAAAATCCCGATTTTGACTGCAATGAGTACTGCTAAGCAATATAAAAGTCAAGTTTAGGGTTAACACTAATTATTGCAGGAACGGATTGCGAAATTAACAGTCGAGGAGCACATTGGCCTTTCTTTCGGCCTTACTTGCTAGTCCCTATGGCGGATCAGAAATGATCGTGTTTTCGCGTACAAGGTCATCATAATTGAAGCTTTTCTACAGAGCGTCCTGGCGTGGATAACCATCGTGAGGCAAGCCATGGACAGGGACCGGACTGTTCCCATCTGTGTCCGCCCATTAGAAAGGAGGAGTTGATCTCTTGAAAGCCGCCTCCTCCTGAGTGGGTCACTCTCAACTCCGATGGATCCATTGGCCACGAAACAGGCTCTGCTGCTGCTGCGGGCCTGATTGGAGAGGGTAATAAGTGTGCGGATTTCCTCGAGAATCGAGGTCATGACTTGTCGTTGTTTCCGTTCCTTTCCTGTTGCAACCCTTCTTTGATGTACTGGATTATGTATGATGTCCATGGGATTTCTGAGCACGATTTGGTTATACATGAAGGTTAGGATGCTCCACATCCTTTTATAAAAAAAACTAATTATTAGCCAAACCTTTTAATTTATACATTCTTTTTTATTAGCCAAACCTATTATAGTATGCAATATTAACCAACCGTTATGTTTTCGTCCGAATTTCCTTTAGTTGATGCTGAGGTGACATATTGAGCTCTGAGGTGGCATGTTTTTGTCACGTGGTACCATTTTATTATCTAATCTAAAGAATATAATATACACTTTCTCACCTCACCATTTCAAATTTCCAGCATTCCTACGCATCCACGTCAGCACCTCTTCCACCAATCAAAATTTAAAGAATAGTTTCATTCTTATTTAATTTTTTCTTTTAAGTTTTTGAGTAATCCAATTAGAATGTGCCCTATCAAATTCTCTATCTTCTTTTTTAATCCCCTACCATTATTAATTGACCCGTATTTATTTCGATTGAACTCCGAATTTAGTTATTTTTGCGCCAATAAATAAGTTTTTATGTGATCTACACAACGATATCCATTTTGATATATGTTAAAAATATCAAATTTGAAAATCATGGTCACACTCATAAAGTGGTAGGCAATGGGGTTGGGTGGGTTTTGGTCTCGCTCACATTCTTCTGTGGGTTGGGTTGGGTGGGTGGCGGATGAGTGTGGTTGTTTCATGTGTTAACCCGCAAAAGCAATTCTCCAACTAGCCATTAAGAAAGTTGACTAACATTTATAATAAGTTCCTAGCAAATTAGTAAGACTATATCAATTTAGACACTTTCAACTTTTTCTCATGTGAGTCCATGTAGTTGTAGTATTTGCATCAAAATTTTCATTACTATATCAACCAATTGTGTAGAGAAAATTTACACATTTTGTGATTTTTTATACAATTGATAGTTTATAGTTTCCATCCCAATATCTAATGGATATTAACCAATAATTTGCATCATAATTTATTATATATCCACTTTAAGTAAGTGGTTAGTGTATAGTGTGGTTCGGAATTATGAAAAATACTCGATAGTATAAGAAATGACATTCTTTTATGTGAAAATAGGGTGCGGGTCATTCGGGTGACCCGCAATCCACTCACCACCCACCTACATAAGTGGAGGCATGAGATTATCAATCCGTAATCCACCCACATCAATCATCCACTGCTGGCGGTTTGTAAATCATTGATTTTTGCATTTTCATTATAATGTTTCTATATAATGATTTTTACTTTGTATATTTTTCTGATACGGATTGCACATTTTAGATGTTACTTTGTGATTTTTATTTTTAAAATTCAAAAAAGCTGATAAAAAAAAAGAAACAAAGAAGACCCACGTGAGTGGGAGGTTTAAAAATCACTTATTAGTGATTAATAAAGAAATAACAGAATTATTAGTAAAAAAAAAGGAAGACGTTCGTATAACCCATGAGCGGGAAAGGGAAATAAAATAATAAAGTAATCACTTTTTTATAATACCGTAACTACCCTTTTCATTTATTAAACATTCACCCATTTTTTAGCCATAAGATTAATATATCTAGATCCAAGGGCAAGGAAGGGCTTAGTCACTTGAATAAGGACCCCCCTTAGACCATCCACAATGTGGGTGGGGGAAAATGTGGGAAAAGAGGGAAAAGTGGGGAAATTGGATGATTTGGTCACGGTGTGGTGGTGGGAAAAGTGGGTAATCAGTTTAGTACTTTTTTGGTAAAATCAATCTATAGTTGATTTTGTCACTTTATTTTCATATAATGATCATTATTATTACGTACTTAGTGATAATTAATTAATACGAACATTTCGACATAATTTTTTTAAAATTTAGACATATTTTTTTCATCACTAATTAAGTATGACATCATCAATGTCGAAATCATAATAAAGAGTTGTATTTTCCCATCCGCCACTTCCCCGGTTCCCCCCACCATTTGTCTCATTTGGTGGGTTTTCCCACCCACTAAACCCACAAAACCCATTTAATCCCCTATTCCCCCCACATTGTGGTCAAATTTTCCCTTTTTCCCACAAAACCAACCCACGTTGTGGGTGGTCTTAGTCACAGGATCCTCCCTTGTTGAGGATTTTGGAGTTTTAGAGCGCACTCTTATCAATTAGGTATTCACCCTAATTGTAGTGAGCAACATTATACCGATTGTCTTTAATATCGATTTGAGATTATCCAGATGATTTCTGTATCGATTGCCCTTTTTCACGAGTGGGTTCTGATCGATTGGTTCCACCTATCTATGCTATTTTGGTTCGAGTGATTGAAGTTGTGCAACTTTGGTCGTATCGGTATGTTAGTCTAAATCTTTAAACTATAGGTTTTTTTCTTGTTACTTCATTTTAGATTATACTTACTATTTGCTCATATCTATTCTCCCAATTTTTTTGTGTTTTTAGGAACATCATATGTGACTGTGCAACTATTATTCAAATATCTTTCGGATATTTATGAGGTCATAACCACATTGGAGCAAGATGAAGATGCTGACGACGCATGATAGTGAGGATTAAGACGAAGGTAGCAAAGTATTGGAATGAGTCAGATAATGAGGAGAATATAAGGATGAATCGTGTGATCTACATAGCATGTATGGTAGATTCGAGGCATAAGTTGGCCTATGTTGAATTTGTCTTGAAACAGATGTATGGAAAAAATAATGGGGAGGCAATGGCTAAGGATATTCAAGAAGAGATGGGCAAGTTGTTTGAAGATTATAAAATAAAGCTCCCGCAAGCTCCTGCCTCCACCCTCAAGTGTGGCTGCTATGAGATTAGTACAGGTGTAGGAGCTAGAGCTACGTGTGCCACCACACCCAGTGGGAGTTCGAGTGGACATCTATCTAAACGATGTAAATGATGTTATTCCTTTCGATGATGAAGATGATAGCTTAGACATCCTTAAATGGTGATCCGTCAGTAGCATTAGATATCTCGTGCTTTCTGAAATGGTGCGGGATATTTTGGCTATTCTGATTTCTTCTGTTGCCTCTGAGTCTGCTTTAAGCACAGGAGGTCGGGTGTCATCCTCAATTAGATCCTCATTGACCTCGAAGATAGTGGAGGCATTAATCTGTGCAGAAGATTGGATAGCATTTCATGATTCCCAATTGTCCATATTGAAGAGGATCCCGAAGAGCTAATTGAGTTTGAAAGTGGTAATTTATCAGTTCTTCTTTTTCATTATGCTTTAGTTTTTATATTTAACAATTTGCCTATCTTAGTTTTCCTTCTCATTATGATTTAATTTTCATGTACTTTTATGATGCTTTACAAGCTCGAATGGGTAGTCAAAATGGGAGTGACCTTGATGGTAAGCCAAAGTCTGTTGATCCGACTCCTACTCCTACCCCCCCCCCCCCCCTCCCCAAACAGTTGATGTTGATCGACTTGATGCTGTTGATTCTGATATCAATCCTGATGACGAGAATTAAGATCTTAGAGTAAATGATGATTATGGGCTAGAAGATTTGGAGCAAGACCCTCGAATTGAGGTTGATGATTTGGAGTTTATGAATTTGTTATTTGTGGCTGATTATGTATGTTGGAGTGTTTGGTTTAGACTTTATGTTCAAGTGATTTAGATGACTTTAAGGTGTGTGTTTAGATGACTTTATGTTTAAAGTGTTTGGTTTTAGACTTTTAAGAGTTGAGATTATATATGTATTTGTGTAATGTAATTGTGTATTTGTGAGACAGTGAGACATTAAAATTGGCAGGAGGCAGCGGCTGAAATAGTCTTGGAATCGAAAATTCAGACCGAAATTGGTCACCCAAAATCGATTTCGAGATCGATTTCGGATCGAAAACCAAGTAATCGAGCAGACTTGTGGTCTCGGCTAATCACAACCCTAAACCAAAACCGTCACTTGCTGTTAACCAAAGGTCATGTTGGTCTCGGCCTCGATTGGCAGTTCTGGAATATCCTCGGTCTCGAGTAACCGATGATATGGTTTGGTTAAACCGAAACCACATGGACTAGCAGACATAGAGTTCACAATAATACCCCTGCTGGGATCTTTTGAATCATCCGCACGTTTAGATCGGCTATGTATCTATTCTTGATTAACTCTGGTCTGAGTCTATGAGATTTTGTTAATTTCTTAGGATTCCTTTCCCTTTTTTCCCCACATGCACCTTTTAAAAAAATTTGCCTGTAATAATTAATGGTCTCACTGCGTCTGCATGCATGGCTTTATTTCCTTTCTGAAAAAAGGATAATTGCATGGCTTTATTCCTCATCATGTAAAGCTTTATAAGTGTTTCCTTTGTTGCTAATTATATTATTATTATTATTATTATTATTATTATTATTATTAAGTGAAGAAAAGGGTCTACCAAAAGTAAAAGTATGGAGTGGGAAGGGGCAGTAGTGCGATTGACACAGTTGTTCCTTTGCGTCTTTACATGGGCATGGACAAAACTCAAAAGCCTCCCCATTCCATCCCAAATCAGCATTGCATAAGTTATTTCCATGTAAATTGTTATGGAATTGATTGGAATATACACTAGTACGAATGGTAAAAGAGAACCAAAATTCAATTTCGGGTGAAATTATATTCGTGTAATTTCAACTTTAGAGAAAATTCATACTATATTTTATTTAATTTGAATTTCCTATATACTTATTATTGGGTACGGAAGAAGAAAAAAAAAGATACTCAATTCTAGTATGAAAACACTTAGTAAAATGACCGATATTGTTCTCCTCTTTTTTTCTTTTTTTTTAAACGTCTGTTATAGTTATTAAAGATAGGAATGAACCTATGTCAACTTTCACTTTAAAGCCGCCAGACGGCCGGTAGGTATAAAAAGACTCGTCGAAGACTGATCCTGATCTTCTCTTCGGTAATAACTTTGTGTTCGTTAGATTGTACTAGTTCACTTTTTCAAAGTAATGTTTGTTAGGTCGACCCAAATTGGATCCATCTAAACCAAAAATCATTAAAAGTGCAAATGAGTTTATTTGGGTTCAACCCATTACCCATAATTGGACCAAAGTCCTTAATGACTGACTTAATTATTGTCATACCTAGTGTACACTTCTTTCCAGATCGATTGATAGAGGAGTTGACATCCATTAACCATTTCACTTTCGCTTTTGTGCGAATTGGGATTCCTTCACTATTCCAAAACTTGGGTTGCTTTATTTTCTCAGCTTTTTAGTTTGAATATACGAGAGGATGCATTCATCGAAAAGTATCATTCACGTCTTAACTTCCTTTTGCATAATATATGCTCACACACAAATACTCAAACCTCTCATTCCCTTTCCACAACATTCCCCTTTCCACACCATGGCAGCTCGCCGCCGTTCCCTTCTCCCAACCATCACACTACTACTCCTCTCCTCCGCCGCCGCCGACGCCGGCGACGACACAAAAGATGGGTTCGTCTTCGGCGGCTGCACACAGCAAAAGTACACCCAACACTCCCCCTACGAGTCAAACCTCAACTCCCTCCTCACCTCCCTAGTCAACTCCGCCACCTACTCCTCCTTCAACAAGTTCACCATCCTCGGATCCGACGTCGTCTCGGGCCTCTACCAGTGCCGCGGCGACCTCTCCATGCCCGACTGCGCCACCTGCGTCGCCGCCGCCGTCTCCCGCTTCTCCTCCCTCTGCCCCGACAACTGCGGCGCCGCCGTCCAGCTCCAGGGCTGCCTCGTCAAGTACGACAACGCCAGCTTCCTCGGCGTCGAGGACAAGTCGGTGGTCCTCAAGAAGTGCGGGCCCTCCGACGGCTACGACGCCGACACGGCGGCGCTCAGGGAGGCCGTGCTGTCCGGGCTCGGGGGCCGGACCGGGGCCTACTATCGCGTGGGAGGGTCGGGCCGGGTCCAGGGCCTGGCCCAGTGCGTGGGGGATTTGGGCCCGGCCCAGTGCCAGGATTGCTTGGGGGAGGCGATCGGACGGCTGAAAGGAGAGTGCGGGACGGCGGATTACGGGGATATGTTTCTGGGCAAGTGTTACGTGCGGTATACAAGTAACGGCGCTCACTATAGCTCCGGCGACAATAATTACAACAAGGCTCCTCACTATGGTAATTAATTAGTAGATTTTTGAATAATTATCTAGTACTTTGTTTCCGGACATACTAGTTGATTTTTTCGATTTAGTATTGTGATTCCGACGTTCTTAATACAATTGCAGCTGGGAAATCTACAAGCGGGACAGAGAAGACATTCGCAATCATAATTGGGTTACTAGCGGGAATTGCTTTGCTCATCATCTTTCTTACTTTCCTAAGGAAAATAATCGGTGGAGGAAACGGTAAATCTCTCAATCTTTTTGGTACGAAATTTTATTATATATTTTTTGCTAGTAATAAATTAGACGTTTAGCACGTGCTGATGTGATCGAATGAATCATGAAAATCCCTGCTTTCTTCCCAAGGATTCACATTTTTTTTTCTCAGATGAGATGTAGTTAAGGGGAATGAGTTAGGGTGGATATTAGTTTTTTAGTAACCATTGTGGCTACCTATATCTAAACCTTTCATTAGCTCTATTTTTTCCTTTTTTTAAAATGACGGTCAAGATTAAATTAAGGATAATTTGGGAATCAAAATATTATCACACCAGATTATTACCTACATTTATAACCTACCTTTTCCAACCGTACCTCTAGCATCTCCACCCTCCCACCTCCCGCCGTCCGCCTCCCTCACCCTCCCGCCGCCTTCAGCTCACCCCACCCATCCTCCCTTCCCGCCGGCCGCCTCCATCATCCTCCCGAAGGTCAGAAAGATTAAAGTTAATTGGCAGATTAGTGTATTCCATAATATACCAAAAAGTAGAACCAAACCAATCTAAGTAAATGCAGAGACAGGTCCTGAAGTTTCCCCCTTTTTTTCCGATCGGTGCAGCACCGAGAGGAAAATTTCCCTTTGTTCCGTTTTAGGCAAATCCCATACGTCCCGATTGTCAATATGGCTTCTCCTCAACGCCGCAACAAGGTCGAGACGAGCGCCAATAGATCGAGAAACCTGTCTTGCGTTGGAGAGTCGCTCTCTCCTGCTGATATAATCGCTGTCGGTTCCTCTTGTTTCCCAACTGCGGCTGTTGATTTCTTTCATGCATTAGTATTTTTCTGCATACATGTGAAACCGTGCTTTTTGATGTGATTGGTACTGTTCTGTTCGAATGGTAGTTTTTTAGTTTTTTTGAATGGTAGTTTCCTTTCATGCATTGGTAGTTTTCTCCATACATGTGAATCTGGTAGTTTGATGTGGATTGGTAGTCTTCATTTGGATTGGTAGTTTTATTACTGTTTTGCATTGTTGTGTCATGTTGGATTGGTAGTCTTCATTTCGATTGGTAGTTTTTTACTGTTTTCATTCATGCATTGGTAGTTTTCTGCAAACATGTGAACAACAATTAATCACTACCATTCCAATAACTCATACTACAACTAACAAAGCACTACCATTTGTTACAAATATGCCAAAAAATAACTACCATTGTAGTAGCTAATACAAAAGTCAGAACCAATACCAATCCAATCAAACGAATACCAATGCGATACGAACTACCAATAACAATCCAATCTATACCAATGTAAGGACTACCATTATTCCTAAACAAGTACGTAACAATACCAATCCGAAACATGTATGCATCAAAGGACTACCACTGCATGGAATGGGGCGGAGGAGGACTTTGGTGATGTGGAGGCGGCGGCGGAGGGGATTGCGGCAAGTGGTAGCTGGGTGTTGGCGGCGGCGACATTGTTGGTGCTGGCGGCGAGAGCTCACATCCGGGCTTCGATGGTGGAGGAGGCGGTGGCGGTGGCGGTGGAGTTGTGCATGGAACTCGGCGGTCGCCATTGATGCAACGTCGGCGATGATGCAACGCCGGCAAAAAAAGGTGGACTTCGAAGTGTACACGGCGGCAGAAATAGGGCCGGCCAAAAAACGTGGCATTCTAAAAGCCCTACGCTGATTAAACTACCTAATAATTAATTACCGTAATTATCTCTTCCTAATTAATTGCGTAATTAAAATGGTAGTTTGAATTAGGATGGAAGCAAAATACCCTTCTTATCCCTAGTAACCACCTTGGTTACTAACACGAAGTATCCACCATAATCGGTCCCGTAGTTAAGGTACCATACCTGCTGATACAACATTATAATTTGACTCTAAATTTCATGTTTTTGTTTTTTTTTTTTTTGCAGGTAAATAAAGTAGAACAATCTTTCCCAGAGATGTCGCCGCCAACTCTTTTAACATGTCTGAAGTCTTCCATTCAATTGATTTAACTGCTATATATGCAGCATTGTTACATCTTTCTGATTGGCTTTGTTCTTATTTTCTCGCTGGCTACACATAAATAGCTTTTCCCCCCCTTTTTGTCTGTTCTTTTTACCCTCATGACAAGTCAACTTTGCACTCTCTAATTCCACTCTAGCCTCCTTTACGAATTCATTTAAAGTAGGTCAAATATGGAGCAACAAATAATATACGGTAAGTTTTAGAATCGGTTTATGTTCTGAAAATTCTCTAAAATACATTTATCATGGAAATTATAAGAGAAGATATACCACGGTGAAAAATTAGTCATGATTACATAACTCATCTTATACTCGAGTGTTTCTTTACTTTGTTTATTATATAGTAAGTTCTTTTCAACACTTGCAATGGCAACCGATAACAACAAACACTTTTAAATTTCGAGTTTTTGTTTATATTAAAATCAAGGTGATGCAAATCACCTTTGTTAGCCTTAGCATTTCAAGAAAACAATTGCGATGTGTCGTTTCTAAGCCCGTTAACTGTATGTAGCTAATTTTTTGAACGACACCTTTTCCATACCATTCCCATTTCCAGAAATCAGAGTAGTAAATTAGAATATCATTCTAAAACAGATGCAAAAGTCTCAATAATTTCCTCAACACATGAAGAAAAGCAGAAGATAACTAAAGCAGCCTTTATATATCATTATATCCTCTTGTTTGTTAATGGTCTTCAATTGATTCCTTCAAATGGACCTACGGGATAACGAAAATATTTCATTAATATTAATAAGAAAGTTGTTATGCATCGAATCCATTAACTTCATTAGAGAAGGTATGGAGAATAAAGGGTCACGAAAAATCAATCAAGAATTCATCCAAATCCATCGATTGCATTTGGACTTGGATGCATTGATTTATCGTGGATTAATCGCTTCCCTAAGGCATATTGGACGAATTTGAGATATAGTTAATGAAATTGTCAGTTTTGTCCTCTGTTTTATTTCTCTGGGTCTCGTCAAAATGAAATTATTATAATTATTTGGCTCGACAAAAGAATCAAAAAATTCTAAAGTGAAATTATTGGGATATTTTAGACATTTATGCCGCCCAAACCAAAGTTTGGCCGTGGTTAACGGTTTTTGGAAGAAAATTTTATCAGAAGGGCATGTTTGATCATTTTTCTAAAGTATAGAGGCATGTTTGATAAAATGACATAATAGAGGGGCATATTATACATATAACCCTAATAAATGAGTTTTGGACTTCCTTATTTCTATGTAGAAGTCCTAACATATGCACTTGTTTTTATCACTCACCCAATCTAAATTAATCACTATTCATTTGTAAATCAAGTTAGTTACCAAGAAGTAAAAACTATAGCAAGCCATTAACCATAGCATCTTCCTTCGCCTACATTTCCACCATCAACCGACAGTGGTCTGCGAGTTCCAAAAAATCGAAGGAAATGTGTGCCTAAATATGCTATGTTCATTCTCAAAGAAAACAAGGTAGGGATTTAGTTGAAAATTGAACCCTTTAATCATAACATTGAGATTGTTTTCGTTTTTATATTACGGAGATCAAGGTAACTGTTGTGATCGAGAATTTCACTATTTGTTTACACCATAAATTCTGTCTTGTACCACATTGGTGAGTTACAAGATAATCAAGGAGTTTATAAGGTTACGTCCATTATAATAATTAATGTTGTTTAAATTGGGCCTTATGAATATTGATTTTAAACCCAAGTCACTAGCTCATTAATGAGCATGGACATGATTCAATAAGGGACATTGGCCGCTCGTAAGAGGCCATGCCATGCCACGAGATGGCATGAAAATTTCTAAGTATGAGAAGTCCATGGCCATGAATGAAGAGGCCATGCCGCCTCATAACCAATACCAAATGACACAAAAACATATCCATCTAGAATTTAGAAGCACATGCCATCTCAAGGAAGACCTCGATACGGTAAAAAACATTCTAAGTCTCGAGAAGGGCATGTCACTTCATGAAGAGGCCATGCCGCCCCATGACCAAGGCCTAATGACTGAAAAATAAACTAAGTCTGGAAGAGGTACATGCCACTTCAAGGAGAAGCACGTGCCGCGTCACGAGAGGGGTTATGGACGCAAGGCCACGAATCACACTTCAAAGAAGACAAAGATATTCTAAGTGTGGAGAAGGACTTGTAGCTTTAACGAGGAGGGTCATGTCCCTCTAGAGATCGAGAATGTCATGCCGTGTCACAAGAGGGGTCATGGACACGAATGAGAAGGGCGTGGTGGTAGAGCACTATATCAGTAATGACTAAGTCCCAAGTGGGCCATGGACATGGGTAAGAAGTCCATGGCCATGAGACAAGAGAGCCATGACCCCTTTTGCGAGACACTACATGCTCGTCAAAAGACTAGCATGGCCTGAGATTTAGAATAAGACCAGGCGAGGCAAGCTACACTCCAAAACCCACGACGGTTCCAAGAGAGGCACCTAGGCGGTTGAAGGAGTAACCACCACTCCGAGGAAGAAGGGAGCAGTTCTTTTTGGGAGTTATCCAAGAGGCGGTTTTCCACCGAAGAAGGAGGAGCGGTTCTTTGTAGCAGTTATCCAACAAGAGGTTTTCTATGGCGGTTACCTCCTCGGGGCTATAAATAAGAGGAGGGGTCGACAGAGACAGATGTGCCAAAACCAACACTCTGACACACATGTCAAGTTTATCCTTTACCTTTTCTCTATCATGTAGCCATAGATGTAGTTCGTAGTTTGGAGCTCTCGCCGAACCTCCATAGGAGTAGAAGTAATTTAATTTAGATCTCGTTCCCAGAAACCATCAATCAAACACCCTCGTTCGAACTTTGTTTGAAGAGGTTTGAGCCGTGTCTTAGAAATCGTTGTCCATGGAAGTCAAAGGTGCAATCCATCTCAATTCAACAAGAGTTTTCTCGCCGGAAAACACTATTCATAAACTCTTTTCCTCTCAAAATGTCATAGGCAATTCATTCTCTCACTACAAAAATCCCATATCACAAACCTAACTTCTTAAGTTCGTCACACAATCATTTTTGGGTTGCCGTTTCAAACTCCATCAACCCCAACTGCTTGCCTATCTATCGAATTCCCAAAACAATGACAAAGAAAGTTAGTTAGGCTTACACCCAAAATACCTAACTTCTTAAGTTCGTCACACAATCATTTTTGGGTTGCCGTTTCAAACTCCATCAACCCCAACTGCTTGCCTATCTATCGAATTCCCAAAACAATGACAAAGAAAGTTAGTTAGGCTTACACCCAAAATGCCTAATCAGCTGTTTGATGGGGTAAAAATAATGAAGTGGAAAAAGAAAGAAAAAAAGAGCTCAGCAATGCCATTTTCGACCCTAATTATTATGATCGTGAGCGTGCAGAGGACCAACCCTGCAGCGGCGTGTTTCATCATAGCTCCGAAAGAATGCACCAGCCGGGAATCGAACCCGGGTCTGTACCGTGGCAGGGTACTATTCTACCACTAGACCACTGGTGCTATTGTTGATACTATCCCTTAAGTAATAGATAAATCCACTCATGTTTTTTCGGCCCACCGGTGCTATCGTTTTCAGTATTTTTTTTTCTTTCTCCCTCCATATTTCTCACAAATGAATTGTCCCCCACATTATTTGTTACTTTTGTCTTCATCCCAGCATTGTTACTTTTAGGTGTGATAAACGGTAAGTTATTTATTGATTTTAATCTATACCAAATGGAAAACATGGTCAGTAGTTAAAATCTCTTAATAATTTGGTTGTATTTTATTTGGTGGTTAACTGGTAAGAAAATTGATGATCTCCTACTAGTATGACCACATAGTTTTGAGTTTTGACTAAAATGAAAAGTCTCAAAATTCAAATCCAACCAAAGTCACTATTCTAAACATCCCAATACCCAATTCAAACCTATTACAAACAACTCTCCAACTCAAAGTCTAAAAATGTTTTAAGAGACATCCTCTGAAAAGTCATCCCTTCCCGTTTGCAGTCGGCAGAGCGAACATGGCACCCTAGTAGTCTCCGTTTCTTTGATATCTGTGAAATGTGAATGATGATAATATGTTGTGCTTGTGTTTGAGGTCTTGTTAATTAGTATTCGCTAATTGAATGAACACGTTTGATTATTTGTAATGTTATTTGTTGGTATTTGAATTTGGATTAAGAATTGCATTACATTGATGTTATTTCTTTCAATGAGGGTGTTTGAAGCGCTTCCTTTTAGACTTTTTTTTTTCCACGAATTGACTCTGCTGATCATCGGGCAATTCATATTTCATACGTAGGAAATTCTCCAACCAGAGGGTTGTTTTTCATACTGAGGGAAGAGTTGTTTGAGCTTACCGGCTCTTACCTCACGTTTTGCTTTCTTGCCCGCTACTGCTAACTTATTTTATATTTATAATGTGAAGTGTAGTTAAATTAACAAACCGAGAAACCTAAGTGGTACTAATCTAGGAACAAAGGAAAAAAGAGCTCCGAAAATATCGGAGGTTCTCCAAATCGCGAAAAGCAAGGTTGCTAGGGTTCGGCGAGCTGAATGACGGCGGCGAAGCGGCCGACGTCGCCGGCTGTGGCGGGTAAGCCCCCGGAGGTCTCGAGTGGCCAACGACGCCCAGCGGAAGCTTCCTCTACTCCAGATGGCAAGAGCGCCAGAGAAACGGTACAACCAAAGAAGAAGGTTCGCGCTCTGAATTTTGAGGGGGAGGCAGTGGATGTTGAGGACTTAACGGCGGAGGAGATGGACACGGAACACGAGGGGAACGCACCTAAGGCGTCATGGCAGGCGAAGAAGGGTATGAGCTTTAGTGATATACTGCAGCAAGACCATTGGTATGTAGCTGAGTCAGACTCTGAGGACGTGTTAGAAAGAGAGAAGGAAGAAGACGATGAGATTGATGATGAAAAAGAGGACCCAAAATGCCCGACCATTCCTTTTACTGCAACGGAGAAGACAAGGTGGCGCCGAGAATGGCGCTCGGCTTTGGTAGTGAAGGGTCTGGGAAGGAGGGTCTCCTATATCCCGTTGGCACGTCGACTGAATGCAATATGGGCTAGACATGGCGACCTACAGATCTCGGACATGAGGAATGGATGCTTTTTAGTACGATTCTGTAACCAGAAGGATTATGAATGGGCGACATTGGGTGGACCATGGCTGCTGGGGGACACTTACTTGACGGTTCACAGATGGTTTAAGGGTTTCAACCCGTGGAAGACTGTGGTAACATCAACGATGGTGTGGGCTCAGTTACCCGAACTACCGATCGAGTTCATAAATAAGGAAGTTGTAATGAAGATTGCGGGATGGCTGGGACGCCCGGTACGAGTGGATAGAGCTACTGAACTGGGTGCCCGAGGAAATTATGCTAGGGTATGTGTTGAGGTTGACCTAACGCAACCGCTACTATCACAATTTAAGATAGAGGGTGTCACATACCTGGTCCAGTATGAGGGCCTGGATGACCTCTGTACCTGTTGTGGGACGTACGGAAAAAGAGCTGGGACATGTCAATGTGCGAAACTAGCAAGTGCAATGGAAGTGGAGGGTAATAAAGAAGTGGAACCGGAGGGAAGGGTGGATCCAACGCAGGGCCAAACATATGGCGACTGGATGGTCGTGAAGAGGCGGGGGCGAGGCTATGATCGGGGGAAGGAAGAGGGAAAGGAAAAAAAGAAAGAAGAAATAAGTATGAATAGGTTCCAAAAGTTACAAAGGGAGACGACCCAAGTGGAAAACAGGGAAGATGAAAAGGAGTCCGATAAGGGTAATGAGGGTGGTGGTGAGGAGAGTGTAGGCCAAGATGGTCCTGAGCTACGTGACCAACCCCATGCAGTTACACATGCAGCGCAGGTCCCGACGGGTGTTCAGGCCTAGAACTACCAAAAAGCGAATACGTCAAGCAAACAAGATATGGGGGCCAAAGAGGGAGCTGGGGGCCGAAAGGGTTCTGATGTGAGGAAGGGGCAGGGTGTGCAAGTCCCACTCGGGAACATGGGCAAGTCCAAAGGTAAGATTGATGATGGAAAGAAGCTGGAACAAAAGAAGGGAGAGAGTAATGCAGGTACAGTAAATCGAAAGGAATCTAGTGGGGAAAGTGCCCAAAGAGCTGATGGTGCGGGGAACCGATCCCCTTCGGTTGTTAAATGAGGCTTCTCTGCTACAACTGTCGTGGTCTGGGAAATACACGAGCAGTTAGAGCTTTGAAGTCGCTTTTGCGACGGATTTCCCCCCCAGCTGGTTTTCCTGTCGGAAACAAAACAGCTTAGCGGTGAGAATGAGGAGCTGCGAAAGGAATTGGGTTTTGGTAATGGCGAGAGTTGGCCTTGTGACACCTCGAGAGGGGGTCGGGCAGGGGGACTTTCGGTATGGTGGACAGAAGAGGTAAAAAGCTACTATTATGGATGGATCGGCCAACTTTATGGATGTGAAGATTGAGGAAACCCAAGTAGGTATATGGCGGTTCTCTGGTATCTATGGGTGGCATGAAGGGAATGAGAAGCATAAGACTATGGATCTGTTGCGAGAACTAGCGGGACGGTGGCAGGGTCCATGGATTTGCGGCGGGGACTTTAACCTGATCCTTACCGACAATGAGAAGAGGGGTCAAAATGTGGGTAATGAGCAGGAGATGAATGCTTTTGCGGACTGCCCAAGTGAGACGGGTCTGCAAGATTTGGGCTTCCATGGTCCAAAATTCACGTGGGAAAACAGGAGACAAAGGGGAGGATATGTGGAGGAAAGATTAGACCGCTTCTTGGCAAATGATAACTGGCGGTCCTTGTGGCCGACTGGGCGTGTTTCACACCTGGACTACGCTCGTTCGGACCATAGACCCATTATTTGTGATTCGAGAGGGGAGGAGGATGAGGATATTAAATGGGGGTGGTCCTTCCGTTTTGAGCCGTTGTGGGCACAGCATGCAGAGTGTGCGGACAAAATACGGGATGCATGGACTGCGACGACAGGGGATGCTATGTCCAAAATCGTGCAGGTACAGGAAAAGTTGGATCAATGGAGTAAGACTGCTTTCCCAAATTTCCGGCGGCAAAAGGAACGAATCCGAAGAGCTTTGAAAGCTTTAGAAAGAAGGGAGCAGACTGATACTGTCCTCCAACAACGAAATAAGCTGCAGGTGGAGCTTGATGAGCTGGAAAGTGATGAAGAATTATTCTGGAAGCAACGATCACGGGCTGACTGGCTGAGGGGAGGTGACAAGAACACCACCTTTTTTCACGGTAAAGCCTCCTTGCGAAGGAAGAGAAATACAATCAGGAAAATTAGAGATGAGGCAGGGCAATGGTGGCGCGGAAATGAGGAAGTGTCGGCTTGTCTCACTAACTATTTTGCTGAATTGTTTGCTGCAGGAGATCGACCGCCACTCACCCCAGTGCTGGATTCGATTGGTAGCTGTGTCAGTGAGGAGATGAATGCGGACTTGGTGAAGCCGTTTTCGAGGGAGGAATTCTATGGAGCCCTTCGCCAGATGGGAAAACGGAAAGCGCCGGGCGCAGATGGCATGTCGGTGCTCTTCTTTTTGAAGTACTGGAATATCATAGGGGACGACGTGACCAAAATGTTACTGGAGGTGACGGAGAATGAATCCATGCCGCTTGGGCTCAACCATACGCTGATTGCTCTCATACCGAAGGTGAAAGACCCGACAATGGCGAAGGAATTCAGACCCATCAGTTTATGCAATGTAATGTATAAGATGTTATCGAAAGCAATGGCGAACAGATTGAAGATCTTCCTGGACAGAATTATTTCATCAGAGCAGAGTGCTTTCGTCCCTGGCCGGTTTATAGCTGACAATGTTATGACTGCATTCGAGTGTTTCCACACCATGAAGAAGAAAACGAAGAATAAGACGGGCTATTTGGCAGCAAAAACGGATATGACCAAAGCATATGATAGAGTATAATGGTGGTTTCTTGAAGGCGTGATGCAGCGAATGGGCTTTGATGAGAGGTGGATTCGGATGATTATGATGTGTGTCAGGTCTGTGACATACGCTGTTCTGGTCAATGGTCATCGATCAGATATTTTCTCACCGAGCAGAGGGTTACGGCAGGGCGACCCCCTATCCCCTTACCTCTTCTTACTGGTGGCGGAGGGGCTTTCTTGCTATACCTCGCTTGCGGTTAGACAGAAGAGGATTCATGGTTTGTCTGTGGCTCGCGGCGCTCCAGTCATATCGCACCTCTTTTTTGCAGATGACTCGATTTTTTTTGCCAGGGCAAATGCACAGGAGAGTAGGGAGCTGCGAAGAGTTTTGAGTGATTATGAGAAGGAATCAGGCCAGTTGGTGAGCCTTGAGAAGTCGGAAGTCACTTTTGGCAAGAATGTTAAACCCCACCAACGACTAATCGTGAGCTCCACTTTGGGAATGAAGGAAGTCGAAAAACATGATAAATATTTGGGTCTGGTCACTCAAGCCGGAAGATCAAAGAAGGAACTGTTTGTTTACCTGAAAGATCGAGTGCGCAAAAAGCTGTCAGGCTGGAAGGAAAAGTCTATGTCCGCTGCTGCTAGAGAAGTGTTGATCAAGTCGGTTGCTCAGGCACAGTTAACATATACGATGTCTGTTTTCAAGGTCCCGGATAGTGTTATTGATGAAATTCATGGACTGATCACTAGATTCTGGTGGGGTCAAAGGGGACAGGAGCGAAAGACTCCATGGATTGCAAGAGAAGCCATGATCTGCGCGAAAGCTCAAGGAGGAATGGGTTTTAGGGACCTCCGCGGGTTTAATCAAGCTCTTCTTACCCGTCAGTTGTGGAATCTACTTCAGCGGCCGAATTCCCTTGTGGCCCGTCTGTTGAAAGCTAAATATCATAAGAATGTATCCATTCTTGACGCGAGGGTTGGCCATTGTCCGAGCTACGTGTGGAGGAGCCTGATGAGTGCTCAGGAATTTTTGCTGGACGGATTGAGATGGAGGATTGGTAATGGATCCTCAGTGAGGATTTGGGGGGATCGATGGCTACCGACCACGCCAGGGTACGTTATACAGTCACCTCCGATGGGGCTCCCGGTGGATGCAGTAGTTCGGGATCTCATGGACGAGGAAGAGGAGAAGTGGGATGATACAGTGTTAGAGAGTTGTTTCTCGGAGGAAATGGTGAATGCCATTCGACAAATTCCTTTGCGAAACCCACAGGAGCAGGATAGACTTATTTGGGCAAGTAGCAAGGATGGATGTTATTCGGCCAGGGAAGGTTATAGACTATGGTTGACGCGGCATCAAGAGGAGAAGGGAGACCGAAGTGTAGGTGACCCAGCGTTGTGGAACCGGCTTTGGTCGATGAATCTCCCGCCAAAAATCAAGGTCTTCATGTGGAAGTTTACAAGAGGGGCACTAGCGACGGGAGACCGAGTAAACCATCGGAATCCGAGACGAGGGGATGCTTGTCCGTTTTGCAACCTTAGGGAGGACCAGGCACATCTGTTTAGCGAATGTGCATGGATGAGCAGGTTATGGAGGGGATCGAGTGTTGCCCACTGCTTTGAGATGAGAGGGGATTTGAATTGCATGGAGTGGTTCCGTAAAGTGGCCGAGAGTGCTACTGAGCACGACCTTGAGAATTGGGCTGTGTTACTTTGGTTTCTATGGAGAGAAAGGAATGCCCACCTCTTTAATGGATTGAAGATGGAGGAGGCAGATATTGTCCCAAGATCGATAGCCTATTTGGAAGAATACCAATCGTACCAGGGAAGGGAGGAAGAGCAATCTGCAACTGAGATGGACCACCGGTGGAGATGTCCAACGGAGGGTATGATTAAAATTAATACTGACGCAGGCGTGGACAGCGAAGGAGTCGGGTTGGGAGTGGTAGCTCGAGATCACAATGGTAAGTTCATCATGGCAGCAGCCAAGAATGTGAGAGGAATCCAAGATCCGCTGATGGGGGAGGCGCTAGCTTTGGAATTTGGTGCGCAGCTTGCCCGGCAACACCATTTAGGCACTCCTGTCCTCGAGTCGGACTGCCTGGTGGTGGTCAATCATGTGAGTTCGGCATCGGAAGTTCAGACGGAGATTGGAGTGGTATGTAGACATATCCGACGAATCCTGGATGAAGCCAGTGGGGGACAGCTGAGGCATGTGAGTAGAAGAGCAAATGAGGCGGCACATATCATGGCGCATACGAGAACTCGATGGAATGAAGCGGAAATTTGGTTCGAGAGGCCACCGCTAAATCTGCTAGATCAGCTACATAGTGATGATGTATCTTCTTTTGTTCATTAATAAAAGCTGAGTGCAGGTTTTGATAAAAAAAAAGTGTAGTTAAATTATTTTGAATTATTTGTATGGTTATAAAAAAACACATAACTAAAAACAAACTTATATCACCCTTATAAAAAAAGGACACTATACAAAATTTCAAAATAACAACACATATGAATTTTGTTATCGATTAATGATTAGGGGTGTAAGTTTGACCCTTAAAATCCACTGACCTGCCATGCCCCGCCTCAACCCTCAGGGTCGGGCTGGGTCAGTTTGTCTATAGGGTCAATTTAGGGTCGGGTCGACTTAGGGTCGTGTCAGGTCAATTTAGGGTCGGGTCACTTTTTGACCCTATGACCCTTAGCATCATACAAACATGTTGGACCTATTTGTAAAATTTTATAAGTTTAGGTACTAAATTGTAAAAATTAAAAAAATTGGATACCAAAACGTAATTTTACCATCAAATTTTAGGGACTTATTTGTAAAAAATAAAATTTAGATACTAAAATGTAAGAAAAACTAGATTCGGGTACCAAATTGTAATTTTTAGAAAAATAGTCTATTTATTAGGGTCGACCCACTGACCCGACCCTTCCTGACCCGCCCCGACCCTAAAGGGTCAGACAGGGTCGGGACGGGTCAGTTATACATCTTTATCAGTTACTTGCTTGTAACCGATTTGGTTAGTGGCTAATCATTAATAGGGTTGAAAATTGGGCCTACCCGCCCCTGACCCTGTCTGATCCTTTATGGTCGGGGCGGGTCAGTTATACATCTTAACCCTTCAGGAGCGGGTCAGACAGGATCAAGGACGGGTCGGCCCAATTTTCAGCCCTATTAATGATTAGCCACTAACCAAATCGGTTACAAGCAAGTAACTGATAAATCTTATCATTTCGATTTCCAATATCCAACTCGAACTCAGCTTGACTAGTTCCCCTTTCATAAACAAAAATTACCACCCTTGAAATGATAACATGATCTTGAGCTTAATTTCTTAGTTCTGCTGCAAGTACAAACAGGGGAAGGAATCCGAATCTCACGACCACCACAAACACATTACCAAATTTACTTAAAGCGCTCTCTTTTCCTGGTCAACACCATCTCATACCACAAAACCAGAACCGAAATGTACAAATAGGACTCGAATATACAACTAGGGTAACCACACCGAACATATCATTTAGGTACATACAAACCCATCTTGCTCATTCCTTTCTTCGCATGATTGTGCATCTACTTCTCATTCCTCGTCTCCGAGTTCTTTCTTGATATGTTTCTAACAATAGTAAAAAGATCAACCGGTTTCAGATGCCATGAATTTGAACCGAGTGGGAGATATATATAATATCGGGTGCATAGAGTACGAACCTCAATCGCCAGAGGAGCAACGGTTGGGCCAAACCGACCCACAATTTGCCCATCTTTGTTGATCAAGAACTTGGTGAAATTCCATTTTATCCTTGAACCCAGGAATCCACTCTTGTATGTCTTCAGGAATTTGTACACTGGTGCAGCCTGATTCCCATTAACACGTACCTAAAGTAACAGAGTTTAGTTAAGGGCACTATTACAGTACGAATAAAGAGCCCTACAAACAACCTATCGACAAGCAATCACTTCTGTGTTTGAAATAGGGATAACCGGCAATGGAACCCTATCCGATAAGTAGGGTTTGAATTAACAGAGACTGGGGAGTGCGAGATCAACGGATCCAAACTGCTAATAACAGAATCAAATGGAAGATTGCATATCACTTCAAAATATTCATATCCAAAATAAACTTTGAAGCGAACATCAAAACTTATAAAAAGGAGAGGTGATGTGTGAAACATCTAGAGGATCGTTTCAGAGGGAATCATTTTGTGGTGATACTGTGAGTCAATCATAGACACAGTAGCGAGCAGATGTAATCAAACATGATGCAATGCGAGTCACATCCTTATGACACTTAAATCAAACAGAATCCAAGGAAACTCATGTAAGGTACTGCCATAAGAGCATTATACCACCAATAAAACTCCATTCATGCAAGCATCAAAGAAGAACGAAACAAAAACGCCTCAATTCGTTGGCTTTTTGTTAATCACCTTATGGAAAATTGGATACTCGGCCTTATATCTTGTACACGCAAACTCCTGTGCCTCCTCACTCGAGCCTGGCTCCTGATTCAAGAATTGATTGCACGGGAATGCTAGAATTTCGAAACCTGTTAACCAAGAATAGAACTTGATGACACACTGGCGTTTTTGCTGCTTAATCAACACACACTCACACAGCCTAAGGTTCAAAAGGAAAAAAGAAACTACTCCCACGAGAATCAACAAGTGACAACTTCTGATTTTCATAAACCAAACAAGTAACTGAGACTGCATCTCTTGGGAGTTGGGAGTTCCATTAGAGTAAATTTCCCTTCCAGTTGTTTTAAGAGCTAGGTAGTTACACACAGTAACTTCAACCAACTCCCACTTGCCGATTCCCCACATAATTGAAGCTTCTCTATGAAGAACAGAGACAGGGAAAGAAAGTAAGCGAACCTCGGTCCTTGTATTTGCTATACAGATCAGTCAACTGGGTGTAATTCGAATCCGTGAATCCACTGCTCCAACGAAACACACAGAAAACGGAAGGGGAAATGAGAACCCTTTCATCCCACAAAGACAAAAGCGATTAAACAATTCAAGGATAGAAATGGAGACATCATCAAGACATTAATTACCATCTGGAAGCTACATTAACAACGAGAAGAACCTTCCCCTTGTAGTCGTTAAGTTCAACATCCTTACCTCTGCTGTCCTGCGCATCCACACCAACCCCAACATGATAAGAAAACACAGAACGAAACAGCTAAGAGTGGGAATTCCAAGACAGGGGTCAGATTTCACAACGAGTAAATCTCAAACCTTGACGGTGAATTCATGGATAGATTTCTCAGGGACGGATGCTGAAACCCCCATTCCTCAAAAAGCGATACCCGCCGGTTGCTACCGTCGAAGCAGAGGCGGTGTGGGAACGGTGGTGCTATCGCGACGAGGGAGAGAGAGAGAGAGAGGAGGCGTCGATTGGAATTGGAACTCCAAAAAGGATCGATATTTTTGTTTCCTTTTCCCTCTTCCTATCTTGATGAAAGCTTATCCCTATACGATCAATTGGCTGGGTAGTTGGGCTGGTCTGGAAGAAATAGAAGAACAGCGGTATCGCAATTAATATTTGACAGATAAGGTGCGTGTGTGAGTTGGAACTTGGTTTGGCCAGAGCGTCGGGCGGTTCCGTCGGTGGGGAGAGCTAAATGCGAAAGCGGCGAATGAAGAAAAAATGGCGCTGCAAATGTGAAACGGGGAGAGGACTGTGGAAATTTGTAAAATAATTAAGGGTTTGTATTTGATTCACTAAAATTAAAGTCAAGTGGAACTTGTTAGTTGGTAGTCTAAACTAATTATATATCTATGTCAATACCTTAATTGGATAGCCATTTCGTATTTTTTTCTATTACCCAGAAACCTCAGCCTTACGTGTCACTTTGTGATAGCGGATTCTACTAAATTTGAGGTCCACCTGCAATCAAATTCGACGCCAACGGGGCTTCCCTCGTATTAGTACTTTGTTAACAAATTTGTTAGAGATATTATGGTAACAATTTTACATAGGAGTTTTTTTTTATTTCCAATCGTTTGGGTGAGGAATTCTAATGTCAATCTGACACAATTGTCTCGTTTTGAGTCAATTGTGCTAGATTGATCCGTTTGCCAGGAGAAAATTTGGATGAAACAATTTGGGCTGGGAAATTCTGAATTGACTCATTTTAAGCCAATTACAATTGTCTGGGGTGGGGGCAGGCAATCTGAATTGACTCGTTTTAAATTACTCGTTTTGTAAAATGAAACAATTGGTCAAATTGTCTCGTTTTACAATTGATCCATCCAAACGACCCCAATTTTAAAGGGTGCTGGAGAAATCCTCCATAACCCCAGTGTACACCATACTTGTGTCTGAAGAAACTCTCATCGGCAGCCTGCACAGCGAAACAAGGCTGAGCCACAACCATATACAAATGTTTATAATGTCAAGTATCTATATTTTCTTAATGTTCATATTTGGACAAATTACTCCTTTTTTAAATAAACCAAGCGAAATACCTTAAAACGTAGCTTAGGAACATCCAGCAGAAGATTTTCAATTAGTTACCACCCATTTCTGAGGCAACTTTCCCATTAATCACCATCATTCTATTTTGACAAGACTTATCTGAATGTTTAGTTCAGCAGCAGACATGCTCAGCAAATCAGGTAGGAACACAACTGCATCAACACAGCATCAACGATCTCAACATTTCATACATACGCCTGAGTCGTGACAGATCACAATTCCAGCACCTTACCGCCGCTAAACTGATAAAAAGAACTCTCCCCATTGTTTTAAATTCTTATAAAGACACTTAACTCTTCACCATTCAATGGACAACCAAAAATTCCTACGTTACCTCCTGAGGGAAGAAAACGACTATTAAGGAGAACATCTAGCAAAGATGATACACAGAGAGCGCCTGCATACAGGTAGTTTACACCTCTTATACTCTTGAAGCCAAAGAGTTATGCCTTCGCCTGCCATATTTTCTGGCATTTTGCAGAAGCGTTCCGGAAGGTTTACATATATACAGAAGGAATCCACGGTTGACCATCGTCACCAGCCACTTTCAAGCGTCTCGCCCTTGTATCATTTTATCTCGAATATGCTATACAACATGAAACCAGCATCCCTCTTTTGCAGTGAAGCGCGCCGAAATCAGACTACACCGCCCAAACTAAATGTAATCCAGCATTTATGTTGCACTGTTACCTCTCAGACAAAATGCACAACCATGATTGCATAGCAACACAGGCAATGTCTATATGTTGTCTATCTGTGCCGCCACATGTTTGGACCTGAAATTGAATATGATGCAGCGAGATTAGCAACTTCACTACTGGTTGAAAAGGGTTCATTTCAAGTTAAAGAGAGACAACGAGAACGTCAATCTGCAGTTTACTGTCGAGTATGGAAGTTCACTCGCTAAGAGACATACCTCTGTTCGTCACCGAAACCGGACCATCAGAATGCATGAATTCCCTGTGATGACCCCTAGGAGGATATTGCCATCCTTGATGATGGGGTAACCTTGGCTCACGAGAGGGCCTTGCATAAGGGGCAGGCTCATATGACGACCTGGACTTTTCAGGATATCGATGTCCTAGAGAAAACACGAAAACAAAATTTGAAGGGTCAAAATTAGCTAGTCCAGAGAAGGGGGAAGCAATTGAGGAAATGAAACAAAAGAGAAAATCAGCAGTAACCTACCAGGATAGGGGGGTGCACCATATCTCCAGTTCTCGCCAAACTCGTATGGGCCAGGTCTCATTCTGTCATGATTGTTATAAAAGTTGCCACTTTCACTATCATGTGACGAGTGGTATCTATGTGAGGAGTATGATGGTGGTGGGGGTGGAGGGGGCGTCTCTCTCCTGGATTTTATGTGTTGGCCGCCTCCATGAACGTAGGAATAATGGTTCGCCGGCGGAAGATGAGATGGTCTTGGAGGATGAGACTTATGGCGATAGCTAGGTCCATCTATATAGTGACCATTGCTCATCCCACGGCCCGAAGTATTGCAATTGTCATAAAACTGCAGGTCTGCCTGATCTCTACTACATTCAGAAGGATGGCAATGTGAATTCCTGTAAGGCCTTGCATCAAGACTATTACTGACATGGGCATCACGCGTTCCACAGGATTGATGGCCAACAGCTGGCGGCAGAGGAGGTGGGGGAGGAGGTGATGATGGTAATGGAGGACATGATGGCGGCATCTCCTGCGGCAATGGTGGAGGAGCATATTGAGAAGGAAAATGTTGTTCAAACTGGCCGTGTGAAGCATTGTTGGTTGAGGAACTCATTTCCACTTCACATATTGGGGCCACATCCTCCATTTCCAGTTCCCCATCCACATCCTCCAGTATATGAGTATGCTTTTCAGGAGCAATAGGTCCAGAAAACTCCCGTTCTTCAAGGGTGGTTTCAAAATTATGTTCGGGAGTGACTGCCTCAAAACTGCCTCCATCAGAATCACTTCCTTCATCTTCGTCCTTCAGCATGCGAGGCATACAAAATCCAGGAAGCTGAAAACTTGAATTGCTGAGGATATAAAAGAAAAATATTAGTGAAAATCTCAACAAATAAAAACTCGGTGGTCACTACAACAGAAGCATTTAGAAGAATTTAAACTTTTGGTCAAACCTTCCGTATTCGTCCACTAGCATACCCTCCATGTCTCTAATAGGATCATCCAGAGCCCTTTCTGTTCTTGCCGACCGACGACAGTATGGAGCAGCAGAAGTTGATGCACCAAGTGAATCTAGCTCCCGAATGTGATGCCGGATAAAGGATTCAGGAAGAATTCTCCTTTGCAACCAAAGCCGCAGAACCTATATTCAAGAAAGAGAAACAAGATGAAAACAACATAAGGGATTTGCTGTTAGGCTTTATGTACAAAACATATAGGGTTTCCTGGCTTGCCTTCAAACACTGTCTCCGATTTTCTAGAGCCAAATTTCCGGGAGGAGCAGCAGAAGATAGCAGCCGTGGCAACACTGCTTTAATAGCAGAAGTGTACGCACCATCAACATCACCTGTAGTCTAAAACATCAGCAAAGTATACATACTCTACATTCATTATTTATCCAATAAAAAGGCAAGAGACCTTCACCTTTCAAGCCTCGAGAGCATTGAGCAACAGAATCGACCAGGAAAAACAGGTCCACCCTTCTGTGTAGACTTGATTCACATTCCAATGTACGAGCTAGAATTTCCATTGCCTAGTTTGAAAATGAACAGAGCAAATAGCATGGAATTAGTCCACCAAGGTTACAACTCCTAACAGAGTAACTGGATGCGTAACTATTCACTCCGAAATGAGGCTTCCAGTTCACATCAACATTGCGGGTGAGAATAGAGTTAAGCAAATGAGGTACCAGGAAAGTATAAAGATTGAGCACCGAAGCACATTTATGAGCTTTTTATTCTTTCTTTCTACCCAACTCCAAAAGACCAATTTATTTCTCAAAATCCTTCAAACACCATGTATTACAAGTGTCATATTAGTTAACACTTTGGCTGTCAAAACCAGATCACATGAACAGTAAATTGAACCGGCAGAATCTACCTTCCCACAAGCATCATAGTTAGCAGAGTACATTTTGATTTGCAAGCAGCTCGACCATTCAGGTACTACTTTAATCTTTCTTTTCCATTCCTACTTTACTATTTACAACTTTTTGATCCTGTATACTACCCACCTGTCTCAGGTAATACTTTTTACTACGTCCAACTTTTCTATGCATGCTGACTGAAAAAATTCTCATTCTAAGACAACTTGTCAAGCAACTGCTACTCCCAGAAGTACAATAAGTAAAAGGATAACTTGTATTTTTTAGATTTCATTTTGGTAGTCAAATAAACCAGTACGCTAAACAGTAACCTGCACTGACCAGAACCCACCTTTTCCGAGGCACCAAACTTAGCACAGTCCATCGCGATGCGAGTTGCTCGACCAATGCTCTCCTTTGTCCTCGTTAACAGTCCAAGCATGCCTTCAAAGGATGACAATGCAGATTGTGCTTCTGTATAGTTGCTACATCTTCCAACAGATTTTGGTCTTTGAAGTGCTCCAGAATCAATCTTCTCGTCATCTGTAAGTGTAGTTCCAGAGGCTCTCCTCTGGTTTGAATTGGTATTAGGACTAGAACCACCACTGTTCTGATTGAAATTAGCACTTTCTGAAGTAGACACATGACACATAGAAGTAGTGATTGGGGACATCCCTGCTGGAGATTCTTCATCAGCTGGCAATGTAGCTAGCTGAGATCCCAAGGCATCCTTGTCAGAGCAAGGGTCATCAGAGGAAGTAATACCACTAGCTTCCATCAGTATTTGATCCTCTTTTTCTAGTTTGTAGCTGAGCAAAATATTCAACAGAATAACAGAGAGGAAAGTTAATCTCTAAGGCAAAAAAGTAAAGCTAGACTACGAAAATAACTGACACTTGAATAGGAACTAAAACAAACAGAGTACATTGATCCGGGAGAATTGTTAGATAATCCATAACATAACATGAAATATATAGTTGAATCAACAGACATTTGATATTAATACTTACCCTCCAAATGGCAGTAGATCATCATCAGTTCTAGACTTGTGTGACTCAAAATCATCACAGATACTTGCATCAACATTAACCTGAAGCACTTTTGGGTTATTTCCTCCAGCAATTTCAACAGCATGGAGAATAGTACTCTCTGAATCCTTCTCAAGTGCCCCAAGATCTTTACCAGGAGTTTCCACTTTCATATCATTTGCTTCAAGGCTTTCAGGTTCCCCTTGTTCCAGAGGCAGCAACTGTTGGTCCAATGGTACGTGATCTGATTCAATAACAGCAAGTTGGCTGTCAGCATCAAGCATCAAATTTACTGAGGTTTGTCCTTGAACAGAAGCGGTATCACTGGCACTAGGTCGAAGACCCGGTCTGTCATGATATGTTTCATTGCCATGGTTAATATTCTCAGCCACCTCATTCATGGAAGCTTCATTGCTGCTCGAAACCTCCATTTTGTCATTGGGACTATCTGCCTTCATTGAAGGTCTAGTACCTTCCTCCAAAGCCTCGTTAGAACTCAAACATAACCCAGGAACTTTAGTGCCGAGAGAATCTTCACTGTGTCCTATCTCTGTATTTTCAAGATCTTTAGGTGCACTGTCAGTTAAACAAGTTTTCGGAGTTGACGTTTCTTCAGCGGCATTTGCAGACATGGCCTCAAGGGCCCGATGAAGCCGTTTGCTTGGAGGCAATGCAGATTCACCAACAGCCAGATTACCGAAGGGTTGGCTATCTTTCACCCTTGAAAGCAGAACCTTGCCTTCAAGGATTTGACTATTCTCGGATGGTGAACTATTATTCAAAGTTTCATTTACTGCTTTAGTGGCAAGGAAATCGACATCAGAGTTCACAGACGAGGAAACCTGGTTCCCCATATTAACTGCAATTTCAAAAGAGGACCGTTCTTCAGCATGAGGCACACTATTCTGTGCCCCCTGAATGAGGCCACCATCACTCAAGGTCTTCCCTTCAGACTGATATGTACCATGTTCCTCTCTGGAAGTTGGTAATTCGCCCATCCTAACTCTGGCTCTTTTAACTAGAGGCAGATGTTCATCTCCATCTTCTTTACCACCAGTTTCCTTCTGATTTCGAGAGTTAAGTTGCAAGTTTGGGCCAGTATTATTTGCACCAACATCTAAATTCACCCCAGTATCTGGTTGAGTAGTTGGCTCGGTTGCCTCATTGGTTGCTCTCTTTCTATTTGGTTTCCTCTTCTTTCTAATTACAACATCCTTTATCTGAAAATCAAGACCTTTAGCCAACTGAGCTCCTTCCCCTGAACGCTCAACAGCTGCCTCGCAGTGCTCTACTTTGTAACAACTATCTACAGTACTGACATCATTTAAGCTGACAGAGCCAGAATCAACTGTAACAATTTCAGACACATCATCCTCAACACTGCCATTCGAGACAAAAGCAGGGAAATCCTTAATTTCATCTTCCACTACCTCTGGTGATTTCCTGCTGCGCTTAGTTCTCCGAACTGACCCTTCTTTAACTGAATCAACTAGTAAACCCCCTACATTTTCTCTGGAACTCTGTGACAACAGTACAGAGTTTTGCAGTCTTCCAGAAGCCAGCTGAGGCAAGATATTTGGCATTTCTGGTGATACTACTTTCTTTTGACTAACACATTTCCTAGATCGAGAACCTCCAGATCGTTTTCTTGAAGTATAAGTAGCTATAATAGGCTTTTCTACCTTACTGACAGACTGCTTCAGCAACACTTCTTTATCATCAAAGGAACCTAATGGTGGCACATCTGCAGCATCATTATCTGGATGGGTAGGATCATCTCTGCAAGTAACAGCTGTCTCCGAAGTTGCTGTCCGGCTTTCAATATCATTCTGGGATGATTCCACAGAATTCTCACCATTTGCAAATGGTTCACTAGAGCTGAAATCATTGACACTGTCTTGTTTCTTTGCCTTTTCAAAACTATCAATTATCTCATTCAAAGCACGAATAAAGTCAGCACTCTTCCCTTGGCGTTTTGTCGAAAGAGATTGTTTTTTCTCTTCCGTAAATGGTTCAATATCACCAGGATTGCAGAAAGCTCTACATTCATGAAAAGCAGTGCTTAGGTTTCCGACTGAAAAGCCGCCTCAAGAAATTGCGAGGAAAACAAATACATGGACAACTTAGATAAAGAGATCAAACAAACAATGATGAGCACCAATCAGACAAGATGAATGTCAAAGAACCTATCCAGCTAAACCACCAACCAGGTTCCTCGTAGGCGGCCTGAAGACAGCTTTTCTTTCTACTCCATTGCATAAAATGGCATTTTCACAAAAACCACAAGATTTACCAAAAGACGGCCAGAAAAGACACAGACCACCCAGCTAGAGCCACATGAAAGAATGGTTCACAATTTGCATAACCGCAACCAAACATAACCTCTATACCAAAATCCTTCATAGAGCATTAAAGCCTTCCACCATTAAAAGCTTCACTGGCTTTGCACATGGTACACAGCGGAAGAAGAGCTAGTCACAACTACCATGCTGGTCAACACAGTAAAAACAGTATCTACCCCCACCCACACACAATAAAAATAAAAATAAAAACTAAAAAGTAGGATGTCACTTCCTCTTCGATAGTTTCAAAGCACAAACAAGAAAACAACAAAACTTCTCTAGTCATGCCAGACAGAATATCAGTACAGAAATTATGGACTGAAGGTTTTAAATCTAAAAGGTGCAAGCTCTCATGAAATATACACTGCTTCCCTGGACAATAAAATATAGGTCCTATCACCTAACAGGGCAATTGTTGGCTATCTACGAAAGAAGAATGTGAGAAACACATCATCCAGATACCAAAATACGTTGCGATACTGGTTTCAACCTAACCAATGACGGATAAAAACATCTTACTTTAAATCAAGGTAAAGGTTAGATGTTGCAACTCCAATATGAAATAAAACAAAGTCTGTACAAATCTCCTATGCTATATTTCAAATCGATCACCGGATAGCATAACTGCCCATTCACACGGTACACAGCAAAACAAATGAGAGTCACAGCAAAATTTCATGCTGACTTGAAAGGTACAATTTTCAAGCTAGCAGAGCAACGAACAACGTAAAGCCAATCCCCCCTCCCTTTTAAACGCTACAGTAAGACAGTAGAAGAAAAAGAAATGTTCTGAGACAAAACACAAATACATAAACAGCTAAAGTCATGCAATCATGCCTAAAGGAATGCTAACACAGAAACTATGGTTAGAATGTTTAAAGTCACAAACTCCTGTCACCCTCACGGGCCAATGGTTCGCTATGTACAAAAATGAATAATGCATCATCCAAATACCTAAACACCTTTTATGCTTGCTTCAAGGCAACCAATGGCGGAGCTAAACAATTCTCTGATTTCAAGATAAAGGATACGACTAAGAAGAAAGACAACTTGATAGAACAAGACTGAGTGCCACAAACTCAATAGATTATCCACTGTAAATTCACACATATGAATTAGTTGAAGCAACAAGCAGATACAGCTTTCCAAGGGAGTAAAAGGAGGATCCTCGTTTTACCAAAATAGGTACAGTACAAGCTTTGACTCGGAACAAAAAACAGATTCATACTCACATTTGCTGAGTTCCGAAAAAGTAGACGAGTACTTTCTTCCAATCAGACTTAAGATCCCATTTCTGTGGCTCAGTGACCTGGCAACACAGCGACAGCAACCAAATGAAAGCTTAAACAGAAAGCAGCAAGAATCAGAAATGCGTTAGTTAAGCAAGTCTTAGCATATCCACAAAACGCAAAATGATGGGGTGCGGGTGCATCAATCCTAAACCAGGACAAAGCGAGAATTGCACCAACACAACTAAATAACAATAAGCAAAGCAGCAAACCCCCCAACGGGTCTTTAAAGGGAAACATAAACTACCCAAGTCCACAAATATGAAATACCAGTAACCAATCGCAAAACTTCAAATCGGGCTTCTACAACAAGTTACAATAGGCAAGCCATCCACAACAGTTAAAGCCTTTTAAGTGCCCACAGAATCCTCACCCAATAAATTCTCAGGGCCAATCAAACCGCGAAACAAAGCTCAAGAACAGCAACGAAGCAACTCAACATGCAGACTCAAACCCAGACGAAATCGCAAAGACTTCCACCTCATAACAAACCAAACACGCTGCCCCCCGCAAACAAGAACAGGATAATATATGAATGAACAGGAAATTAGCATTACCGTGGCAGGCCAGGCAGGGAAACCTTTAAGTTTAGCAAGGACAAGATCGCCGACTTTCCACTGGCGACGGGCGGCAGCTGCAGCTCTGCTGGCTCCTCTTCTCCTACTCGGCGCCATCCCAGAAGCTCGAACCGAGGTGCGCCAATCAAATTCGGGGGAGTTGAGGCGTATGGAACTTGAGCGAAGTGGTTAATCCAAAGACTACACAGAATCGGCCGCCGAATGGACCAAACCGGCACTGTCTAGGGTTTCCAAATCGCAACCAGCCGGAGTAATTAGCAGGCATTGAGAAGCAAGAGTCCCGGGAAGGAGAGTGAACGGCAGGGTGCGTCAATGAAACCCTAGAAGCTTTTTGGTGGGGAAGGAGACGAGGGGGGGAAAGGGAAGGCAGTGGGAACTCTGAAGAGTCCAATTGGGGGAGTTTTGGGGGGTGGGGATGAGAGAGAGGAAAGGAGGATGGGGAAAGCGCTGGTTTTGGTTTGGCTGAGGGAAAGGCTAAAGTGCACTTGGGGGGTGTAGGTTAACACGCTCGGCATGGGGCATCGGCTAACCTACGCCTAATGCGAAAAGGTTGGCTCTCTTTTTTTTTTTTTTTTTTCTTTCATTTTTCAAAATTTTATGTGATGCAGCAAAAAGATTACGTGGTAAACAAAGGGACCCTTGCCTTGCCATTTACACGTGACCAACCAACTACGAACCTCTTTCTTTGGGAAGGGAGTAAATGTGACGGAGCAAAGTTTTGAAGTAAATGCATATGTATTGTTAAATCGGTTTATATCGTTGTTGTATAAGTTTAATAAGGAAAATCAGTTCAATCAGTAGTATAATCAATTTGTATCAAATTATATAGATAAATACGACATTCCAAATAATATAATAAATACTCATTTTAAATACAACATTTAACATAAATGTATATACTTGAATCCAAAAAAACATAAATATTTAAATTCTAAATTCATAAAATAAATAATAAATTAATTTTTTATTACTTAAAGTCACTAAAACGACATCATTTTACTTAACGGTCGTAAATCGTACAGGTAGTGTTCATGCTTGTTTCTTGACTGACACCTATTGAAGCAGCTTCAACCGGTCGACATTCCATCGGTGTAACAACCATGATTTGCACTCAATATAATTTTTTGCAATAGTAGGAAGAGGAGCAAATGAAGAGTCAATCTAATACTCTAGTTTCCCTCCAAATTTTTTTCTTTTTTTTTTGTGCATTATGTCTCCCCAAATTTGGAGTAAAAAGAGGAGGAAGAGGTGAGAGATAAAATTGACATGATAATTATTATAATGTGTGCATTATTATTATATTCAATAATAATTCTTTAAAAAAATATGTTTAATGATAATTGTTATTATTCAAATAGTTATAATTATTATTAAATGATCAATAATTATTATCATTTTCTTTCATCATAATAATAGCTATTATAATGTAGACGTCGTGAATTGCAAGTTTGTCAAGCTGGCACCAATTGTTGACTCGACTAAACAAGTTACTGAAAGTTCTTTGGGTTGAATCGATGTTTTTTGTTGACTCAGATTTGCATTGACAAGTAGAGAGGAGAAGTGTCACGGGAAAAGAAGAGTGAGAAAATGTTTACTTGACGCATGTCACTTGGTCAAACAGTTGAAATCAATAGTTTGGACGTGTTTGACTAAGTTTGACCAATTTCACTTCAAACCTAAACTAGGCACGAGAGTCTGGTAGGATTCCTACTTCTAGTTCAACTTGTGGAATGCTACATTTGGACCCGTGAATTGCCAACGGGACAAAGTTAGTCTCTCTTGGACTCTATTTCTCCATTTAGGATCCAAGGAAATCAACTAAGAGGGGATCAGAAAGGACGAGTGGATCACCTTCTTGGAAATTGAGGAGTCGACCTTAAGTACTTTTGCTTGAGTTCATGGGAACCGTTGACTTCAAGACGATTCGAGTTACCGCTTATAGATCTCCCAACATCTCTCTCCAACTCAGTGGTATGGAGCGAGCAATAACGATCCAAGAGTTCACAAGGGCACTTGCCATCTATCCGTCGGGGTTCGTGGACTCGCCTGACTTTGACTCACTAATACAAAGGTATAGCATCCCCGAGCTTGGTGATATTTGTGCAAGAAACCTCAAGGAACTAGGAGCTCGAGGTTGTAATGTAAAGTTGTACAATGCGAGCGAGCTGAAGCCGGAGTGGAGGATTATCCACCACGTGATTGCTAGATCCTTGGGTGGAAGGTACTTAAGTACTGGAAATCTCTCAGCTCAAACATTGGGATCATGTGGAGCATGTTGGGCGATCAACACCTTTAGCTTGGGATCTCGATCATCATCACATTGTCGAGGCACATCACTAACCACAGGATCACAACTATGCACAATGGGGTGTATATCATGAGATTCTCCAGGTTCTTCAACATCTACCTCGACAATGTGGCGAGTCCCCTTGACATCAAGACTCATCGAGTCTCCTTCCAAGTTCCCAAGTCATACTTAAAGGCACTTCAAAAGAACGAGCATGGAGTATGAGGTGCTTGTGATCTTCCCTTTCTTGCGACCAATTCCATCATTGTGGATGACGAGGAGATTTTCCTCCTGGTCACACCACCAAGAAGAATAAGAAGAGTGTTCAAAGAGAAAGAAGAGACCCAAAACCCACATTATGATCCGCCTTCTTCTATAACTATCATGGTCCTCCTCCACCTCAAGCATCGAGCTCCTCGGGACCAATTGACTTGGAGGCGTGAGCTCGCATAGCCATTGTTTAGAAGATCTACTACATCATCAACAAGAAGATTCACCGAGAGGCTGAGGCAAGATGTCATGTGGCTTCTTGCAACCATGACATTATGGCAAAGCTTGGAATTCTGATGGAGGATATCAAACCTCTGTATGAGCCCTATGATATGTCTGAGCTAGATACTCAATCTGATCTTGGTCCGGAGGGTGACTTCTTAGGAAATCAAAGGATCGTTCTATATCATCTCTTTTCTTTCTTTTTATAAATGCTTCATTTTCTTTTCTTTGAATTTTGTACTTAGGATATTTGTTTTCGTAATAAGTAGTACATGTGTGTGGGTGTTTGTGTTAGCTAGCATATGTTTGTGTTTGAATAAAAATGCTTCTCTCTTTTGTCAATGTTTGGTTATGCCTTTATAACGACATTGAAGACCTACACTTGCTTCAACCCACCTATCCCTCTCCAATGGTCAAATTTTCTGAACCCTATCTTAAACTCTCGCATTAAGGATAATGAGTCTCTTAAGCGTGGGGGTGCTTTGCATATTTTTGAACTTCATGAATGATGTCATTTCATTTTTCTTATTGTGTGATGACGAATGAATTTATGAACGTGTATGAGAATATAATTGTCGAATGTATGAGTGAATGGTAGTTAGTACGAATGATAGTAATCTTGATCGGAACCTAGAAACTACTCCAAATTTTTTAAAAATTTAAGGGTTCCAAGCAAGCCCTGATAGTAATCTTGATCGGGACCTAGGAACTACTCCTAATTTTTAAAAAATTTAAGGGTTCCAAGCAAGCCCCAATACTTACGGTGTCGGTCTATGGTTTTAGTTCATGTTCGATTGTGGTTAACCGATTGGTCGGTTCGGTTTCATCATAACCAAACCGTTTATCACTTGATTCACTTCTAACTATTAAGTAGTGGGTCGAGTTCAAATGCAAAGGGAGTAGCTTTGAAATGACAGCACATAGAGGAGAGAGAAAGTAGTTGAAAATTTTCTTTGGAAGAGAGGATAAGTTAGGAGAAGAGAGAATGAGCAATTTAGGATCTTGGAGCCGAATTTCTTTTTGAGTCAAGGTGTCCAGATCTTTTATCCATTTCCCTTTATTATTTTTTACCGTTAATGGGGTATTCTGTATTTGGGGTAAGAAACCCCTAACCAAGATGTAGGGTTTTCAATATGTAACAGACGATTTGGTTTTTTTATAAGGGTGTTACGGGTTTACTTTTTTGTTGTTAGGTGTTACTTAAAGGATTCATACCTCAGACCTCAAGGCTAGTGTTTGTTGCTTATCCATATATCGATTGCATGTGGATGATGAATTGATGATTTAAAGGCTTTACCTTGGTAGGTGACCCTCGACTTATGTCAAGTTAAGGCTAAAATCAAGTATAGCAATTAGGTGATTGCATTATCATTGGTTGTGGGTTTATGTCAATTGACAATAATTGAGCATATCTATAGCTATGGTGGTCAATTACATGACCATTGAGTTTATCTCCATAGCTAGGACGACAATTGGGTTCATGACCATTTACTCAAATGCCTCTTTAGGTATTTTTACACGTCGAGATACTCTAATTTTAATCAATGAGTGTCCATCATGTTGCAATTCCCATTGAGATAGGTGAGGGGGTTTGAAATTCTCAAAATACTCTCCTCTTTGAACTAGTTTAACTTAACTTAGTTTTTTAGTTGAAAATGATGAAATCAATCAAATCCTTTAAGTAGCATTAGCGCTTCCCATTTCGTGTGGAATACGACCTGATTAGCAAGAGATCACCACTATACTTCAAAGCCTAGATAGGGTATACTTATCCAACCAGAGTGTGGATTCATGACAAAACATATCCTCCTATTTTGACTCAATTTACTTATTGATCTATCATCTTTTTTTCTTTCCTCTTTTTGTGATTTGATTTACAAAGATCTTATATATTCCTTTCCAAAATATCGGGTTAATTGCACCGTTGGTCACCGAGATTACAAAAAACGTTCATGTTTGGTCACTAGAAATATTTAAATCCATTTGTGGTACCTAACTTTACAAAAACCGTTCACTTATGGTCACTCTCCCTTAGCTGTCGTCCAACGCCGTTAATGGCGTCCGTTAAGTGATGGCGTGGCTGACGGATTCGCCTAATCATCACTTTTTAACCCGAAAATAGGCTAACCCGACCCACCACGTCATTTAACCCCGCCAGCTCATTTAAACCTAACCATGGAAGAAGAAACCATCCCACCACCACCTCCCACTTACACCCTCACTGCCTCCTCAATCTCCTACTCCAAACAAACCTCCGCCGCCGCCGCCACGTCATTCCTCTCCTTCCTCAACTCTTCTTCCACCACAACCACCACCACCATCATACTCAACCAAGTCACCTTCACCGCCTATCCCGACCGTGATCCTCGCCGTCATCGGCCATCAGGCGCCGAAAAGTCCACCCTCCTCGACATACTCGCCGCCCGGACATCCCCCACCGCCGGCTCCCTCCTCCTCAACTCCACCCCAATCACCAACTCCTCCTCCTTCCGCAAGCTCTCCGCTTACCTCCCTCAACATGATGCCTTCCTCCCCCTCCTCACCGTCGCCGAAACCTTCGCCTTCTCCGCCTGCTTCCTCTCCTCCACCTCCACTTCCTCCATTGCCGCCGTTCACCGTGACCATTTGCTTTCGCCCTTTTCATGCATTTCAAAGTAGGGTTAGGGTTTTGGTGCGGAAATTGCATATGGGGATTTGGAGATTAGGTATTATCTTGCTCCTGCAAAATTAGATTTGTTCGAAGGGATGAAGCAAGGGACTCCCTGAACACAAACCTTTTCCACTCGTGGAGATTATGTATTATCTTGCAAAATGAGATTTGTTCGAAGGCGGCACGGGATGGAGAAGGGGAACGTGCTGAGGGGTTTTAGAAATTATGTTTTGTTTAGTGGCGAGTGGGTAGTTTAGTTGGTGGGTCGGGTCTGGTTTGGCTAGAGGGTTGGTTAGGTTTAGATGAGTTGGCGGATTTAAATGACGTGTCGGGTTGGGTCAGCTTATTTTCGGGTTAAGAAGTGCTGATTAGGCGAATCCGTAAGCCACATCATCACTTAACGGACGCTATTAACGGCGTTGGACGGCAGCTAACGGAGAGTGACCATAAGTGAACGGTTTTTGTAAAGTTAGGTACCACAAATGGATTTAAATATTTCTAGTGACCAAACATGAACGTTTTTTGTAATCATAGTGACCAACAGTGCAATTAACCCCCAAAAATATCTATCGCAAACATATCACCTACACAAACGAGCTAAACTTCACTATCCAAAGTCCTTTTTTTTTTTGTCAAAAGATATCATATATTACTCCAATCAAACACGATAGTTACATCCTGGAAAGCAGTCAGGCTCTGAAATCAAACAAGCGATTCCCATTCGGGTACAAAGAGAGGGCTTTTCTAGCTACCGAATGAGCTACCCAATTGTTATCCCGACCTACAAACCGCACACTAAACCCCGGATGGGCAGCAAAATATTGACAAATTTCTTCCAGGACTGCCCCCAAGTGATTGTCGCGCGAATCAGCTTGATTAATCTTGTCAATAATGACCTTCGCATCCCCCTCGAACCGAACATCGGCCAAACCCCACTCTAAACACCAAGTGATAGCCTCACGCAGCACTAGCAGCTCCACCACCATCGGCTCATCCAATCGTGCAAATTGCACACCTTTAGCCCGAATGACCGTCCTACCCGGACCATAAAGAACCATCCCACCAGCCGAGTGCGACCTCCTCCTAGTTGCCCCGTCCCACATGCAAACCAACCGAGAGTCATCCACGCGGGTCCCAGTATGGACCACCCGAGAAGACATCCTTGGCTGCTGGTCAACCGGCAGACCCACCCATTCCTCATATTGCTGGTGAAATTGGCGCATTAAAGCCGGAATCCCAAACTGTTTGCCTTCAAAGACAACCCAGTTTCGCGACCGCCAGATCCGTCAGAGGATGACAACCACCGCCATAAATAGCGACGGATCATGGATAAGGGAAAGCATTCGCTTTAGAAACAGAGGAAACGTGTGGCGAGGCAAAGCCTCCCCTAAATAATCCAACCCCGAGTAGTCCCAGTGGGCCCGCGCCACCGGGCAGTAGAGAAACAAGTGCTCCATCGTCTCCGGGCCCTCCCAACAAACCGGACACCGGGGCAGCAGGGGAACCTTCTTTTCAATGAGCGCCTCTGTGGTTGGCAGGGCCCGATTCACTATCCCAAGTCCAGACGACCCTGAACTTCACTTTACAGACCAAAAGGCATAATTAGGGGTGTCCATTCGGGTTTGGTTTTTCGGGTTTACCGATCCGATTATATACATTTTTGGTTTTTCGAGTTTGGGTTTGTTTCGATTTTGGGTTTTTCGATTTCGGGTTCGGTTTTGCTTATCGGTTTTTTTGGTTACGGCTAAAAACCTCCAATGAATAGAACTCAACCTGTATTCTTAGGCGTTCGGGTTTTCGAGTTTCGGTTTTGCTTAAACCGAACCCGATAACGAATTTTCAGGTTTCGAGTAACCGGAACCCGCAAGTCCTTATCAGGTTTGGTTTTAATGGTTGTCGGTTTTCGGGTTTCGGTTCGGGTAACCGAACCCGACCCGAACTGACACCCCTAGGCATAATGCTATATGGATGATGAAAAACCGATACTAATGTCAACGCCGTAATAACACCAAAATCATGAAGCGTTAATATTCGAAAAAATAACCTATATACAATAATAGCCGCTTATTAACATGACAACAAAATGAGTCCGCCTTATCAGCCCCCTCACTACTCCTACAAATCCTCAGAAAACCCAACTCTAACCCAACATTGCAGATACTTCAGCAGCTGTTGACACTGCTCCAGTTTCATTATGATCCAAGAGATCCCACTCGTCATCCAGAAGCTCTTCTCTTTTACCATTAACCATCTGCTCCACGTCCAGCTCACTGTTGCTCAGCAAGTGGGCTTCCACGTCCTCGCTCCTCGGTGATCGAGTCCTCACAGATGATGCGGGACTCGTGTGCTTCGAGTCCATTGTGGGAAACACATCAACTGCAAGGACATTTCTAGTTGATGAAGAGCCCGATGAAGCCAAAATGCAGCTAGTCTGGCTGGATGAGATGGATTGACTCAGTGGGACACGGTTGTCAACCTTCTCCTTCAGCAACTGAACATCCTGACATATTACAGATATTTCTCCCCTGCAGCAGCAAGTAATTCAGCACCTCATCGCCCCAGGTGACTAACTGACAACTTTAGTTAGGAAAAGTTAAGAACACAGATCAATAACACTTACTGCAACATATCAACAATGTGACCACGGTCCATCAGAAATTCCCGCAGCTGCAAGAAGACATAAACAATATTATTGACACCTGGGGATAAGTTGATAACTGCAAGGTTGAGTTAGCAACCTACCTTAGAATTCTCCTCCGCTGCCTCTTGCAGAATCTTTGATTCTTCAACGACTTTCTCCATGATTGATTGTTCTTCAGAGAGCGCTTTACGAGCAGTCCCTACCTTCTCTTGCTTCTGCTTCTCAGCCGCTGCCAGCACCTCCTCAGCTGCAGCTAATCGTTCTTCTAGTGCTCGATGCATCTGCACAGTTCAATTTTATTTTTTGTTCCGTTCAGGATAACCACCCAATCAGGATACTCATCGTGTGCACAAGACCAACATAGATAGGCACCCAGTTCTCAGTTTGCATTACTTAATTACAGCATGTCCAAGACCAGTTAAATTGAAAAGAAAGTTTCCATTGAAAAGAAAGTTTCCATGGAGAAAAGCTAAGCGAAACATCTGGAGTCATTTACCAAACCATTGAATCATATGGATAAAAATTAACCGCTGCACACTCCTTTAAAGTTACAAGCGCCAAAATGGGTAGGTAGAGTGTGACGCGAGTCACTTATTTCCACCAGTAAACTACCTCGAATAGAATGAGAAAGCATAGAGCAGTATACATACACAGCAGTTATGGAAAAGGTAATGAGAATGGTTTGGCTACTAACATGATTGATACTGGCCTTTGAGACGGTATATGAATGGACCTTCCACATTTTAAATTTAAAACACGAGTAAAAACAATTTAGAGAAGAGAATACCTCATCGAGAATAGTTATAGCAGAATCCCTTTCCTCTGACAAATTGAGTACACGAGCTTGCAACTCTTTAACTTCCGTTGCGAGGATCGCCTTCTCACCGTACACTTCGCCCGCATGCTGCAGAAAACATGCAGTTGGTTCATTTTAGGATCACCGCCCCGGATAAATACAGCCTGAAAAGATTAATTAATCCAGCATAATGCAACTCTACTTACCATATCATTTGCTTCCTTTGCATGTGAAAGCATCTTTTTCAGCTCCTCAACCTGGACTTGTATGTCCAGACCTGCTGTTGCAGCTTCCTTTTCAGCTTGCTCTGCTTCTTTCTCTTTAAGTTCGACTTCTCTCATTTTGTTCATAACAGACTCCACAGCAGAAAACAATGTTTTCTGAATAGACATACAAAAGGTTGGCAAACAAAAAATCTCGTGAATTTTGAGAAATTGGATTATACGAATTGGACAATTATTGTATCATTGGCACAATGACATTTGCTAAGAATGCTTACTACTATTTCAACCAAATAAATAATATTCAAAAGCAAGAAAAGAAAAAAGCAGGCGAAAAGGCCCTTTACCTTATTGTTTTTCCCAGCTTCGATGAACTCATCGAGAAACTCGATATCGACATCTTGCTGTGCTATACCATTGTCACTTACATTACTTGGGCTGTTTGGAAGTCCCAAATTATTGTCACCTGTAGCTGTCCCCTGCTCAGCCTCTGTAATTCCAGAGTCAGTTGCAGCATCAGCCTGAGTATCAACTTCCGGTGCTTCCTCACCAACAACATCAACAGGTCCCACAAATAGACGAGAAGCTTCCTCTGAGTTTAGACCACCAGAGCCTCCATTAGAGCAATTATCTTCTACTACAGTAGCAGACATAACGTGTGTGGCCTGCTCAGGGCCCAAGTCACGGTCATTTTGTTGGTATATTTCTTGGGAAGGTATCTCATTTTCAGTATCAAAAAACACTTCACCGCCATTGCCTTTAGCACCTTCAGTAATGAAATCATCCGAAACAACAGGAGAGATATGATTTGATCCAGAGTGAGAACTATCTCCCTGGTAAGATGCCTTCTGAAGCAGAATCAGTTCTTCAATATCAGTCCCTCTGTGCAACTGATTGGCCTCCTCTTGGACATTAGAGGATAGTACTGGCTCCATGTTCAACAACTGTTGGCTACCAGTAGAGGAACCATATTGACGATCAAAACTCATAAGATCATTTCTCAGATCATCTACCCAGGCAGCGGATGATCGCGTTGAAGAAGAAGCACTGACATTCTTTCCTGAACCATTCGGCCTACGGCGCAACTGATCGGTTTGATCCTCATGCTCAGCTGTAGAAAAGAACATTGGGACGATGCCATTGTCAAATGGAACATTGAGCAAAATTGCATTTTCACCAATGATGATAAAAGCGAAGGGTCTCTCAACACATAAAAAAAAAAAAACACAACTTTTCAAAACATACGCACTACTATACAAATTACACATTAGGGGAAACGAGGAACTAAGAAGCAGAGTTACTAAACGAGTATTAATTACATTCTTCTTCTGCAGACTGAAGAGACGGTTTGGGAGCAAGTGATTGACTTTCCAGAAGAGGAAGAACCTCAGTGAGAACCGCTTCTACAGCTGCATCAGGATCCTTGTGATGTTCAAGAGCAACAGCCCTTAGCATTCGGATATCGACCTGTCGTGGATTGGCAGAAACAACCAATAAAAAAAAAGAGAGAGAGAAAAACAGGGTTATAAAACGAACAGAAAACCCATTCAAGTGCTTCACAAGCGAGCACAGGACTGTGATCACAGTTCCAATAGTTTGTACCTGAGGGAAGACGTCCATGAGGACCTGGTAAACCGTTTTGAAACCCATATTTCCCGACGCGATCGAACTGCAAGAAAACAAGAGATACGCAAAGAATCTCAATTTTGATCGGAGACAAGTCTACCACCCTGGAAGATTCGATGGAGGGCAGGAGGACAAGAACAAATTATAAAAACCCTACATAAGAAACAAGAAAGCTCGATTCGTAGTCCGGCTATCTCTCTGGGTTTTCTCAGGAAACAAACAGGAGCGCGAGGGAGGGATGAGACGCGAAGAACTGACCTTTTCGTTGGGAGAAGATGAGACGACGAAGGCATGAGTGGTGGGGAAGTGTGGAAAGGAAGGTGTAGGGGGCGAGGTTTGGATTTTGGGGGAATTGAATCGATTCGGACTTGATTTGATGGAGATTGTAGATGGAGGAAATTACGGTACCTAATGCCTTCCCCCGCGAAAAGGACTGTTCAGGTATTCAGTCGGAAACCGAGTCGGTCTCTACATCTACCACAACGGCCAACAGAGCTAAGGAATTGGGCATTCTGGTCATTAGCAGTGAGGGTTTTGGGGGTATATCTGTCTGAAAGGAAACTCTTAGGTAGTTTCCTAGGGTTCTGCGGCGTGACGCGGACAAAGAGGCCAATCAAAATCAATTATGTTAGTTTATAATATTGGAATATTTAATTAATAATAGGTATGGAGAAACTTAATCGCCTCTCAAAAAAAAATTTAATCTTTTTTTTCAAAAGATATCATGTATTGATAAAGAAAATAGCCAGTTACACTCTGGAAACCAGCCAGGATTGGAAATCAAAGAAGCGACTCATAGTCAGATACAAAGAAAGAGCTTTCCTAGCTACCAAATGAGATATCCTATTGTTCTCCCGACCTACAAAACGCACACTAAAACCAGACTGGGAACGAAAATAATGACCAATCTCTTCCAGAACAGCACCCAACCGGCTATCTCTCATGTCGGCTTGATTAATTTTGTCAATAATCACCTTCGCATCGCCCTCAAATCGGAACTCCGACAAGCCTTGCTCCATACACCAAATGATAGCTTCCCTAAGCACGAGCAATTCCACCATCCTCGGGTCATCCATTTGAGAAAACTGAACCCCTCGAGCCAGAAGGAGTGTCCGCACTGGGTCAAAGAGAACCATCTCACCAGCCGAGTGCGACCCACCCTTAGTAACCCCGTCCCACATGTAAACCAAATGGGAATCACCCACTTGCGCTTGTAGTTGCACCATCAGGATAGTCCTTCCCGGGGCTTGATCCGCTGGAAGACCCACCCATTACTCATACTGTTGGTGAAACTGTCGCATGGGCGCCAGGATCCCAAATTGTTTGCCCTCAAAGACAACCCAATTCCGAGAACGCCAGATCCTCCAAAGGACGGCAACAACAGCCATAACCACTGACGGCTGATGAATCAGCACCAACAAACGTTTGAGAAACAAAGGAAAAGTGTGTCGAGGCAAACCCTCCCCCAGGTATTCCAGCCCTGAATAGTCCCAGAGAACCCGCGCAACCGTACAATATAGGAATAGATGTTCCATCGTCTCCGGACCATTCCAACAAACTGGACACCGAGGGAGAACCTGAACCTTTTTCTCAATAAGCGCCTCCATAGTTGGAAGAGCCCGATTAAGGATTTGCCATACAAAAACCTTCAACTTCGGAGGGATCTTTACCTCCCACACTCTTATCCAACTCGGCTTATCCATCCAGCTTACCGAGGATCGCCACCCACCCCTCCTTCTGTCCAAATCGACAGCCAAATGATAAGCCGACTTCACCGAGAAAACCCCATCAGCCGTGAAATGCCAGATAAGCTTATCAGGCACATCCCATCTAGGCAGAAGAATAGCTTTGATAGCCCTACTGGTGGGCGGGTCAAACCACTGACTGAGCTTCTCATCAGACCACCTCCCTTCCCCCTGGCAAATAACCTCAGCCACCAAAGGACCACCCCCCTCAGGCAAAATCCGCGGATTGTAGCACGAGGGATCTAGTTGGAACCTAGGGATCCAATTAGAATGAAGGAGGGAAATCGATTGGCCATTACCAGCCTGCCATCTTAATCCCATCTCTAATAATTGGCGCCCATGAAGGATACTCTGCCACCCCCAAGAGGGACGAGACCTAGTAGCCGCGGTCGGGAAGGACCCTTGAGGGAAGTACTTGCCTTTATAAATCTGGGCAATAAGCGATTGAGGTTCCATAAGAATTCGTCAACCTATCTTTGCCAGAAGAGCTTGATTGAAATGTTCAAACTGGCGAAATCCCATCCCCCCTCATGCTTACTCCTGCACATGTTGCGCCAGGACACCCATCTAATCTTGGGACTGCCCTCCTCAGCACCCCACCAGAAGCGGGCCACATGTCTATCAAGAAGCCGACACAGAGTTAGGGGAAGACGAAAATAGGACATAACATGCAGGGGCAGGGCCAACGCTATGGATTTAATCAAAGTTTCCTTCGCAGCCCACGATAATGTCATTTGCTTCCACCCCTGAAGTCTCTCTAAGAGTTTATCCTCCAAAAATCTGAACGTAACCATTTTGGATCGAGCGACCAGCGTGGGAAGCCCCAGATATTTGTCATGAACTCCTACAGCACCAACCCCCAGGATCGTGGCCAAGAATTCCTGATCAGGCATGGAAATATTCTTGCTAAAACACACCGCCGATTTTGCTAAGTTAACGCGTTGGCCACTCAATTCCTCATACTCATTCAGCACCTCAATTAAATTCTCGCACTCTTGAAGAGAACCTCGCAAGAATAAGTAAGAATCATCAGCGAAGAACAGGTGGGAGACTCATGGGGCCAGGGGAGCTACTTTCACCCCCTCTAATCTTTTCTCCGTGATCGCCTTCCGGAGAAGGGCTGCAAAGCCCTCCGTGCAGAGCACAAACAAGAGAGGAGAGAGCGGATCCCCATGGCGAAGGCCCCTAGAGGCAGTAAAGTAACCCGAGGGCGTACCATTCATCAGAACCAAAAAAGTGGAGGATCGAAGACATTCATGAATCCATCCCTGACAGACAGAATTAAAGCCCATCTTATCCAAAACTGCAAGAAGGAAGGGCCATTCGACTCTATCATAGGCCTTTTCCATGTCAACCTTCAGAGTCATGTACCCCTTCTTCCCTTGCTTTTTTATCTTTAGATAGTGCATTAATTCATGTCCAATAAGGATGTTATCGATAATCTGTCGGTCTCTAATAAAACCATTTTGCCCCTCCGAAACGATCTGAGTGAGCAGGCTAGTCGTCCGTTCAACCATGATTTTGGTAATCACCTTGTAAACAAACTGACAGAGACTAATCGGACGCAATTTCCTAATTGTTTCCACCGAGTCCACTTTAGGGATCAAAGTAAGCCAGGTATGGTTAAAACTCCGCAACATCCGACTCGAAGTAAAGAAAGAGATTATTGCGTCAACCACCGAGGTGCCCACAATATCCCAGAAAGCTTTAAAGAACTTCCCAATGAAACCATCCGACCCCGGAGCCTACTTCGATCCCATGGAAAAGACCGTATTCCGAACCTCACTTGGCAAAACCTCTGCCATCAACTGCGCATTCATTTGTGGAGTAACACTATGGGTAATCGGCAGTTTCGCCACCCTCTCAGCCATATTAGGGACCTGCGATTACGAAGTAAACAAGGTCTAATAAAAATTGGTGGCAATAGTAGCCTTCCCGGTTTCGTCAGTGACCCAATCGCCCTCCCCATTTCGAAGTCCGGAAACAAAGTTCCTCTTCCGTCGAGCCCTCGTGACCGTATGTAAGTAGGCAGTATTGTGGTCTCCTTTTTTCAACCATTTAACCCTTGATTTCTGTTGCCAGAAAATCTCCTCCGCTTCCCACTGGCGGGAGAGCTCCGTTTCCAGGATCCTGACCTCATCCCAATCCACCGGGTGGATCGACTTCACCTTATCAACCTCAGCCTGGAGTGTCTTAATATTGCGCAGAGAGTTGGTTGTACCCGCCCTGCTCCAATCATAAAGCAGATGACGGAGTTTCTTTAGGCGCTCCCAAAGTCGAAACATAGGGGTACCTTGAATCTCTTCCTGCCAGACATACTGGACCATAGCCCTCACTTCAGGATTATCCGCCCATCGGGCATCAAAACTGAATAAAAGCCGACTACTACGAGCATACGGCTTATCTGCGAGCAGCAGTGCCCGATGATCCGACCCCTGGTCCGTAAAGTGCTTGACCAGCGTCTCTGGATAAGCATCAATCCAGGATTGGGAGCAAAGAACCCTATCCAGACGTTCGCCTAAACATCGGTGGTAAATATATGGCACCAGGTTAATGTCAATAATTCTTGATTATGCAATTATGCATAATCATATATGATTTTTTTTTATTTAGAGTGGGGCAGATTTAATGAATGAGATTAAAAGATCATGTTAATTTTTTTCATTTTTTTATTTTAATTTGGATTTCAAATTTCATTTTTTTTATAATGGTGATAACCTTTATTAAGCAAAACAAACAAACTGTACAAAAGAGATCACAAGATCTGATCTCCAAAAGACAAAAGGAAAACGGAGAAAAAACAAAAAAACGGAAAGGAGTGTTAAGTGGACCAGACCACTCCTACACTAGTCCACCCGATGGGAAAAGGCCCCTAATAAGCTTCCTTCCAAAGCAGGGAACAAAAACCTTTTCCCCAACAGGACCGCGAGCAAGCCCACCCCACAACAACTACAACCAACCAAACCCAGATGATACAAACCATCTCCCTGTCGCCACAAGGACGCATCTGTATGCCGCATCAACAAAATCAAGACCAACCAAAGCAGCCGCCAAGAAAAGAAAAAACAACAGCAGATATCCTCCAACGCAGATGCAAGAGCAAAGCAGGACAGCGAACCAAGAAATTCATTTATTTCATTTATTTATTTTCGAGTGATATCAAGAGAGAACAAGAGTTATACAAACAACACTATCCGGGACCCCCCTACAAGCAACACTCTTGTGAGGCCACTCAATAAAGTCGAAAGACTCTAACTCTATGAGAGACAATAACAATACTTTACGTGCCACTCTATGGGAAACACTGATGGCGGCTCTAGGAACCGCTCTAAACTCTATTAAAACTTACAAAGAGTCTAGGATCTGACAACACTCTTGGAGCACCGGACCTCCAAAGGAATCTTCTAGTACACTTTGCCGGATCTGGTTGATGACCACCTCGGAATCACCTTCCACTATCACGTATTCACGTGGGTCAAGGATCTTGACGCAACAATGGTGATAGCATTTATTACTGTTATGAGCTCTGCCAGGTAGGGGTTGACTAATGACTACTCTCTGGTGATGCATACCGGTTCCAGCACCACATGCCTGTCTGACCCGCAGAATAAGACCAGACAAGCATCCTCAGTCATGAACAGTTGCATAAAAAATGATATTCAAATAGTCATTTTTGGTGGAAGCTCCCAAGCGGGCAGGGGGAGGATTTGGCAGGAGCGATCTGGGGGGCGGAGGAGGGGAAGAATATTGGAGACTTCAACGACTTGGTTGTAGAATTGTCTAGCGAGGCAACAAACAAGAGATTGGTAGAATTCAAAAGTCACTTTATTTCTAGACTTCCATATTCTACAAAGTAAACAGATGCATTGGAGAATGTTGAGTGAGGAGATCTCAGAGATCATGACATGTCGCCACCATAGACTAAAATTAACAGTCGGGGGCGGATCAATGAAGTAAATCAATCCCATTACGGTCCACCACAACTTGGTGGCTAGGAGGCATCGGAAGCTAGTAATAATAACAAGTGTAAATTAGTAACTTTTTCATTGATGTGTGTTTGTTAAACTTTTATTTTCTAAGCTTTTTCCTCAAATCTAAGTTTAAGTTAAAACAAACACACTTTTATACTTTAATAAAAGAAAAACTTTTATACTTTTTCTCAATTTTCAGTAATAACCACTACTCACTCCATAACCTACAAATCTATTTAAAACTAAAATCCATCTCACAAAAAGAATTTTATTTAGAACTTCACTCTTTAAGAAAAATATATTCCCAAAGTTATACACTTAATAGCCATTTTTCACTTTATACTCACTGCTTTACTATTAAATACATTATCCACTATCTCATTAACTATATTTAAAATAATAATAATAATAATAATAATAATAAACTACTCACTTTTCATAAACTGGGCTTTTTCTAAATTCTTACCAAACACACTTTTCCTCAAATTTCGAAAAAAGTTCTCCAAATTTATGGAAAATACAACCAAACACTATTAGTATGAGCAAATCATCCATTTCACTCATTTAATAGTCATTTTACAAATATCGTAATAGAATATTATGTTTGTTGTGTTGTGATAGTTGAAGGACACTTTAGTGTAATATAATAATAGACGAGTACGTTTGTTAACCTGCAATAGTAGATGGGTATAAAATGCTCTTTTATATATGGTCCATGTCTGATAATGATGGATGGATGTGATGTTGTTTATAGCAGAAAACAAACTCCGGCTTGCTGGAGTGTACCTTGTGATAGAGGAGGTTTGTGAGCATGGAGGGAATTATAAAGACCATGGTGGTGGTGGTGCAAATTCCTCTCGCCACTATGGTAGTGATGTACGAGGCGAGTATGATTAATAACTTGGGAGTTCAGGAGGCAACAAGAAGGTGGTTATTCATGAGACTATAGAGGAAATGGTTATGGGTATTGACGGTTGGAGAATATGGTTGTTGCGGAGGTTATTCAGGTAGGGACTATGGTGATAATGTTCTACATCTCGTTCCTGCTAAACCCGATGGGGATACCATGGCCAGGTTATAATGATTGTATTGCACCTGGTCCAACTATGGAGTCTGATGGGCAATAGTGGCCAAATGGTGTTAAGAATGAGCTAAATCCTAGCATCTATACTGTATGGCCGCAATGATGATCCCTATGTGGAAAGGGCGGCTCATCCTTACAATAGTGACATAAGTGATGTAGAAGATTTGACATCAATGAGTAGTGAATATGTGGAAGCTGAGGATGGCGAGAAGGGGAGAGTATCGAACCTCCCACGCGCGCACTAAACAGCGATCCCACAAAATCCCCTCTATGCTCACAGCGACGACACATACCTTCCTCCTCTATGCTTTGTATCCAGCTTCGTACACTTACAAATATCCATGTACACCACCGCCAAACATGCTGATCCCTAACTTTTTTTTCCCCATCACATCCCAATCTCCGTATAGTAGTGGGAGCCACATGCCATTTATAAACCTATTGGACTTGTTGGGAGACATTAATGCCCAACCAATTCAATAAGGTATATGTGAGCACAACTCTTCACTTTTCACCCAATGCACTAATATGTTGCACTAGTCAAGGGATCAAAAGTTGGGACTTGTTTAGTGGTGGCAGGCCTTGTTCCGACTAGTCTCTCTGTGGGCACATTGATACCCAAATGCTCGAATATCAATGGCCTCCAACCTTGAGTAAGGAGCTTCAAATTCCTGATTATGCACTCTCCATCCATTGCCAGCTCGACAAGGAGGGCAATGCTTCTCAACGTGATCATCATCTTCCTCGAAAAGGTGGAAGGCATGTGTCTCATTTAATCACTTCTCGGCCAAGGATGCGAGGAGATTGTTGCCATTCTCCATACCTACAAATAACCTCACCCTTGCCAAGCCCACTTTTTCTGAAAAATCTTGATCTGCCTATCCCTAAGGGCAAGTGTGTGAGGCCCCCCTATAAAAGACAACAACATATTCCTATATGAAAAAAAGTAAAGTAAGTTTTTGAAAGATTAAAGAATCGCCATCATGATGCAAAATACATGAGGTATATATGGTCGAGTGCTTACCTGGTCATCTGCCCAAACATTTTGGGAGCGATGGTATGGTTGGCCATACAACACATGATTGTCTCTCAAGGCTGTTTAGTGGGAAATCTCAACCCATCGATTTATCTTTCATCACACTCTCATTCGAGCATAGGCTATTTAGTTACAAAGTAGTTGCTACTAGAAAATCTTGTGAAATACGACCCGAGATGCTCATAGATTTATTACTTTGAGACACATTATGCTTTATAGGGTTTTGAGATTTCTTAAGTCAAAAAAAATAAAATAAAAATGTTTGTTGTTTGTTGGACTCGAACGAGGGGTGAGCTGAATGAAATCAAGGCTGCATGCAATCACTTAGAAATCCATGTGCAACCCATCATTCAACACCTTCGAAGCTATACTTTATGGTTTTGATGGATTGGGCTTGGTTGCTGAACCAATTTTTACAATAGTCTTAAGGGGTCGTTTGGAAGTTGCGTATGTTAAATCGTTGTATTGTTATGAATCACTATGATATAAATGCATGCATTGATATAATAGATGCAATTTGAAATTACATTGTTTGGTTGTTGAGATTATAATTTATGAATTGATTGTTATAAAGTTACTTTATAAGGAAATGTCATATCTGTCCTCCACTTTTAATATAAAACAAAAAAACTATGGACATAATTGGAAAAAGTAAAGGTGCTCAATTATTAAACCAACAATCACAACTTTTAGTTGAAATTGTACAATCCCTCATTTTTGTTGATTTCTAGTGGGCCACACAAAAAAATACATGCATTGTTTTGCAACTTGACACTTCCAAACGTTGTGTTGTGAACAATGTATGTATTTAACAAATACAACACTAACCATCGCAACTTCCAAACGAACCCTAATAAAACTATAGTAAACATGTTTTTTCTACTTGGTTTTTCTTACAACTTTTAGCATTGCAACAGAAAATGAAAACACTCAACCATACTAAATACCTATAAATTTGTAAGAGAAAACCCACATGCAAAAATTCATTCAAATAGGAATGACAATGTGACCGGTCGAGACAAGTATCTCGACCTATATCCGTCTCTTGACAATTCAGGCTCAGGTAGAGTAATATATTATGAGACGCGGGTCAGGCCAGATCGGCCCATATGAGTATGTGATATTAAGATTTAAGAGAAAACGTTAAAAATATTAATTTTTTCATAAACAAAATCATGAAACATATTATAACATGATAAATATAGTTAAAATATTCAAAAAAAATTGAGACTTTCTTCTATTACAGCAAAATACTGAGTAATTTAGGGTAAATGACAGAAATATTGTTTTTTTTTAATTTACCACGAATATGGCCAATTAAAAACTATTTACAGAGATATTGTGGTTTTTAGTAAGGATTGGGGCGGGACCACCTGAGACTCAGGCGGGACTAAATTTTTACCCAGTCCTGGGCGCCGGCGCCCCAGTCTCAAGCGGCCCCGCCTCAGACAAATTTATTTAATTAGTCTGAGGTGCTGGCGCTCGAGACTCAGGCGGGAGCGCCCCGGACTAATTTTTTTTAAATTTTGGACGGGCCCCTCCCACCTTATCCCCTCCCCACCACCACACATATCCTCCCTTCTTCTTCCTCCCCACAACCCCGAACCAGCAGACCCAACCTCCTCCTCCCTCCTTCTTCTTCCTCCACCCCAACCCCGAACCGCCGCCCGCAGCACCGCCCAAGACTCAGGCGCCGCCGCCGCACACTCGGGCGCCGCCGCCGCAGAGAGGAGCGCCGCCGCCGCAGACAGGAGCGCCGCCGCCTTGGACTGAACCGCCGCCGCCCGAGATGTCCTCCGACGTAGAACCAGTCGCCGCCGGCAGAGGCAGAGGTAGAGGTCGGCGAGGTCGTGGTGGAGCCGGCGGCCGTTTGCGCGGTGAGACTCTCGTCGGCAACTTGATTTTTTTTTTTAATGTTTTGTGTTTTTTTTTAATGTTTTGTTGCTTTGGTTTTGCAGTTCCGAGGCTTATGGATCCTTATTCGATGAGATTACCGCCGGCGACAATTGATCCAAGTCCGGTCGATCCGACACTTCTTTGGGGACACGGCCAACATCGTATCGACTCTGTTTGGACAAACGAGGTAAGTATTTGATAATTATTCATGTAAAGTTAATTAGCTAATTAGATTATTTTAGGTAGTGAACTGAACTGAACTGTTAGGTGAAATTAGTATAATTTTATGTTAGATAAGACAGATTAGAATTTATTAGGTGAAATTAGAATTATTACGAATGAAAATGAATTAATATAAGTTTTGTGCACTATAGGCTGGTGATCGATCTTACCATGTTCGAGGTACGACCATTTTAGTACCTTACCATGAGCTTTATCGGCCATATCTCGAAGCGGTAGGCTTGTTAAGTGTCGTGCCCCTAGTCCCTATGAACCCCGATGCGAGTTTGATTACTGCGCTCGTAGAGTGGTGGCGCCCCGAGACGTCGACCTTCCATCTACCGTGTGGTGAGATCACGATCACGTTAGAGGACGTTGTTACACTGTCCGATCTGGCGATCGACGGTGATGTCGTCGTAGTTGATATACCGGATGAGGAGTGGTCGGCGATCTGTTTGAGACTGTTAGGACGAGTTCCGGCCGATCTTGTAGGCAGTGTCGCTGTTGTTAGGATTGTTTGGCTGAGGGTTGAATTCAGTCATCTGCCGGAGAATGCATCATAGGAGGTTATAGAGCAGTTTGCACGAGCTTATGCTCTATCTCTGCTTGGAGGTGTACTTTTCTCGGATCGGTCTGGAAGTACGGTGCACCTACAGTACCTACTTCTGATTGAGGATTGGGAGAGAGCTGGACGGTTTGCCTGGGGAGCTGCTGTTTTATCCTACCTGTACCGTGAGATGGGTAGGTCGACTTTGCACATTACGCATACCGGCACTTCTCTTAGCGGTGACCTTGGTGGATGGGTCGCCCTACTGCAGTTTTGGGCGTGGGAGCAATTCCCACATCTGGCACCTCGAGATTCCGAGACGAGGGCACAGGCCACCGAGGATGCATTCCCACGTGGTCTTCGATGGCTTTCGGCCAACAGTCGTCAGTATGGTGACCAGCTATTCCAGTACAAGTTGTGGTTTGACGCGATGGACACCGTGGTGGTTAGTATATAACATTTCATTTTATAGAATAGGTTTCATTTGTTTTATTTTTTTAGATTTAGGGATAATAACGTTAATTTTTGGATTTAATGTAGTGGCAACCTTACTTTGAGAGAGCACTTCATCTCAGAGGTAGTGTGCTACAGTCTGAGACATTTCGAGCAGTATTGCCACTTATCTGCTTTTCATCGGTGATGTGGCATCATCTAGACCGCGTGCTCCGGCAGTTTGGCATGAGGCAGCATGAGCCTCATCCGCCAGATTCTGAGGCTGAGGTTAGGTTTTTTCTTCGCCAGGCTACTCGTGGGCCATCGCGTGGGCAGCAGTTGGTACACGCCTCCAGAGAGTCGATTGCTTTCTGGAACCGTCGACACGAGTTTGTAGCGACGGCTCCATATACTGATGAGGAGTTAGCCTACCACTCGGAGCATATGGAGTGGTATAGAGATGTCACCAGACGATCCGGCACACGGAGAGGAGCTGCAACAGAGGCGTTGGTTAGTTATTTGATTTATTTGCTTAATTTGTTGTTAATTGTGTGAAATATCTGACATTTTTGTTGGTGTTTTTTAGTACGACACTATCGAGCATGCTGAGGTGAGTTTGCGTGACGGTGTACGGTCTGGAGGGCTGATCCCCGACCAGTGTGAGGACTTGGCCAACTTTATGGCATCCGGGGTTGCTGCTCTAGGGTTTGAGGATCGTAGATACCCTGATCTCACAGTACCTGTACAGCGCCATTATGAGGGGCCCGTCATGACTGCCTGGCCAGAGCGTACTGATCCGACACCGGGCTGGGTCGTCCCAGAGCCACAGTTCAGACAGGAGCATAGGCCACGTAGACAGCGACGTGAGCATCGTGATGCACCTAACCCATTTCGGGTTTCACAGCCCATCCGGCCTACATCGAGGAGCTTCCAGTTTAATCCGCCTCGGACGCAGTTTCAGTCAGATCCTTCCTCGAGCTTTCAGCCGCCGCGACGACACGAGTTTCAGTCAGATCCGTCTTCGAGCTTTCAGCCGCTGCGACGACAGCAGTTTCAGTCAGATCCGTCATCGAGCTTCTATCAGCCAGAGGATAGCTTCCATACACCGCAGCATGCTACGATGGGAAACATGGCCGCAGGTGGTGATACTAGAGCAGCGACGACTCCCGACCTGTGGCAAGAGGGTGATGAGGTGTTTAGGGAGACGATGTGGATCCATGAGCAGCATCTTCAGTCTCAGCGTAGTGGTGGCGGTCAGCCTGATGAGCATCTTCAGTCTCAGCAGGATGAGATGTTCGGTACACAGGATCAGGATGGTGGAGTTGAGGAAGATGAGCCCCAGGAGTATGATGGTAGACCAGTGCGCATCAGGGTGCCTGCTAGGTGTGGTACTGGCGGCCATCTAGCGGTGGAGCATGGTGGTCGTCGTGGTGGTCGTCGTGGTGATCGTCAGTGTGACTATTATTATTATGTACTTCCTTCAGACGTTTATTTTTGGATTGTTATTATTATGTACTTCATTTAGACTATTATTTTTGGATTGTTATTATTATGTACTTCATTTAGACTATTATTTTTGGATTGTTATTATTATGTACTATAAACAAACAACAACATCTCAAACAAACAACATCTCAAACAAACAACATCTCAAACAAACAACTTTTACATGGTAAATCAAAAGATAACAACAACATACCAAACAACAACATCTCAAACAAACAACAACTTTTACATGGTAAATCAAAAGAAATATAACAACTTCTACCACCTCTCAGCCACGTCTATTACCTCTACTTCCTCTTCTACCACCTCTCGTACTTCGTTGGCCACCGCAAGTTGATGCATTATGTCCCGCTTGGTTACAGTTGCTGCACACTTGGTGTGATGCACCCTCCCTTGGCCAGTCCATCTCGTTGTGGATCCTTGTAACTCGTGGCCTCCCCGGCTTCCTAATCATGTGCACATTAGGATGGAGAATAGGACCATTATGTTTCTTCCAACCCTTAGGTTCACCAAGAGGTGCGAAACTTGTCCCATAACAAGCCATCACTGTTTCCAGCTTGTAGACATTGTTGACAAACCTATACGCATTAGCCCCCATTCGGTTGCAAGCTGCAATGGCATGAGAGCAAGGAATTTTATTTCCTTGAAATTTACCACAAGTGCAAAATCCTGCCCGGTTTTGATCGTCAAAGTGAACTGTGAGTGTGTTTGACCCTGTCATGTTGAAATTGTTGGGAGGAGTCTGAACTACATAGATGCCTTGACCTCGATCAAGAGCTGTCACAGAATGTCCAATTGCCTTTTGTGACCTGTACTTCATCAGCTCTTCGCACTTGGTGGAGTACTGTGAACCGCCACTTCTAATTTCTGCTCCTGTCTCCAACCTATACATATCGAATTTCTCCACCAATCGCCAATAGGTATGCTGCACAAGAGAAGCTATCGGAAGTGCACGAATACCTTTGAAAATACCATTGACGCTTTCTGCCATGTTGGATGTCAGGATAGACCAACGACCCCCACCATTGTAGTTATCATGAGCTAAACTCCAACGAATCTGATGTTGATCCACCCAGTTATCACATGAAATATTTCTATCAGCGGCCACCTTCTTAAATTGCTCAACTTGACGATCAAACTTCTCCAACCGTTTTTCTCCGGCTAACAAAATAAACCACAACACGTGTTAGATAAATTCATGACAAAATTACATGAAAACAAATAACAAAATTAAATGAAGAAAGCTTACCGACTCGAAATAGTTGATTATACATAGTTTTGCTTCGAGTCTTCCTTTGTAAATTGCTTGCATAGTGTCGCATGCACCACCTCCACTCCCAACCTCTTCCGATGTTATTCATGGCTTCATAGAGTCCTGCATGTCTATCTGAGATGATGCATACATCATTTCGATCAGTCAAACCCTGAACCTTCCTCATGAACCATGGCCAACTCTCAGTATTCTCGCTCTCCACTATGGCAAATGCAATTGGAAAAATCTTCCTCCGGCCATCAAATGAGCTCGCCATGAGTAGCACTCCTTTATACTTCCCAGTAAGAAATGTTCCATCCACAACCATGACGCCTGGACAATTCTTGAATCCATCTATACAAGGTCCATAAGCCCAGAATACTCGCTGAAATATTAAATGACCAGGTTGAGTCGAAGGAACTGTTACCCAATCAATCACCGATGTTGGCATTTTTCTCTTGACCACCCGCAAGAATGTTTGCAAAAAATCGTAGGATTCTTCCCAATTTCCATGCAACTTCTCCAATGCTCTTTGTTTCCCATACCAAGCCTTCTTGTAAGTAACTTGCATATTAAACTTATCTTTCAACTCGGCTTGAACAGTTAGAACACTCAGATTTGGTTGGGCACGTACCAAATGTTTGACGGCCTCAGATATCATGTCGACATCAAGATGGCGATGATCCGTCGGTTGAGTCGTACTGCTACAAGAATGCACCAACTCAGCTTTTCTCACAGTCCATTCGCCCCCAACATCTCGACATCCAAACCGCACCATCCAAGGACAATTGTCATCCTTGTGCCTCAAGCATCTGACCTTCCATATTGAAGGTGACGACTCCACCACGCCATATTGAAAGTTGCGTTGTAGTGCGTGGTGTTTAATCGCCATCTGTGCAGCTTGTTTCGAGTGAAATATCTGCCCCTTGTAGAATTCTCCTTCAAAACTATCAACAATAGGCATTGGAATTACGCCATATGAATCAGCAAGTGCAAATTCTTCGTCCTCTTCATTGCCCTGCAAGTAAAAATATGGAGGATAATTAAGCTGCTCTCCTTCCTCCTCCTCCTCATCTTCCTCCTCTCCGTCATCACCGTGATCATAGTCATGATCGGATGGCACGCTCCATGTATCATCTTCTTCCTCTCCACCCTGATCATCACTGAGCTCAACATGTATCTCAGCACCCAAACAATAAGGATTTTGTGCCATAAAATTCCAAAGCACATCCAAGCTATCATCATCTACAATAGGTAACGCATAATGAAATAAAACATCATTCTGCCATTCTGGAAGACGGTAAGTGAAACCTGTGATCACATCACTATCTTTTACTGCTTCGTCTCTGCGCCGTATTCTCGGAATTAGAGTCTCACAAAGTTTGTGATATGTGGCTCTGGATGGAACCGTCAACTGAAAACTACTACCACCAACGAATTTGACGCCCAAATTATCCTCTACTTTCTCCGATTTCCACCGAACAACTAGTTCAAATCTTCTAAAATCACTACAAAAAAACAAACTCACTAATTAAAAACTAAACACAATCATAATAGCATTTGAATAATATAATTACAAAAATAAATGTGTCTCTTACCTATTAGCCATTTTTGCAGCAGCAACCAGAGCTCTCTCCTCTATTTTGGAAGATTTTTTTTGTGGTGTGAATCTGAAACGAAAAGTCTGTCTGGGTTTTATAGGGTGGGTGGCCAATCCACCTACTCGCCTCAGTCTCGGGCGCCACCGCCGGAGTCTTTATTTCCCACCTACTCGCTTCAGTCTCGGGCGCCGCCGCCTGAGTCTCGGGCGCCACCGCCTGAGTCTAATAAAACGGTCCAAAAACCAAGTCTTAAGCGGCAGCGCCTGAGTCTCAGGTGTACCCGCCGATTCTTATCTCTAAAACACAATATCTTTGTCAATAGTTTTTAATTGGCCATATTCGTGATAAATTAAAAAAAAAACAATATTTCTGTCATTAACCCAGTAATTTACTAATTTATAAAAGGATCTGTAATTTACTAATAAATGTATCGAAATGAGACGAAGGACAAATCAAACTGAAGAGAGTATCCGTCCCATCGCTGTTCAAACAACCCAAAATTCACGAATCGTTCTTTAGTTTCCTCCCTCCCTCCCTCCCTCGCTTCAGACTTCCCAGCATTTTACTCTCTCTGCTCACGAACTCCACGAAGCCGCTCTAGAATTTTAGTTATGGTCTTACAACCCCGTTCAATTCTTACTCCCGCCATTTGCAGATCAGTCGTGAACCCTAGATTGGTTCCCCAAATCAAGCACGTTTCCAGCCTCAAGGTTATGTGGCGGAAGGACCCGAAGCTAGATGAAGCCATAGAGAGAGACAAGAGGTACAAGCTTTGCGCTCGCGTCGTCAGAGAGGTATTGAACGAGCCAGGACAAGCAATCCCGCTATCTTACCTAGAGCGAAGGCGCGAGAGGTTGCACCTCATGGACAAGATCAAAACTTTCCTCCGTCGGAACCCACTGCTGTTCGATACGTGCTACGATCGAATCAAACCCAAATCCGAGCCGGTTCTTTTCGTTCGCCCGAGCCATCGGTTGAGGAATTTTCTGGAAGAGGAGAAGAGGATACAGCTTGAAAACGAGGAGCTGCTCGTCGCCAAACTGTGCAAGTTGTTGATGATGGCCAAGGACAAGGTAATCAGCGCAGATAAATTGGTTCATGTGAAGAGGGAATTCGGGTTTCCTAATGATTTCATGGTTAGTTTGGTGGACAAGTATCCTAACTACTTTCGGCTGATTGGGTTTCCTGGAGAAGGGCAGTCGTTTCTAGAGCTAGTAGATTGGAACCCTGAATTCGCTAAATCGGTTATTGAGCGGAGAGCCGAGGAAGAGTCCAGATTAACAGGGATTAGGGTTCGTCCGAATTTCAATTACAAGCTTCCACCAGGTTTTTTCCTGAGGAAGGAGATGAGGGAATGGGTTAGGGATTGGTTGGAACTCGAGTACGTATCGCCTTATGTTGATGCCTCGCATTTGGAGCAATCCTCGCCCGAAATGGAGAAGAGATCCGTTGGGGTTTTCCACGAGCTGCTATCGCTTTCTCTGTTCAAGAGGGTTCCGGTCGCAATTCTTGGCAAGTTTTGTGAAGAGTACAGGTTTTCCAATGCATTTTCAAGTGTTTTCACTAGGCATTCTGGGATATTTTATATGTCATTGAAAGGGGGAATTAAGACTGCAATGCTCAGAGAAGCTTACAAAGGAAGTGAGTTGATTGACCGAGACCCATTGCTGGAAGTAAAAGATAAGTTTGTGGAATTGTTGGAGAAAGGCTGGCAGGAGAGAGCTGAGCAGTTGAGGTTGCAAAGGGAAGCAGTCAAGAAGGATCCTGAAATGGTGGCAATGCAAAGCAAAGATTTAGATGCGGAAACAAGCAGCGAGGAATCTGATAAGGGAGAAGAAGTGGAGGAACCAGTTTCGAATTCATGAAAAAGGCTAGGTAGTTTTGGCAGGCTGCACTGGCATCAATTTGATTGCCTTTTAATTTGGACTTCACCAGCTGAGCTTCCTGTTGCACCATGCTTGAGAACGGTTAACTGTTCTGAAACTCGATTAGTTTATATTTTGACTGAAATGATTGCCGTGCATTCAATATTGACGCAGTTGATTGTCGCAGATATAATAGAACAGCTTGGTGGCATAATTTCCAGGTACGACAATAGTTTACTTCACCATGTATATGCAATCTTGCACACTTTACTTGTTTTGGTTTCCTCTGGCGTGTTCTCTTCAGAATACTTTGATTTCCTCTGGTAGGAAATAATTCATTACTTAGTTTAAAGAATAAAGAGTATGTTGCAACCTAACATAAACTTCATGTGTTAAAGATGAGTGGCAGAAATAACTGCGGACGTCAACTACCAAAGAAGCAACACACTCTTTGGATTGTTACTTCCCGTTTCTTGCTGCCAAATTGTTTTCTTTATCTGCATGAACATATATATAAATATATGAGATCCATATATATGTGAGGCTATTACTAAAATATCACCCGATCCAATCAATTCTAATTTTCTTGTCAATCTCGTTCTATGGTAGCAAAATGGGTAGTGTGAAAACTTTTGCTTTATTCTATTTTGCAGCCCTTCTCCTAGTTGTTGTTCATGTGGACAAGATAGATGCCCAGAGACGCCGCCCTCCACTATGTGCTTCACAGTTTTCCCTTGCAAACTATGCCTGTGGCAGTCTGCCATTCATGCAACTGCCACCACCTTCCTCTCTTCCTCCAGCAACTCTCTCTATGAAGTCCTCCTCTAATCCGCCCCCTCCGCCGACATCTCCAACATCTTCTCCTTCCCCACCTGGTCAAGGTCGAGGAAGGCACAGGCATGGGCGGGGCCACCATCACCATCATAGAACCCCTAGTCCTGCAGAGCAGAATTGTTGCAGGTGGCTGAAAGAGTTGGATGGCGAATGCGTGTGTGACGTGTTGGTTCGTTTACCGCCTTTCCTGGCAAAACCTTCTCACAAGTACACTCTCTATGTCAATGGCGCATGCGTTATTACTTACTCGTGCTCCGGCCGAATTGTGCCTTAGAAGAAGGAAGAGCTAGAGGATCTGTAATCAGACTTGGTACTGAATCTGCCTCGGAATAATTTTGATTTAATGGTGCTGATAGAATTTTCAGACACTTGTTGTAATTAAGGTCCCTCTCATGGGGCTCGTTTCCCTTTGTATGTGGTGAATATAAGCTGTGCCGCATTTGCTGGATGGTTTTTGGGAAACCCACATTTTTTCTACACAATAAATGAATAAAACACACCGAATTCCATTGCTTTTTATTTCCTCGAATGGATGATCCATACTCTGGTTGTTAATGTGATAAATGGAATTTATCTGGGAAAGCCTATGGATTGATTTAGAGGTCAGTCTCAAAAAGCTGATGTTTGCTAAGGAGCTCCGGCAAATAAATATTCTATATTAATGCTACCTAAGCTAATATTACAGGACAGAAACAGTAACAGTGGTGGAAATTTTGCCAAAAAAAACTGTATGGTGGAAATGGTCAGGCGCACTGAATAGCCCAGAATCATGTCGATCACTGATAATCGGGCTAGAAGCTTCGATACTAACTACAATTCCAGATTACTTCAAGTGGTGATACTTTTGCAGGCACAATCAAATTTCTGGTTCTTCACAGCAGAATTGTATCTTTCAACCACATTTAATAGACAACAAAAGGGTAAAAACGCAAGTCCTTGGAGGACTCATCTTAGTTACGTGCTTTTAGCCCAAGAAGTTGTGATTAAATCCGACTGTGTGCTGCCTTCGGAAGCCATACATCTCGGTAAGACAGGTAATTGGTTAGTCGGTTAACCGAATTTGTAACGTGATTAGTGGTTAACCGATAACCAATAATTCGTTAGTTGTTAGGTTTTGGTTTGTGGTTGACCACTAATCTACTATTTTTTTATACCTAGGAACCTCAGCCTCACGTGCCACTTTGTGACAGCGATGCCTACTAAACCTCGGGGCCACCTGCAATCAATTCGACGCCAATAGGGCTTCGCTCCCAACAGCCTTGTACCTCCGGGAGAACCAACAGACCTCGTTTGTATTCATTGAGATCTGCAACTCCTAAATCTTCGGTTAGATAGTTATTTATTGAGGGTTTATTTGTTATTTGGACGTTTATGTTATGTCGGCTATTTCGGGAATTATTGGGGTTAAATCGGTTAGGTTAAGTCTTTGGGTAGTTATAGGGAATTAGTCGGTTTATATATATTCTGTGTTAGGCCTAGGTTAAGGTTAAGCAATAACAACAGAATTATTCCCTAAAGCTCTCTCTCTCTCTCCCTCTCTCACAGCCGAACCCCCTCTTCCCCTTCCCAACTCGTCGGCCACCATCCCGGTGCCCGAAATCCTCTTTTCTCAACCCTAATTCCCAAATTCTACCTCATCCCAAATCCCTAATTCTCATACCAATCACGATCCTCAATCGCACACCTAGATCCGTGCTCTTTCAGTGGTATCAGAGCCTGGCTGGTGTGCCGCTTCTCTGAAGAAATACTGCAGTATGAAGATGTCGAACCCTGCGGACAAACAACAGCCGCCGCGCCAGACCAAGGAGGTGGTGACAGTCAAGGACGTGACGATCAACAAGTACGACGCGCTGGCAGCATCGTTGGAGAGCTTGACCGAGGTCACTGTGAGGGCAGCGGAGGCCTCGAAGGGTTCGATCGGAGCCATCGAAGCCATGGGTGACCAAATCAAAGCCTCCATCGAAGAGATGGGCAAGAGCGTGGCTGAAAACATCTGCGGAGCCCTGGCAGCGACGATGCAGGAGGTGCTAACCCAAGTTCTGAAGAGTCGGGAGACGTTGGCGATCCCGATCATGGGGGCGGCGCCGGCGACAGCGATCGCGACAGGGGCAGCCGCGGCGGGCTTGGCGGTGCAGGAGGGCAGCGGCGCGAGGGCCGCGCGCCAGGAGGAGCAGCCGCCCCGCGAAGGCGCGGGCGTGGGCGCTGGTCGGACCGGGGCGTGGGCGCTGGTCGGACCGGGTCGGGGGCGCGCCGGGAGGAGGAGGCGGCCGAGGAGAACTCGCCGGCTGGCGGCGACGAGACGACGGCGACGCGAGCCCTAACCGCGGTGGGTGGAGCGCCGGGTAGCTCGGCCGTGCAGCCGGGTAGCTCGGCCGTGCAGTGTAGCCGAGCCGGGGAGATGAGAACTGTGGGCACGAGGAGCGCACCCGCGCCTGCATTCAGTGGGCCTGGGTTGCTGCCGACACCGACGGACCTGGCCCAAGACAAGGCCCGTGGAAAGCAGAAGGTGGCGGGGTACGAAGGCGAGCAGTGGTCGCTTGGGCATGAGGGAGAAGAACCCTGGCCCGAGGAGGAGTTAAGCTTCGGTGATCCGGAGGGCTGGATGGACCCTAGCCCAGAAGAGGCGAGATGGGGCTGGGTCACGGGCGCGAAGTCGGGCCAAACCAGACCGGTTACTGGGTGGCCAGCCGGTCGGACCAGACCGAACTGAACCGATTTGGGTCAACCGCAGGCGGGCATCAACTGGAACGGGCCGACCAGGGGTCCCGGCAAGGGCCCAGAGTACGGATACCCCCCATGGAGTACACCGCGAGCAGGAGGGGGACGCGGTCGAGGTTGTCGGGACATCGGGCAAGGATCAGGGACCAAGCCCGAGTACACCGGGAACCACCAGGAGGTGGCGGGCGACTGGCCCTACCCTCCCCAGCAGCGAGCCACGGCCAGCCACTACCGTCAAGGACCGGTGAATCAGCCACCGTCACCGAACACAGGCAGGTATGAGTATCATAACCCTCTGTATGAGACTGAAGAGGAATTGGTATTTAGAGCTAAACCGCCAGTGATAGAGTTTCCCAAGTTCGACGGCTCGGGAGATGTGGGTTTGTGGTTGTATGCAGCTAAGAGGTGGTTCAGGAACCACCCGATCCGGGAAGAGCGGAAGGCGCATCTGGCGTCCTTCTATCTTGAGGGAGACGCCCTCCAGTGGTGGGAATGGACCGAGCGAGCTTATGCAACGGCCGATGAGGTCATAACCTGGCCCAGGTTCCAGGATGAGCTGCGCTACCAGTTTGGCAAGGTAGAGGGCTGGGCTCCGGAACAGCTGGCCAAGCTCAGACAGACAGGGTCGGTAGCCGAGTATCGCGCGGAGTTCCTTAAGCTGTGAAACCAGTGCAAGGAAATGACAGAGGAGACCCTGGTGGGGCTGTGCATGGCGGGGCTTTGTCCAGAGCTGGCGACCGCCGTTAAGGTTTTTGAACCTGACTCTCTTCGAGTTGCTTTCAGGATTGTAGGGCGCAAGGAAGAGGAGTTGGCTAGTTGGAGGACGTCGGCTGGGTGTATCCAGAAAGCTAGTGGAGGAATGGGAGCAGGAGCCGGTACATCACCGCCGTCGGGAAATGCAAGCCCGGCGGCCACGGGAGTAGCATCAGGGAACAGGTTCCAGTTAAGGCTGCCACCGAATGGGTTTGTCCGGCTGACTCAGGCAGAAATGGACCAGAAGCGCAGAGACGGCCGTTGCTTCAACTGCGACGAGAGGTACACAGTGGGCCATCAGTGCGCCAAGGGTCATCTAATGCTGTTGGTTGGGAATTGGGAAGATGAAGGAGAGGAAATGGAGGCGCGTGAAGCAGAGGAGAAGAAGGAAGAGAAGAAAGAAGGTCCACCTTGAGGGCAAGGTGGATTCCAAGGGGGATGGGATGTTAGATAGTCATTTATTGAGGGTTTATTTGTTATTTGGACGTTTATGTTATGTCGGCTATTTCGGAAATTATTGGGGTTAAATCGGTTAGGTTAAGTCTTTGGGTAGTTATAGGGAATTAGTCGGTTTATATATATTCTGTGTTAGGCCTAGGTTAAGGTTAAGCAATAACAACAGAATTATTCCCTAAAGCTCTCTCTCTCCCTCTCTCATAGCCGAACCCCCTCTTCCCCTTCCCAACTCGTCGGCCACCATCCCGGTGCCCGGAATCCTCTTTTCTCAACCCTAATTCCCAAATTCTACCTCATCCCAAATCCCTAATTCTCATACCAATCACGATCCTCAATCGCACACCTAGATCCGTGCTCTTTCATCTTCACTGTCGCGTCAGCTTTACTGTTAGGCTATCATACCTTTGGTAATCTACTAATTGATTAGTAATCAATTGATAAGAAAATCAATAACCACATACTAGTATAATCACATCGTGTTGGGCTTTGATTAAGAGGAAAAGTCCCAAAATTCAAGATCAACAAAAGTTTCAATTTCAAACATCCCAATTCCCACTTATTGAGTCTCAAATGTGTCATAAAGTTAGAACTCGAAAGTCCCCCTCTCCAACTCCCCTTTGCAGTTAATAGAGCAAACTCACACCTAGTATTTTTTGTTTCTTTGATATTTGTGAATGATGATAATCTTGTGGTGCTTGTGTTTGATGTCTTGCTTGTTGGTACTCGCTAATTGGATAAAGACGTTTGATTACTTTTAATTTTATATGTTGAAATTTGGATTTGAATGATGAATCAAAGAGAGATGTTGTATTGATGTTATTTGATATAATTATTATTTTCTGCACATGTTTTTTACCTTGTGATCTTGATTTCTTCTACCTGTTATAGAGTAGCAGAAGGCTGAACAAAGGGTCACTGGCTGACAAGGGGAGAAGGAAAGAGGGGGTGGAGGAAATGAAAATGGTGTCTTAAGCTAAAATATACACTTCCCGTTTCTTGATAGTCCTTAAACAAGAAACGCAGATTGATAGTTAGTAGCATAGCACATCACCTAACTCTCTTTTGAGCAGCGCAAACCGAATGCGCTTCATTAAAATTCCCCCCACGTTGAGTTTCTATACAGAGCATGCAAGAGTTGGTTGAATGGCGGTGTAGCACACTAGCAGATACACACATTCAATATAAACGCATACGGATAGATACATATGCATATCAATCAACGAATGAAGGGGTACTAGTAGCTTGATATGAGGTAGGAAGTGGAGATACAGAACCACAGAAAAGGCAGGGCCAATCAAAATGAAGGCTACAGTGATACTCATACTCTTATCTTGTTTAGCATTATTGCTACGCAATCTTTCCATTTCCACCGCTACCATCCCTTCTCTCCCTAGACCTTCACCTACCCGTCCTCTCTGTGTCTCCCAGCTAGCCCTCGCCAACTATGCCTGCGCCAGCGTCATCACTAGCCTCACCTTCACCGACCCCCCCATGCCTACTGCCACCTCCACCACTACTACCATTCCCCAGCCCTCCGAGATTCTCTACCACCTGTCAGCCACGGAGGATGATGGCCGTGATGTGGATCCTATAACAGGCCGGGAAGGGGATGAAGAAGCACTAGGAGTGAATGATGACGGTGATGAACAACAAAAACAACATCATCACCGTCATCGCTCATCTTTTTCTTCACGCTATGAGCATGATCACAACGGAGGTGGACGGAGAGATAGGCACAAACATCGCCGTGGGCGGCATCGTAATGGGCATCGCAGCAGCCACCATGACCATGGAAAGCGGCGAGGAGATGAAAATGAAGACAATGATAATGATGATGATGATGGTGGTGGTGGTAGTGGGGTGGAGGGAGATCAGCGGACGGCTTCGCCCGCGGAGGCCAACTGCTGTAAGTGGGTTGGGGCAGTGGACAATGAGTGTGTCTGCGAGTTGCTGTTTCGATTGCCCACTTTCTTGGCCAGACCCATCCATGAATACACCATCATTGTTAGTGAGTGGTGCAAAATTACTTACACTTGCGGCGGAAGGCCTAGACCATGATCAATATATTGACTGTTGATCCCATCCCATATTATCTGAACTACTACGCATAATTAGCTAGTCATGTAACTACAATATACTTTGTAGCCGGCTGCCTGTGGGATGTGGTCCTGTCGTTTGATGAATGCAACTTAATTATGTAATCTGGACTGAATCTTCTTCCGAAGGGTGTTATCTAATTTTGGTGCTTAGTTTGCTGCGAATAATGTTGAGATGTTGAACTACTACTAGATTATTTTTGACAAAGAGACTGCATTCTTTTTCTTTAAGACATAAAATGTGGGTACACTTTATTGGCAAAGAATGCAATGTTACTGTACATTAATTTGTCGTTTCCTTCCAGTTCTCAGATTGCTATCTTTCTGCTGGGAAAGATACCCGGCTTTGCCCCCTTTTCCCTCGCCTCCGCCACGACAGCTCTCAATGTCCTTTTCCCCAATTCTCGGGACACACACCTCCTTTCTGTCAGTCCGCCCTATGGTTTGCTTCTCGAACTCGCTGGCTCCTTCAACAAGCTACGAGCCTACGACCCATGTTCCCTGTGGTCACATCTTCTGACCTCTGGCCTTGGAATCCGTGCGCTCTCCGCTTTCTTCTCCTACAGTTTTCGCTGAGGCAAAGCTTGGCCCCCATTCCCAATTTCCTCTCCATTGAGCTCTAGCCTCCTCTGTCCTTCGATCTCGGAAACCGCTCGATTTCTGATTTCTTCTCTTACAGTTCCCGGCGAAGCGAAGCTTGGTTCCCGTTCCCCAACTTCCTCTCCTACACCTCGCTTTCTTCTTCTTCTCCACCCACCATGAATTACAACGTCCTCTTTGCTTCCATCTTTTCCTCCTCCATAACCCTTTCTCTCTGCAACGCAAACCCTAAAGTTTCCTCTGCTGGGGCCGCCATGGAACTCAAACATGGAGGAATACATAATCGATTTGGAACAGGAGGAGCAGAACGAAGGCGATGAGAAGGAAGGAGATCCACTAGGCAAGGTGCCATCGCGAAGTACTTCTTGAGCACTGTAAGTGTTTGCCACTTTGCCCACCTCATTCCTATCTCTCTTTGTTTTGCTGCTGGAAGAACTGCAGCTAGAAAAGCTGAAAAAGACGAACATGAATAAAGAAAAGAAGACGCTCAATGAACTCTGGACTGATTTTGTTGGGACTTTCACCTCTCGGCAATATCCCTAGAGTTATACGTACGGTTTTTACTTCGTATAATTAATGAGCAAATCTTATATTGAATCTTGAAGGGAACAGCTGCACAGGGTTGCAACAGCTGCAACCATGGGCAATCGGGTGAGCTGCTTCAGGTTTACAGCAGGGAACAGAATTGCAGCAGTTCTCCTACTCAACAACTAAATGCTATAGCAAATTTAGTTCTCGCTTTTTCACTTCCACTTTTGCTCATCTCTGCTTCTTTCCAACAACAGATGTTTGGATTCTCGCTGAAAGTTCCTCTGCTGCAGCAATTTTCATCGTCAAAGGAGAGGTGGAGGAAAATAGGTGTAGGAGATCGATAAGGCGAGGTCGAAGGAAGCTGACCTGGAAGCGAGGTCGAAGGTGTGGAAATAATAGCGTTCTCATGTTATTGATCATGTTGTTTTAGTTAACAGATATGGTCTCGGTATATAATATTTGATAAGCTTCATAAGCATATATGTATTTTGTGCATAAATGATTGATCTTTATGTACGTATGTGTTTAAATTGCTCTAAATTAGTTCATATTGACCATGGAATGGCCCTAGTGTCATTACCAAGACATGTAGCGATTTAACACAGATTGAAGCTAAGATTGTGAACAAAACAAAGTGCAGTGGACAAATGCAGGTGCAGTGTCAAAATGCAGATGTGCAGAGGCAAACGTCCAGCAGGAGGCCAAATCGATGAAGACCTAAATCAAATTATTGTGGTTGGAATCTTCACTCAACTGTCAGCAACCCTTAGAAATTATTGGGATTGGGTCAGATTTCTTGAAGTGGGAAAATGGATTTGGTGGCTCACCAATAGAGAAAATGATGCAAGAATTTATTGCAAAGAAAGAGACTTAAGCTAGCAGCAGTCTTCTCTTGGAAATGTGACCTGCAAGTGTCTTGTTTTGTGGGATTAAATCTGCAGAAAATGGATTTAAAAAGGGTAGCAACTAGGAGACTTGAGTGACACTTTTGGAGACTAGTTTTAGACAGAAAAATCAAAGGAGAGAGCTCACTTTGGCACACTTTGGAGTTGAGCATTTTGAAGAAAGGAAGACTCTTGTAAGTTGGGGATTAACTCCAACACTTAGTACTTTCTCTACTCCTTTGTTTTTGGTAGTTAGTCATCATGTTGAACATTAGCATGTTTATGTACTTTCTTTTCATCATGAACTAATCCCCCAATTTCTGGGGGAAACTTATGGATTTCATTATCTAGCCTCGATGTTTTAATCATGACTTGTTTTTTTTCCATTTTCTATCGTGTGGAATTGTTTAACGCTTTGTGTTGATTGGCCACCTTCACAATGATTTGTAGTTTTCTAGGTTAATAACGATAGTGAAAACCTAGTAACCGAACACATTTCGCACGACATAATTGCCTATCGAAGCGATAGTGGATTAAATAGGGAATTATGCAGTCATTTCAGGGATATCGTTCTTAAGGCTAATTAATTAATTCAGTTAACTACGATAGTAGAAATTGTCTTAATTAGTTAGTACGTGGTAATTCTCGATAGGGACAACTATCAAATTATAGGTATCCCGATTGTAGAAATATGGATTAAATCGATTGACAAGGGTAATTAAATTTACTGAGGTAAAATAGTAAAATCTTGTGTTTCCCCCGGAACTCTACAATATCAATTTCTCCAAAATAGTTGATTTTTCGAGTTACTTAATTTGTGCGATCTTTGCAAATCATCACTTGATTACATCCCTTTGCAATTTCTATAGTTTCTTGAACTAAATTTGTTAATTATTGAGTTTCACCAATCCCCAAGAGAACGATAATTTTACTTACACTTTATTACTTGTACGACACTGTGCACTTGCAGTTTTGTCGCCACCAAGTTTTTGGCGCCGTTGCCGGGGATTGTCAAAAATCCAGTTTTAATAAACTTTTGTTTGAGTGAACTATTTTGATTTGTGTTTTAGTATGCATGAAAAGTTCAGAATATTTCTTTTTGGCGTATGCGAAGAAGGGAGACTAAGGAGTTGTTGCCGCTAAATCACGAAATCGAGAAGGAGTGTAAGTACAACCGGAAGCAGGCGAGGGTAGGAAAAGTCATCCAATCTAAATCAGCACCTACCTCTCCGAAAGGCCATCAAGACGAAGAGAAGGGTTTCATCTCTTCACTTATAGGCAAAATGGAGGAGGGAGCTACCCAAGGCCACAACAACAATCAACACCGTGAAGGGAAGAATGACCCACCTGAAGATCGAACCATCCGAGGCAAGCTGAATCAAAGAACTGGAGCCCGAGCTTCAGGGGTTGTCATTCCAACCGGCAACACCAATCTCGACATCACACCATCCTTCATCAACATGATCACAAATGGCTACACATCTCTGGAGCAAGTAGAGAAGATCCTCATGACCATTTGAGAAGATTTTGTAGCATTTGTGATACTATGAAGAATCCTGTCGTGTCCGATGATGCAATCCGGCTGTGTATGTTTTCATTCTCATTAATAGGTCGAGCGGCTCATTGGTTCCAAAACCTGGCGCCTCGATCTATCACCACGTAGGCGCAGCTAGAGAAGGCATTTCTTGACAAATATTTTCCACCCGCTAAAGCCATGAAAGCCCAAAAGGAGATTGTAGACTTTGTACAAGCCGAGGATGAAAGCCTAAGTGAAGCTTGGGAGCAATACAAAGAGCTTTTGCTGAAGTGCCCAAGCCACGGCCTTGAGGAGTGGAATGTGATCACCATCTTCTTTGATGGGATTAGAAGACAGTTCAGGCAAGCTTTGAACACGACATCCGGTGGAGGATTTACTTCTATGGAGCCCGGAGCCGCCTATGACCTCATAGAGAACATGTGCTCCGATGATAATGAATGGGGTGGATAAAAGAGCTCACGAAGGAGAGGCGGTATGCATGAAGTCGACAAATTCACCGGCTTGGAAGCACGACTTAATCACGAGCGCAGTGAATTTTAGGGAAGGCGTAAGGAAACAGAGCCGGTGATTCCTCAGGGAATCAAATTTTCAATTCCGGCCTTCTAGGGGGAGGTTTGATATGATCTCAATCCCACCATCGTATAAGCTCAAACGAATCGTTCAAAGATCAGGTCAAGTTAATACGAGCAAAGCTGGAAATTTCTGAAGTGTTGAGACTGTCTTGGGAAGGCTACTTTGGAGGGATGTTTCTCTCAGACCGTTCAATGGAAATGCCAGGTTAGGGTCTTATTTTGAACCTGGGATGTTCCTCTATAACTTGGTACACTTGGATTGTGGAAAGGAAGCAAGGAAGGTGGTTTTTCAAGGCCTTCAAAATGCTATCCTGCAACTGGAAATCTGCCAGTTTTTGACTAAGGCAGAAAGGGTGTTCAAGATGCCACCTTTGGAGCTCAGTTTCAGGAATATGAAGGAGAGTCGAGTTCGAGGCATCATACCACATGAAAGTACGTTTGTTACTCTACAACGACGTGGCATGGGTTAAGAGAAAGCTTACCTGGAAGGCTTCCATCGATGGGTGTGAAGATGGGAGGAAGGGCTATTTCCTGGGCAGCTTGCTTGGAGAAGAAGAAGAGTTTCTTGGGTTAAAAGTTTCCTTGTTTAAACTGAATTCCTTTCCTTGTGTGATTGTAGTTTGTTTCCTTGTTCTCTTAGAATTATGATAGGAATCTCGTAATTATAAATAGCTTAGCTTGGTGTTTGTAAAAGACACGTTTTGAGTTTCAATCAAAGTACTCTGAGGAGTTTCCATAGCTTGCGAGCTTTTGTTCTTGGTTGTTTTAAATCGAGAATTGCAGACATAAGGATCGAGCTAATCACTCTCTATCCTATGGTTAATTTTACCTTAACCAGCCTCTTCCCTTTGTGTTGAAGTTGCTTGTTCGGTTTGCACCATTCACCCATCCATTCCCCTCTGTTTTCTATCCGAGTTCATCATCACATCACATTCAATTCCCTAGTTGCGCGCTCTGGTTATTCGAGTTCTCTCTTGGACTCATCAAGTGGTATCAGAGCCTGGTTCAAACACAGCGGCAACAACGAAGAAACAACTGGACACTCGCCCTGTTGCAACAAGAACGCGTCACAAGGGTCCCATCGCGTTACGAGATAAATCGAGGGAAACAGGGTCCGATTTCTGAGGTTGACGAAGAGATTGAGTGTGTAAATTAGGCAATGGCAGGGCATCAGATTAATACCACAGAGTTGTTACAAACTCTGATGGCTCAGATCAATGCCCAATTCCAAACCCAATTTGACCAAATCACACGGCAGCTGGAAGAGTTGAAGACGAAGGCGAAAGAGCCAGAGGCAGAGGCAGGCGAAGATACGAACCCAGAAGGGGTCAGGACACCGCGTAGTCGAGCATTCGAGGACACGATTCATAATCTCGAGAGGCGTATAATCGTCCCTGAAGCCAATCCGAGAGATCGCGAGTTCCACGATCATGATCGTCAACGCCATAATGCCGAACCAGCTGAAGAATTGAAAGGAATCAAGCTCACTCTGCCGTCGTTTCAGGGGAGTCTTAATCTGGCAGAGTACCTCGACTGGGAATGAAAAGTGGTTCTCTTTTTCGACTGCCAGAACTACTCAGAGCGGCAGAAGGTTACTTTGGCCACGTATGAAATTGAAGGATATGCTGCTGCTTGGTGGGAGCAACTTTGAATCAAACGTCGCGGAATCAGTTTGCCGCCAGTGACGACTTGGCTGGAGTTGAGGAGCGTGATGCGGGAACGGTTTGTGCCCGCGTACTATCAACGTGACCTTCACAACAGCCTGCAATCGATTCGTCAAGGAAGCCGGAGTGTCGAGGAGTACTATCGAGAGTTGGATCTTCTTCTGATTCGAGCCGATGTACGGGAAGAAAAGGAGGCTACGATCAGTCATTTTTTACAAGGTCTCCAGCGTGAAATCGGAAACCAAGTAGAGCTCTTCCCGTTCGTAGAAATCGAAGAAGTTGTGTAGTTGGCGGTTTGAGTGGAGAAGCAATTGAAGCAACAAAATTCGAGCAGAAGATTTCCTACCGCTAACAGTGTCCCTAAACCCATCTTAGAACCCGAAGTGAAGTCTGAGTTGCCGCGAAACACGGCTAGAAACGCCACCCCAATTGTTCCGGAGAAGACCAACACTTCAAGTGGCACAATTCGATGTTTTAAGTGCCATGGATACAGGCACAAAGCACACCAATGCGCCAACCAAAAAGTACTGGTACTCATGGATGGCCAATATCAATCGGAGGAGGAAGAAGAGGAAGAACCAAAAGCGAATGAGAGGGATTTTGACCCAGACATTGAAGCTGTTAAGGGTCTGTTGTTCGTGGTTCATCGGGCAATGACAAGCGAGAAGCAGGATTCCTCTGAGATGGATCAAAGGAGCAACCTTTTTCACACTAGGTGCCAAGTTAACGTAAAAAATTTGACTGTAATCATTGATGGTGGAAGTTGTGCAAATGTAGCAAGCCTTGACGTAGTCAAGAGACTTGGGTTACCTATGATTCCACGATCTGAACCATATTCTATTCACTGGCTCAGTGAACACGTTGCAATCAAGGTTAATAAGCAGGTCAAAATCCCTTTCTCAATCGGCAAGTACCACGACGAATTGCTCTTCGATGTCATTCCGACGCAGGCAGCACATTTGGTCATGGGGAGACTATGGCAGTTCGACCGAAAGGCATCCCATCACGATCGAACAAATTACTACACATTTGAGCACAGTGGAAAGAAGTTCACACTCAAGCCCTTGACGCCGGCAGAAGTCCGAGAAGACCAACATCATATGTCGACAAGACAAACTAAGAGTGGAGTGGAATTGAGTACAAGAGCTTCAGGGCAGTCCACGAAACCCAGCTAATGGATCGACGTTATTTGTTGACTGTTCTCGCTGGCAGAACAATTCCGCAAAGAAGCAGAGCTCGTCGGCCCTGTTTTCCGGCGGCCCTGAAGTACACAGAATTGGGTGGAGCAGCTGGTGCAAAGTCTGGGCAAGAGACCAGCGTCGATATCCCAAATTTGCCCAGAAACGCGTAAAGTCGACAAACCCATGCCGCGGCGGACTCAATCGACGAATTCCGAAAGTAAAATTTTGTTCCTGAACGTGAAGAACAAAGAGGGAAAAAGGGGTGAATCGGTTGTGGAGTTCGGGCACGAATCGAAGCAATCCGTCGCTTGGGATCCACCTCTGGGGTCTCAGGGAAGGTGTCGGGATCAAGAAATTAGACCGGCAAGGGCTGTGGAAGAAACGCCCAATTTTCAACTCGCCTCGCCGGAATATGGAAACTCGCCGCCGGAAACTGGGAATTTCGAATTCTCCGGTGGCGGGAAAAATTCGAAACTCGATTCAAGGTGGCTCGAGCAACCTAAACGCAAGAGAATGAATGAATTCGCTTCGTGGGAGCTAAAAGAACTAAATGTGAGCAAGGAATTGGTCCGAGGAGTCGTTAAACCGAAAGCCCCAACTTTTAAGGGGTCACCGGCAAATCGGGTCTCGCTGGAAAAGGAAGTTCCGACACTAACTTTTCACGATCCCGTTTGGGATGATTTTCTCTATCGTTATGATTGCAGGATGACCCAAGCTTTGAGGTCAAAGCTTTTAAAAGAAGGGGGGCCTGATATGATCTCAATCCCACCATCGTATCAGCTCAAACAAATCGTTCAAAGATCGGGTCAAGTTAATACGAGCAAAGCTGGAAATTTCCTAAGTGTTGAGACAGTTTTGGGAAGGCTACTTTGGAGGGATGCTTCTCT